GAGTGTTGGGAGCTGAGGTCAGGAAGGGGGCTGCAGGCCAGGCCCTTCAGGGCCTTGTGGGCTACAGAGGAGAGTCTGTAAACTGGGGGGATTAAGAGTCCTAGAGGCGGATTAAATGAATTACTGAAGCGCTTAGCCAGCATCTGGCATTTAGTGAGCACTCAGTGCATGTTTGCTATTATTACCACCTTCAGTAGGATTGCTCTTATCATGCACCTTTTGTGATGTGCTTATGCTCAAGAAGGACACCCTTGGCCCCTTCTTAGTCCTTGCACTTGCCTCTAAACATGGGGTGAGAAGAGTAATAAAATGATAGCCAGTGCTTCTCTAGCACTCACTGTGCCCAGGCACTGTTCTGAGTGCTTTGCATACATTAGCTCATTTAATCTTCCCACAAAACTATGAGGAATGCATTATTATTACACCCACTTTACAGATGGGGAGACCGAGGCAGAGAAAGGTAACTTACCCATGGTCTCACAGGCAGAAGTAGTGCCAGGGTTTAATCCAGACTTTTGGCTCCAGAGCCCACGCTTTTTAACCCCCTGCCCCCAGTGCCAGGGAGTAATAGGGTCCCCTAGCCACGCTGGTGTCTCCTTCCTGATGGCTTCCACCCTTCCTTGCAGGAGCAGCATGGAAGCTCTTATCTGGTGTGCGGGAGGGCCAGACACAGGTGGACACCCCCCAGGTAGGGGACATGGCTTACTGGTCCCACCCCATCGACCTGCACTTCGCCACCAAAGGCCTCCAAGGTGGGTTTCTGCCCAGGAACTAGGAGACCAAGTCCTGTCCCGGCTCTCCATGCCCTTTGGGGCCCTGGCCCTGGAGGGGCTGAATCTGAGGTCTCCTTAGGCTGGCTCTAGTGCGCTGGATGAGGGCAACAGCCCGGGGGACGGGGCGGGGTGAAGGGAGGGACCAGGGGGAGAGGCGAGGTGGTTTTCAAAGAGACAAATCCAGAGAATCTTCCTTCCAGAAGGAAGCTGGGTGGGGGTTATGAGAGAGAGGGCGGCTGGTGGCTGCTGGCAGGCAGGGCTCTTCTGGCTGCTCAGAGGGGAAATGAGTATGCGGGGGAGGAAGGGTATCAGAAAACTTTTTCTGGTGGAAAATTTGTATCACTGGAGAAGAGTGGATTCCAGGAAATGGCCTAGGTAAATATTCCATATATTTCAACAATACAAATAATATTTACTGAGTGACTGCCCTGTGTTGGCCTGTGTTGTGTGATGTCAGGGAGATGTAGGTAATTGAGACAGCCCCCTGCCCTGTCCTCAGAGGGCTTGCCATCCCTTGGGGGAGACAGAGCTGTCCCCAGACAGTGGCAGCCCAGAGATCTTACAGGGCAATGAGAGCCCAGAAGAGGTATATGACTCTGACAGGGAGCTCAGAGAGGGCTTCCTGGAGGAGGGGATGTTTGAGCTTTACTGCAAAGGGCCACCAGCAGCTAATGAGGCAGTGGGACGGAAGAGGGTTCCAGGCAAAGAGCTGTGTGTGGGAGGCTCAAAGTGGAAGGTGAATCAGCATTTGGAGGACTGAGATGACTGTAGAAGGTGAGGTGGCAGGGGACAGGGGACAGGCCGTGCAGGGCCTTGAATGCCAGACCACATAGCAGAGGCCACACCCTGAAGACACTGGGGAGCCACAGCAGGTGCCTGACAAGTCATTTCCCTTTTAAATCCTCCTGGCTGCCTTGGGTGATGCATTGGAGGGTGAGGCAGGCAATTGTCTTCTCAGCTCTTCAGACCCTAAGCCTCATAATGTGAGCATCATCCTTGCCTCCTCTTTTATCAACTCCCAACTCCGTCCATCAGGAAGTCTGGTGGGCTTGGCCTTTGAAATGCATCCTAAATCCCACCACTTCTCCTCCTGCTCCCCTAGCACCCTGGTTTGTCCACCTGTCACCTGGGCCAGTGCAGTAGCCTCGTCACAGGTATTCCTGTCCCATCCCCATAGTCTGTCTCCCTGTGAACACTTAGGTCACATTCCTCCTGTGCTCAGAACCCTCCATTGTCCTGTCTCAGGATAAAAGCCTTGCTGTGGATCACAAGGCCCTGTGCCGTCTGGTTATGTCACCTCCTCTCCTCTCTCCCTCTCCCAGTCAGCTCTAACCACACTGGTGCAGCCTGGCAGCTCCCACCTCAGGGCCTTTGCACCTGTGCCCTCTGTGGGCATGCTCTTCCTAGAGGTAATGGCCCACACCCTTCCCTCCTTTAAGTATTCACAGAAATGTCACCTTCTCAGTGAAGCTTTTCTTGATCACCCCCTCTCTAAAACTGCATCCCTACACCCACCCTGCCTGGCTTTATTTTTCTCCAGAGCAGTTATCACCATCTGTCAGACCCTATAATTTGCTTACTTAATACATTCGTTGTCTAGGATGTCAGCTACACAAGGGCAGGAATTTTTATCTGTTCTGTTCACCACTTCTAGAATAGGGCCTAGCACAGAGGGGCTCAGGAAGGAGGGTGAAATGGGGCTGGATCTCCAAGGGCTTTGCCTACTAGATTGAGTTGCTGAGCTGTATTCTGAGGACACTGGAAAACCTATGGAAGGGGGAGAAAGATGCTTCAGCTGCAGGTAGAAGGTGTATTGGAGAGGGCAAGAAAGAAGGCTCTGAGCCCAGAGAAGACAGGATGGACCATGGGGAGGGGAGGAGGGAGGTGTCCAGGACAAGGCCCAAGGTGCTCACCTGGGGACTGGTTGTCCTGAGATGGGAACCGGAGGAGGAGGCCATAGAGAGGGAATTCAGCAGAGGACAGATCCAAGGGCTTTTGAATGTTGAGGTTGGACTTACACTGAAGGCACTGGGGAGCCATGGAACGATTTTGAGCAGGGGAGGAACATGAATTCAGAAAGGTCCCTTTGGTTGTTGCATGGGGATGGGAGTACAGAGACAAGGCTGGGGCAGAAACCATGGGGGAAGGGATTGGGCCTGGAGTCTTTAGTAGGGATCAGGGAAGTGGGGATCTAGGAGTGGGAGAGCTGCACCCATCCCTGCCTTTCTGCCTCCCTCTTGTCCTTCAGGCTGGCCCCGGCTCCATCTCCAGGTGTGGTCCCAGGATAGCTTTGGCCGCTGCCAGCTTGAAGGCTATGGCTTTTGCCATGTGCCCAGCAGTCCAGGTACCCACCAGCTGGACTGCCCCACTTGGCGGCCACTGGGCAGCTGGCAGGAGCAGCTGGCGCGGGCCTTTGTGGGTGGTGGGCCTCAGCTGCTCCATGGTGACGCCATCTACAGTGGGGCCGATCGCTATCGGCTGCACACGGCTGCTGGTGGCACCGTGCACCTTGAACTGGGCCTGCTGCTGCGCCACTTTGATCGCTACGGTGTGGAGTGCTGACCCTGCCTCCCACCACTGGACCCCACCCACATCCCTGGATACCCATGAGGGGCAGGATGGCACAGAGATCAGCAGCATGGGCTCTAGAGACTCAGACCTGACCCCAGTCTAGGCATGATGCCAATTATGTCCCGGCTTGTACCTCCAGCCCAGTGGCTGTCCTCCTAGGTCCAGTTTCCCCGCTGTAAAATGGGGGCAGTAAGTGTGCAGGGTCACAGAGGCTGCTTGCCCATGTAAGTGCTCAATAAAGGAGAGCCAGTCTTACAGGTGTGGGTGCCTTTCTGCCTGCCATCATCTGTCAGACGTCCCTGCCCCACCCTCCCACTGACACCTTCCATCCTCAGGCTTCCCCCATCTTCTGCCTCAACCTCAATCTCTGACCCCCTCCCAACCCCGGGTGCCCCTCAGTGACACAACCCCCACGCCTTGGGGGTCCCTCTCTTCTGTGCCCCTTCTCTGCTCCTGCGTCCCTATGCTCTGATTGAACCCTCTGAGCCCAGGTCTTCATTTTCTTGGTGACCTGGGCACAGCCCTCAAAACCACACACATCCCGGTCGCCCACTTTGGTAGCGCTCGGCCGCCAGGAGGCAGCACCCCGTTCGTGGGGCGGAGCCGGGGTGCCCGCCCCCTCCCGCCAGGACTTAAGGGACCCCCTCGGAGCCCGCCCACGCGAGATGAGGAGGGTGGCCCGGCCCCCCTGTGTCTTCTCCCTGGGGGCCGCCCTCGCCCCACGCGCTTCCTGGGTGGGGCCGGGGCGGCTTCAAAACCCCCGCCACCCCGGCCGGTCCCCGCCGCCGCCGCCCTCCGCGCCCCGGGCTGTCCCGCCCCCTCCTCCGCTGCGGATCCGCCAGGCGGCGAGGCCCCCGGCCGGGGGCAGGGGGGACGCCCCCTCCGGGGCACCCCGCCCCCGGCACCGAGCCGCCCGCTGGGCCGGCCGCGGCCGGGAGCGAGGAAGAAGTCTCGCAGGAGCAGCCCGAGGCCCCGGAGTCCGAGACGAGTCGCCGCCGCCCCCGCCGCCGCCGCCGCCACTGCGGGGAGGGGAGGAGGGGCGGGAGGAGGGACGGGCTGGTCGGGAGAAGAGGAAAAGAAGTTTTGAGACTTTTCCGCTGCTGCTGGGAGCCGGAGGCGCGGGGACCGCTTGGCGCGACGCCGCCCCTCGAGGAGGCAGGACTTGGGGACCCCGGACGGCCCCCCCACCGCCTCGGACGCCTGCTCCCTGCCTGCCCCCTGCGCGGCGTCCTTCAGGCGGCCCTCCTCCGGACCAGCCTTGCGGAGCCGCGGACGCGGACTCCAGCAGAGCACCCAGACCTCGGGCGCACCCCCTGCCCGCCACCCTCGGCCGCCAGCCTCTCTCCTGAGCCCCTGCGCATCCAGGACCCTCTTCTCCGGGAGCCGAGAGACGGGATCTTTCTCAGACCTGCCTCAGCTTCCCTATTTAAGACCACCCACCTCTGGGACCAGATCTCGCCCATCTCGGTTTTTTTCGCGGGATACGGAGAAACCACCGATAAGAGACCCCTCCATCTTCGATCCACCTCCGCTCCGTTCGCCCTGAGGGCCTCAGCTCCCCCTCACCCCCACCCCGACCCTCCTGCCTTGCCTCGGGAGACTCCCCGGCCCCTGTAGGGGCGGGGCCTCCCTCTTTTTACCGCAGCCTGTTCGCGCTCCCCGCAGTGCCAAGGGCGCCGCCTCCCCCATGCCGCCCTCGGGACTGCGGCTCCTGCCGCTGCTCCTGCCGCTGCTGTGGCTACTAGTGCTGACGCCCGGCAGGCCGGCCGCCGGACTATCCACCTGCAAGACCATCGACATGGAACTGGTGAAGCGGAAGCGCATCGAGGCCATCCGCGGCCAGATCCTGTCCAAGCTGCGGCTCTCCAGCCCCCCGAGCCACGGAGAAGTGCCGCCCGGCCCGCTGCCCGAGGCCGTGCTGGCCCTTTACAACAGCACCCGCCACCAGGTGGCCGGGGAGAGCGCCAGGCAGGAGCCCGAGCCTGAGACGGACTACTACGCGAAGGAGGTCACCCGCGTGCTCATGGTGGAAAACAACGACGGTACGGTCGGAGGGGCAGGGGACCCTGGAGGGGCAGGTTCACGGAGAGGAAATCACTGGCTGGAGGAAGAGGACCCCCGGCGGCTCCGGGAACACGGGAAGGGGGGCGTCCCAAAATGTATAGGGCTGAGCTTCCCCACCCCGCCCAGGTATCTGGTCTTGGAGAGCAGGAGATAGTGAACGAAGTGGAGAGCTTCCAGAGGGCAGCAGGAACGTGCGGGATCGCGGGGCAGAGTCCCCTGGAGGAAAAGCAGCAATTGGAGGGCGGGGATACAAAGACTTCCACCTACGGGGTGCACCAGAATATGGGGGTCGTGGAATGGGGCTACAGAGAGGGAACCCGCTTGGGGAGAAGCGGAGACCCCAGGAAGGGACAGGCAGTGTGGAAAGCCGACCCAGAGCTCGAGGGTCGCGGGGAGAGGCCGGAGAGTAGTGGACAGGGGGATTCGAGGACAGGAAAGCTATGTGAGCGAGAAAGTGGAGGGGGCGAGAACACGCGGGACAGGGGGAGGACGCGGGGAGCTGCGGGGAAGGAAGGGACCGAGGTCCCAGGAGCGGGAAGGTAAGGTAGCGGGACCGAAGCGGAGCCTCCGCGGGGGGCCGGGGATGCGCGAGGAGGCGCCCGTGTGTCCCGAGTATGGACGTGAGAGGAGGAAGCCCAACCGAGGAAGCGAGCCGCCGGGAAACTTAGAATACTGCGGCGTGGGAAGGAGTGTACAGAGAGGGGAGACCGGCGTGGGAAAGCTGGGCCCCGAGGCGGGCGGGGGCAGGAGCTCCCCCGCGCCGCAGGATGATAGGGAGTGGGGTGCAAGAGGAGAGGGGGTGGGTGCGACTCTGCGGGACCGGGTGAGAGAACCGAGCTGCTAACCGGTAGGAAGCCCCACGTGGGTACCACGCGCGGAGGGAGGAGCCTGCGCCTCCCGGAGGGGGGAAGAGGACCCCGCAGAGCTGAAAGCTGACAGCGTGGACCCCAAAGGCCCAGTTCCTCTCCGGGAGGCTGGGGAAACCCCAGCGTCCGGCGGCCTAGCCCTCCCTCCCTTTCCTTCCCGTGCCCGGGGGGCGGGGATCGCGCGCGGAGCCTGGGGCGAGACGAGGCAGGTCGGTCCCCGCCCTCGCCGCGGCAGCGCCTCCCGCCCTCTGCACCCTAGCTCCGGGCGGGGCTGCTGCTGGGTCCGCCCCGTCGGCGCCCACGCGGGGACCCAGGTGTCCCGGGCGGCCGGGAGGTTTGGGGGCGGTGCCCCTGCTTTCACTTTCTCTCTTGGGCGATGGACTTGTGCATCCCCAGGCCATTCGTGCACCTAGTTTCGGCGCCAGCAAAATGATAGCCCCTCGCCTCCCATATCTCGGTCTCACGTTTTCTGTGGTCCCTTCACCCTCGCTGCAGAGACTTATTTAACGCTGGTACCTTCTGTCCTCTTTGCTCCCAGACTGGCTGCGTCTCACCCCCAAGCCCTGTGCCTCTCCCGTGTGGGTCGTGCCACCTCTGTCCTTCCATCCTTCTGGCATCCCGTTCCTCTGCCCGTTCCTGGCTCTCCCAGCAGCCGTCTCTCCTCTTCGCCGGCCCTCCCCTCTTTCTCCTCCACCCTCTCTCCTCTCAGCCTCTTCCCATCTCTCCCTCTGACCACGCGCACCCCTCCTTTCTCTCTTCCTCCCTATCTGTCTCCCTTGCCTGGGCTCTACCCTTCCTTTGGGGTTTGCTGAGGAACCCCTGGGCCACGATAGAGCCCATAGGGGGGCAAGGGCTGGCCTGGGTAGAGTGGGGAGGGGCAGGGGGCCCACAAGAATTTCCTCTGTCCTTTCTCATCAAATCCTGTCCCCACCGTATCTGCAGGCGTCTGCAGAGGCCTGAAGCATTTGCCCCAGTTGATCTAAGTGTTCATAGCCTCCCTTTATCCCCAACCCCAGACTTTTCCTAGACTGGAAAATGTTTTTCCTAATTTTCTCTCTGGGAGACAGCAATTAATAATAATGATGATAATGTCTCAACAGCAGGGAGGCAGCGTAGCCTGAGGGTTAAGAGCAGTCTTCAGAACCAGACTGCCTGAGCTTGAATCCCTATTCTACAGCTTCCTAGCAATGTGACCCTGGGGCAAATTACTTACGTCTCTTTGTGCCTCGGTATTCTATCTATAAAATGGGTATAAAAATATTTTCCTCATGGGATTGTGTGAGGTTTAAATATTTCAACCCTTGTTAAATGCTTTGAATAGCACCTGGCAAAGCGTGAGCACTTTTTAACAGATTAAAGTGACAGGTGTATGCAGACTCGAGAATTCCCTTGCCCGAAGTTACCCAGTATTTCATTGAGGAGAGCTGGTATTAAAAGTTAGGGGAGCTTGATGTGGTTGCCGGTTCCCAAAGAATAGCAGGAAACGGAGGCCCCAAGAGGGAGTACGGCTTGCCTACAGTTGCAGAGCTAAAAGCAGCAAAGGCACGTTCTCCAAGTGCCCTTGGATCCTGTGCTGCAATTGAACTTGGATCCAAGATTCCAAGCACTGGGGACGCCTGAGCAAGCAGAGCAGCACCCCTTAGTACCAGCATCGTACTGAATGGACAGTTTACGGATGGTGGGAGAGAAGGGTGGTTAGGCCCTGTTTTACAGAGGAGGAAACAAATCCAGCGAGGGACAGTCACTGACCCAATGCCACACAGTTCAAAAACGTCAGAGTCACATCCCAACCCTGGGTTGTCAGCCTTGGCACCCACGCTCTTGGACTTGGGATGCCCAGCGGCCCTGCCAAGCCCCTGACAGCTGTCCTCTCTGTACCTCCTGCCTAGAAGTCTACAATAAAGTCAAGCAAACCCCACACAGCATATATATGCTCTTCAACACATCGGAGCTCCGAGAGGCTGTGCCCGAGCCTGTGTTGCTCTCCCGGGCAGAGCTGCGCCTGCTGAAACTCAAGTTAAAAGTAGAGCAGCACGTGGAGCTGTACCAGGTGGGCGTGGGCACAGAGGTAGGCCAGGCTTGGGCAGTGCGGGGGCAGGACCCTGAGGGATAGAGGAGCACAGACATGTGGCGCCTTGAAACTTTCAGACTCTTAGCGTCCTAGGATATTCAACACTTTGAAGGCTGGAGTCTTGGGAGTTGGACTCTTGAAAGTTGGAATCTCTGAGAAGGTAGGGGCCTCGAACTGCTCTGTCCAATATGGTAGCCACGACAGATGGCCATTGAAAGTTGCCTAACATCAAATATAATAAAAAATACAATTCTTCAGTCTCAGTGGCCATATTTCAAGTGCCCTGTAGTCACATGTGGTTAGCGGCTGCTATTTTGGACACTTCAGATAAAGAACATTTCCATTGTCACCGAAAGCTCTCTTGGAAAACTCTGTTCTAGAAGGTTTAGAGTCTCCAGGAAGACTGGGGCCTCCGGAAGGGCTGAAGTCTCTAGAAAGTTATCTGACCTAGAATCCATGTCAAATGGAACATTAAGTTTAATGATTGATGTTGAACTCTTACAAGGGAGCGTTAACTTCTTGGAGTTTAGGGCATTCAGCTTTATGCCGCCAGCCCCAGAGGTTCATCCCATGCAGATGTCAGGCATGGGTAACATCTAGTTTGGGGGCATGTCTGTCAGCCTCCCGGCTGTGTAGAACACTGGTCTAGAACTTCTCAGGCTCATTGAATGTGTAGTTCTTGGGGTTCTAATAAACACTGGAGTGAAGGGATGACTTCTAAAGTAAGTCCCTAGAAAGTTAATAGACTCCCAGGATTTGGGGTGTCATATTTGCATAACTGTATGCTCAGTTCTGCAGAACCCCAGAATATCTGCAGGATGACCTTAGCATCATGGGTTGCACAAGCTCAAAGGGGCCTGGCATTTCACCGGTGGGGAAACTGAGGCCTAGAGAGGGAAAGGAATTTCCCATGGCTCCATGGTGGGTCAGGGTAGAGGCTGAGTTGCCCAGGTGTCTTGATCCCAGCCTGGGGCTCTTCTTCTCTCAGGGCCTCTGTGGGGGTAGGTGGTCCCTGTGGGCCCCACAGTGTGGATGTCTGGGAGGGGACTGCTGGTGGAGATGGAATGGGGGGTGTGGCAGCATCTCCTCACTGTCTCTCCCTGCCAACTCATCATCCCCCAGTTATACAGCAACAATTCCTGGCGCTACCTCAGTAACCGGCTGCTGGGTCCCAGCGACACGCCAGAGTGGCTGTCCTTTGATGTCACTGGAGTTGTGCAGCAGTGGCTGAAACATGGAGGTGAGGACTGCTTATCTGCCCTACCCTATTTCATAAGGGAGTTGACCCCATTGTTTGTCCTGGGGTCACCCTGCCTAGCACCCCCCACTCTCTGTTGGTGCCAAAGAGCCCAGACCTGGCCTTCCTCCCAGACACTCAAACCTGAATGATTAATGGTTAATCCATTTCCTGAGCACCTGCCCTGTGCTGGGTGGTGTGAGGACGCAGCAGTGACCAAAACAGCCATCCTTGCCCTCACGGAGCTCCTGGCCCATCGCTGGGGTGGAAGGAAGGGGGAGAAAGACCAGAAAATTGGATAGTAATGACCCAGAGTGGGCAGGCTGGGGTGGGGAGCCCAGAGAAGGGGCCTGACCCAGCCTCCAGTCCAAGAGTGCTTCCTGGAGGAGGGGACATCAGAGCTAAAGTCTGAGGAAAGAGTGGGAACCAGCCCGAGAAAGAAGTGGCAGCAAGAGTGTTCAAGGCAGAGAAGCAGGCTGTGCAAAGGTCTGATCTGTCTGGAAGAGAACTGTATCTATCCTGTCCCATCTGAGTCCACCACACCCATGTCTCCCTTCTTGGTGTCCCTCTTGTTCATGCCTCCATTCAATCATTGCCAGTAAATTCCTGCTCTGTGCCTAGCCCTGTGCTGCGTGGTGCAGGAGACACAGTGGTAACCAAGACGACTTCTAGGCCCTGCCCTCACGGGGCCCACAGTTACAGCTGGACACCTAGGAAAACTTGCTGAAGCCGTAACGGAGTAATAATGGCCAGAATGATCAGGGTCAGGATGGGGGAGGCCCTAAGCGCTGTGGAAGCCCAGAGCAGGGGCATCAGGAGGGCTTCCTAGGGAGGCATGAATGTGTCGAGACTTATGGGACGAGCGGTGGTTTGGCCAGATGACGAGGTAGGGCTGGAGGTGGGCACTGGGAGGAGTGGCTGGGTCATGGGACAAAGGCCTTTGCCGGTCACTGCTGAACCCAGAGCACCTAGTTTAGAAAATCATCCACTCATTCATTCGAGAAGCCTTTTTCCTGCAGCCGCCTGTGGGCAGGAGCCCAGGTGTGGGTGTGCTTCCCAGCCCTGCCTTTCCCCACTCTGGGCAGCCACCTCCTCCTGGCGGGCTTTGGTGAGGATTAAAGGAGTAATACACATGGAGAGTTTGGAACAGGGCTTGGCACCCAGCGCACACTTGGTAGATGTTTGTTCGTGACTGCGGGCTAGGCCCTGCAGGGAACAAGAAAACAGGATCCCTGCCCCCAAGCATCCTGCTTTTTATTGAGAACAATGAGGGAAATCAGTAACCAAATGCAACGTCCAAGAGGGCAAGTGTTTTGGAGAAAATACAGTGGTGTCTGGGGCCGGGGGTGGCTGTGTCCTGGAGGGCTTCTCAGTGGAGGTGGCATTTGAGCTGTGATCTGAAGGAGGAGAAGGAGGCAGTAAGGCAGAGAACTAGAGCAAGAGGGTGCAAGTGAGATGGCAGGCAGGGGAAGGGGCAGGAAGGAGACCCCCGGCTTTGCTCCCTCCTTCCTTCCCCAGGAGCTGGTGAGCCGCCCCTCACCCTGGCTTCCCTCTGCCCACTCCCACAGGGAAGATAGAGGGCTTTCGCCTCAGTGCCCACTGCTCCTGTGACAGCACTGATAACACACTCCAAGTGGACATTAACGGTGAGGTCCTCCTTCCTGGCCTGGTCCCATACCATGTGCGTGCGTGTGTGTGTGTATGGGGGGGTGGAGGGGTGTGAGGGATCCTGGGTGTGAGTGTAGGGCAGGTGCACATGGGGGTACTGTGTGTGTGTGTGCGCGTGCATCCCGCCTCCCGCCCACCCCCATCCATCCATCTTGAGAGAAAGTATGTGTATCCCCCTCAACCTCCCACCTGACTCCCAAACCAAAGCAGGGTTCGGTTCCAGCCGCCGGGGTGACCTGGCTACCATTCAAGGCATGAACCGGCCCTTTCTGCTCCTCATGGCCACCCCGCTGGAGAGGGCACAGCACCTGCACAGCTCCAGACACCGCCGAGACCTGGACACCAACTACTGCTTCAGGTGAGCCTTGCGTCCTGGGACCGAGGCCTTCCAGGCTGGGGGCTGATTGCCATTGGCTGGCCAGGCACTGCAGGTTGGGTGCCCAGTTGGTGCTCTGCTTGGCTGGCATCTCCTTCAGCCTGGAGGGCTCAGGGGATAAGGCCCGAGTCCTAGAATGCTGGGATGTGTGAGCGGGGAGTCCCTAGATGAGATCAGGTTGCTTGCTCGCTGGCATGTTGGAATTAGAGACTGTTAGAATGTTGACAACAAGAATGTGGGAATTCGGGAATTCAGTGTGCCATGTTAGAGTCCTCTACTGTTGGCAGGGTGGGGTTCTAGAATGTTGGGATTCTAGGATGCTAGAATTCAGTGTTACTGAAATCTGAGAATGTTTGACTCAAGGAATGTTGGGATCCTAGAATTTGGGAATTCCAAATTGGACGATTGCCAATGCCATTCCTAAATTGGAGTCTCCAGTGTTGGCAGGTTAGAGTCTTTGAATATTGGGCTCAGAATTGTGGAGTACTGTGTTAGAATATCAGCATCCATAACTGTTAGGGTTATCATGATATCCTAGAAAGTTGACACTTACTGTTAGGATGTTAAAATCTTGGAAGGCTGGAATCTTAGAGAGTGGCGGTTTATACCTCTCAAGTAATGGGCTCAGAATTGTGAAATACTGGAGTTCAGGGAAGCCAAGAACTTTAAGAGCTGGAATGTGTGAATCCTACATTGGGAAGGCTCTTGTAGTGGTAGGACTCTGAGGTACTGGAGGCTGCAATGTCAGGAAGTGTAGAGTTGGAGTCCCAGGATGTTGAAATTCAGCTGGAATGATGTGAATTTAGAACAATAATGTGATCTGAGAGTCTGACCTCATCCCTCCTGTGCTTCGTATTTTGATGGTGCCTCTGGGCCTTATCACAAGCTATTCCTCTGCTAGAAAGTCAGCTCTGCTGTCAGCTCCTTCCCTACCAGACGGTATCCTCAGCTCAGCAACCCTATGAATGAGTGAATGGTTCATTCATAGGTTTGAGTGACAACCCCTAATGACATTATAAGGAGAAGCAGACAAGCCATGTGATCCTCTGTAGGGAGGGACATAGTGTCACCTGTGGAGTCTTGCCAAAAAACTGAACCTGAAGCTCATCAAGATAGTAGATCCAACTACCAATTTTCTAGAAATACAGGAACAGAGGGATATATTAAATAACAATGCAAGCATAGGTGTAATCAACAACAATTAGACTGTGGGAAGCCTGACCTAGTTTCTTCAACAAATAACATTGCAAAAGGGGGAAATAGAGATAGTTCTATAGATTTTAAAAAGAATATTAAGAGATAGATATATCAACCAATTATAATTGGTAGAACCTTATTCGGACCTTCATTTATACAGGCTATTAAGAAAAAAGATGTTTTTGAGACAGGTGGGGAAATGTGACTCTGACCTGATACTTAAAGATATCAAGGAATTATTGTTAATTGTTCTTATGTGGTATTCTGGTTATGTTTTTAAAGAGTCCCAATTTTCTTAGAGATATATACTGAAATATTTGTGGATGAGATGAAATGGCATGTGCTTTAAGATCATTCAGCTGGGGAGAAGAAGTGGGTAGGGGCAGAGGTACAGAGAAGTTGGCCATGACTGGTTGACACTGGGTGATGGAGACATGAGGAGGGCTCAATAGAATATTCTCAGCTTTTGTGTGTGTGGTTGAGGCTTTCCATAATCAAGTTATTTTTAGCTCAAACGCTGTCTCCACTGGGAATCCTCTCTGACTTCCCTACATCCAGGTAGATGGAGCCCCTCCGCCTGCCCTGGGGGCCCAAGTGAGTTTCTTTTACTCATCAGGCCCTGATTGGATAGAAGATACAAGAGCTTCCATAATGGTCTGGACCGTGTGTATCACGGGACCAGGATGCAGAAGGCTGGGACCTGCCTGGAACAGATGGGTTATAGAGGGCCTCAGGGTCACCTGGAGGCCTGCTGTCCCTCATCTGTACCCCAACCCCCAATTTCTGATTCAGTGGGTCTGGGATGGGGCCCAGGAATTTGCATTTCCCACAAGTTCCCAGGCCATGCTGCTGCTGCTTCAGGGACCCCACAGGGAGAACAGCTGATTTGGGTAGCTGAATCACCAACTACTCAAAGCTTAGGACCTCAGAACCCCAGCCACATTTGGACAAGAAATGAAAGGTTATTCTGGACAGTGATTCTTTCCCTTTTGTGAGTCCACGACCTCCTTGAGGATCTGAAAGCCAGGAACCTTTTCTCCCAGAAATATGCCCATAGGTACACCCACTGTACACAAGGCTTCCGGTCCCCAGGACCTTCCCCGAGCCCGTGCATGGACTTCCTGATGCCTCCTTGGCCCTTCACAACACCTCACTTGGTCCAACATCCCCTGGATCTTTGGATGGATGGGGAAAGCTGAGGTTAGGGGAGGACCAGGCGGAGCTCATGGGGAGCTCAGTTTCCTGCCTTCCTTTCCAGGGCTCTTTGGCTTTGGAAAGGCTGTCTTGGCCCGGGAGAGCCTGTGCCATCACTTCTCCCCCTCTGCTTGAGCTGCCATGGCCCCCGAGCTCCACCACTCACATGCTGCCTGAGAGCAGGCCACTTGCCCCCTTCTCTTAGGCTGTTTCTTCACCTTTAAGTAGGAATAATCATAAGGCCTGCCTCTCAGCATTTTGACATTACTTAATTCTCTGTTGATCACTTTTTGAAGTTGCGAATATCTGCAAATGGACCAAACCTAGAAAGGATACACAGAGACCCTCCAGCTCTGAAGAGGCAGCCACTTGATTATCTTTGTGTATTCTTTCAGAGATAGTCTCTGTATGAAACACTTATACACATTCATAGAGATATGATTTTTGTCCAAATAGTAGGGTCTTTTGGGGGGGGGATGTACTGTGTCTTTTGGGGGGTGGGGTGGGGAAGAAGATGAATTTTTGTTGTTAATTTTTTCCCCCCGATTCTAAAAATAGCACGTACCCACTGTCAAGAATTTGGAAAATACAGAAGGATAACACCTATCCCACTATCACATTTAAAAAGCCATCATTTTAATATATTTCCTTCTAGTTTAGTGCAAAGCAGAATTTGGGTCATAGTGTACCCATAGTTTTGCATAGTGTTTCTTTCACATGTAATATTAATCATTCTTGGCTGTCCATGAATCAAGCTTTTTAGCCAAGCTCATTGCCCACCTCAGCCATGGCCCCAGAGTCCAGAATGTAAAATGCCCCAGTTCCTTCCAGGCAAACAGAAGCCTGGGCTCCAGGCTGAGGAGAACTGGCTTTTGCGTCCAAGCATGGGACAGAGATCATGGCTCCAGAGCAGTGGACTCTTATACACCACTATTTTCCAAAGTGCTTTTGAAAACACATAACATATTGATTCGTTAATTTATACATATAGCCAATATTTGCTGAGCATCAACTGTGTGCCAGGCATTGGCGTAGGCACTGGGGATACATTAAGAGACAAAACAGATCAAAAGTCCTTTCCACAGAGGAAGGACGAACAGATAAACCAATCTCTAATAAAAGAGCAGGTGTCAGTAAGTTATAAGAAAGAAAATAAGTCAGAGGAAGGGGAAAGCAAGAAATAGATATTGTAAACTATGTCCCAGAGTGAGGGACTTCTGAGCATGCATTTAAATTAAGTGAAGAAATGAACCAGAGTGGGTATCTGTGGGAATAGCAAGCCAGGTGGAGGGAAGAGGAAGTGCCAAGGCCCTGGGGCAGGACTGTGAGGAGCAGAGAGGATGCTAGTGTGGCTGGAGTACAGGAGAAATGAGAGTGAAGAGGGACCTGAGATCAGCCAGACCCAGTAGCATCTGGGGGTACATGGGGACATGAGCATTTGTCTTGAGTGAAATGGAGCTGTGCTCGGAGCCGGGGAACATCATGATCATCTCTAGCATGTGGCCCTAGAAGGCAGGGATTTCTGTGTTTCATTTAAACTGAGTCCCTAGCATGAACATGGAGCTGCACTATGTTTTTTATTTTCCAGTTTGTGGATGTACTGTGATTTATTTAGCTGTGCCCTATGTACGGTCATCTGGCTTCTTACAGGCTTGTTTTGAGCACTGCATGAGATAATGGTAAAGGATGCCCTTAGCACAGTGCTTGACTAGAGGAAGTGCTTTATCAGTGTTGGTTATTACCACTACTATCACTGCTATTACTGCATTGCTGTTATTATCACAGGGGATGCAAGGGAGACCAAGATGTAGACTGTACTGGGGGGCAACCAGGGCGAAACACACACGCACCACACCTGGTGCGGAGGGGCAGGGCCTGCCCTTGGCAGACCTCTGCCTCCTGACCCGGCGCCTCCTGCCTCAGTTCCACAGAGAAGAACTGCTGTGTGCGGCAGCTCTACATTGACTTCCGCAAGGACCTGGGCTGGAAGTGGATCCACGAGCCCAAAGGCTACCACGCCAACTTCTGCCTGGGGCCCTGCCCCTACATTTGGAGCCTGGACACACAGTACAGCAGGGTGCGTCTGGTCCATGGGCTGGGTGTGGGCTGGGGGGAAGCAGGGACTGAGGGACGGGTGGGAGAAAGAGAACTCAGAGATGGAGAGAAACAGACAGGGAGATGGGAGGGAGATGGCAAAGAGATGGGAGAGAAGCTAGAGACCGGCTGAACGGTCAGAGACACCACGCAGAGCCACATGGAGATACGGGGAGACCCACAGAGATGGAGCAACTTGCAGGTCGAGGGAGAGGCAGGGAGATGGAAGGAGAAAGGCGAAAACAGAATGAGAGGAAAAGGCAGGGGACGCAGATCAGTACCGAGAGGCAGTTAGGAATATGTTAGGAGAAAGACTGAGACACAAGCCAATTGTGGAAAATGGGGAGAGGCGGAGTTTGAGAATGAATGGACTGCGGTAAGACAGGGAGATGGGGAGAGGCTGGTGGGGTGCGGGCACCCTCCCCAGGAACCCCGACCCTGACCCTGACCCGCCCGCCCGCAGGTCCTGGCGCTATACAACCAGCACAACCCGGGCGCGTCGGCGGCGCCGTGCTGCGTGCCGCAGGCCCTGGAGCCGCTGCCCATCGTGTACTACGTGGGCCGCAAGGCCAAAGTGGAGCAGCTGTCCAACATGATCGTGCGCTCCTGCAAATGCAGCTGAGGCCCGGCCCCGCCCCGCAGGCCCCGCCCCCGGCAGGCCCGGCCCCGCCCCCCGCCCGCATGCCGGGCTGTATTTAAGGACACATGCCCCAAGGCCACCTGGGGGTCCATTAAAGCTGGAGAGAGGACTGGGGTCTCTGTGTGGTTGGGCGCCTGACGGGGGTCTTCCTGCCCAGGTTCAGGACTCCACTCCTTCTGCGCCCCCCATCTCTCTCCACCATTCATTTGCCCTCCCTGCACAAATGCTGAGCATTTCTGCTCCAAGTGCTCCCGATGAACACCAGTCAGATTTATTTATTGGGCACCTTGGACTCTTAAGGGCCTTATATTAAGTCACTTGATCACCATAACAAAGCTCTGAGATACAGACTGTAATAAGACCCACTCACTATCAACGGGAGAAAACAGCCCAGAGAGGTTAAGGGACTAGTTCCTGCCCACCGGGAACATACTTTCAGTGTGCCCTACACAGGATAAGTGGTGTGAAGAGAGGAAAGCAGGATGGGGCGAGAGGTGGCTTAGGGGAGGAGAGAGGGCTTCTCAGAGGAGGTGGCATTTGGGACTTGAAGGAAGCCAAGAAAGCAGCATGGGGCCTTGGGGCAGAGTGTTCTACGTAGGAAGACAAAACAGAGGCCTGGAAGTGAGGACGAACAGGGGGTGAGCTTCACAGGGAGGAAAGAGGCCAGGGTGGTTGGGAGGGAGGGGCAAAGGGGAGGGTGACGGGAGCCGAGTCAGACTGTCACATTCCAGGCCAGAGAGTAGTAACAAGTCTCCACCCCAGGGTCTACTCACTGCATGCTCTCCACAGCCCAGCGGAGCAGGGGTTGGCACACTATGGCCTGCAGGCCATGTCAACCCACTGCTGGTTGCTGTACATAAAAGTTTTATTGGAGCACAGCCATGTTCGTTTATGTATCATCTGTGGCTGTTTCAGTACCACCAGGGCAGAGTTGAGTAGGAACTGTATTCAGCACCAAAAATATTTACTCCCTAGCCCTTTACAGAAAAGTTTGCTAACTCTTGCTAAAGAGACTGCTTGCTCCGCACTTTACAGATGGGACTACTGAGCAGAGAGAGGCTCAGTTACTTGTTAAGGTCACCCAGCTAACAGGACAGGGCTGGGACTCACCCAGACGGGTGGAGTTGAGGGCTGTACTAGTACTGCTGTCTAGGCTGCACCAGGCTTGCAGGGAACCTGTCTGAACTTGTACTCGGAGGGAGACGGGAGCCACACTAGGTTTCTGAGCAGAGGAGGGGTGTGATCTGACATGTGCTGAGGGTCCCTCTGGCTGATGGCTGAGAGTAGACTGAACACAGCCAGGGGGACTACGGGAAGACCAGTCATCCGGGCGAGGAGTGCCAGTGCCCCGAGCCAGGGCGGCTTTCCACTGCGGGTTTCTTCCCAGCTGCTGTGGTCTTGTGAGCTCTCTCCTGCTTCCTCCTTCTCCCACCTCCCAGTTTCCCCTCTTCCTCCCAGGTTTCGGTTCCCCCATCTCTTCCCTGCCCTTCCTAGGCTTGGGCCCTGACCTGCTCCTTTGCCAGGCAGTTGTCCCAGGGGAGGACTGTCCTGGGGGAGGACAGTGTGAGTGCTGAGCCTCCTTTATCTGGGTGAGGGGGCCCTGGGGCTCACCCAGACCAACCCAGGCCACATGTCTGGCACAGAGGGCTGGGCGGGGGTGAGAGCAGTGCCCTGTGCAAGGACCTGTTGCTGCTGTCACCACCCTCGCCTGTGGAGACATAGCCACATGGAATGTAGTCCCTATAGCCCTGTGAGGATGCAGCACACAGAGGTTCAAACATGGACAATGTTCCACAGCCACACTAACAGTGTGGCTAATTTACTCTGAGAGCCACAGTAGACACACAAAACTCCTTCAGGACTCATGACACATGGATTGTGACACCTGGTAGCAGTCACAGCCCACACATGCCACCCCATTTCATACACACAACCCAGAGCTGGAGCTTCACTGGGACACGACACAAGTAGAGACTTCAATAGGGACAAGGTGAACCAAAATCACACATTCTATAGGTTCACAGTCATGACCAACACACAGCAGACACAGTTTCAGACAGAGCGTCACACACAAACCCACACCTCACAGCATCAGCCCCGTCAGGAAATGAAACAGAGACTCCGGCTGGGACCAACCAACAGTTACACAAACATCCTCCCTGGGGTCACGGTCACAAAGAGGCACAGTGTGCATGCACATGACCTGACACATTACAGTCCCACCCAGACACACACCACACACGGAGCTCTTAACACGTCACGATCACAGACTGTAAGCTGGTCGTGCCCACTCGGTCTGACGTCTCATGGCCCCACACACGCAGGCCTGAGGAGTCCCACAGGGACCTAGAGACAGAAGCTGACCCCTCATACCCAGACACACTGTCACACCCCAGGTCCCAGACAGAGCAGTCCCACACACCCAGACACACCCCCAGGGTCGTGGCCCTCACACACCCAGCCCATGCCTCTGCCGAGGACAAGTCCTGGCCAACACTCCCAAGGTGGGCCCAGACCCTCGCCACACCTTCTGTGACACACCCCACCCACGTGCCCACAGGCTGCCGGGTGAGCTGGCAGGCATAGCTGCCCTCCAAGGGAAACGTGCGGGCTCAGCACCTTCCCTGGGCTGCCTGCACGCTGCCCCTGTCCGGCCACCCCGGCAACCACCCCTGGCCCCTCAAGGTGGCCAGGCCCCCTTGGCACTAGGCAGACCTGGCCCTCAGCACCCACAGGGCAGGACCGGGGTTTGGGGTGCCCTGCTCCCCTCCCCCACCTCTGCAGGCAGCCTGGGCGTGGAGGGAAGTTGTGGGGGGAGCTCAGGTTCCGGCTGGAGCCCCAGCTTCCCGTCCGGCCCCCACAGGGCAGGAAGCCGGGCCAGGGGAGGTCAGCTCAGGCCTTCCTGCTCCTTCCCCGAGACAGGCCTAGGACTGGGGTCAGCATGAGAGGGAGACACAGGGAGGGAATGGTGGGGGGAGGAGAAAACCCCTTGTCCTTAAATCTCTGGACCTCTGGTGTGGGGTGTGTGTGGATGTACACCTCTGGTGCGGGGTGTGTGTGTGAATCCACAAGCTTGGTGGTGTGAGTCGTGTGTCTAGTACCAGGGTCTCACACCAGCCGGTGCCTGTGGGCTGTGCTGGGAAGGGATGGTGTTTTCAGTGTGTGTCCCCAGCACGTGGCCAACTCCGTGTGACTTGGCAAGCCTGTGCATACTAGTGGATTCTATCCCTGGGGCATGTGTGTCTGCATTTTTTCTCAATGTTTGCTGTTCTTGGGGTGTAAAACGTGCGCCGTCCTAGCCTAAGTCTGTCTTGCAATGTGGGTGTTTTCGCTGTATGTTTATGGGTCTGTGAGAAAGGTGTGTTTCCAGGTGTTGTGTTTTGTGTTTCCTGCACGAGCTGTGTTTTCAGTGCGGGTGACAGTTCCCAGTGTTTGTATGCCTGTGGGTGAGTGGCTTCTGGGTTATGTTTTGTGGTCAGTGTTGTGCTTCGCTTGTAGACAGAGCACGTTTGTGAGAGTGCATGTCCGCCCCAGAGGCTGGCATTCTCAGATCTGTGAGCAGGTGGGTTTGCACTGTGTGTCCCTGTGTGTGGGCAGCTGCAAAGGTCGTCATTCTGCACCACCTTCCGGGGCGTCTGGAGTTCTCGGTGGGGTGGGTGTGTACTCCTGTTCACAGCATCTGCGTCTGTGGGACTGCGTTTCTGTGGTGTTTCCAGGGCAGGCAGGCATCCTGCGCCCCAGTGAAGCTCCTGGGGCCTCTGTGCTGAGAGGAGGCTGCGCCTGCGGCATGTCCCCGTGCTGGCTGGTGCCACGCTGGCTCAGGGCTGGCTGCGGCAGGCAGGGCAGGGCAGGGGCTGTGGTGGGCACTGGACCCACGCCCGGACCTCGGTATAAATATCCCAGGCTGCCTTCGGCTGTGTTTACTCGGCCCCAGTCCGGGGGCGGCAGCAGCCCGGCAGGTCCTGGGGGCGGGGATGACCAGGCCACAGCACAGACACTTCCTTCTGGCCAGACAGGCCACAGCCTCCCAGTCCCCCGCCTGTCCCTCTGGGTGGGGGCAAGGCAGCAACCCCTCAGGCTAGGCTTCCAGGGGCCACCAGGGAACGTTTGACCTGGACATCCCTGCTGGGTTTCCCAGGGCCTAAGAGACCGAGATGGGGTGAGGGGAGCAGGCCAAGAGAGACAACCGGGAGAGGGCAGCGGGGAGAAAATGAGGGTGAAGACTAGCAGGAGCAGAGTGGGAGGGACACTGCCAACAGGCACGGGGAGACAGTGACAGCGGTGTTCAGACAGGGATTGAGGGACTGACAAGGAGAGAAGGGAGAGGAGGCCACGGGAGGGGGAGTAGAGTGATAGGGAGGCACGGAGAGCCAGAGGCGCAGAGTGGAAAGCCGAGGGGGGAGGCAGAGGACAGGAGACAGGAGCGGGGAGAAAGACCTGCAGGAGGGGCAGGGAGCGCGGGCAGCTTCTGCAGGACACCGAGGTGTCAGACATGGGCGGTGGGGGTAAGGACTGCGCCAAATGAGCCAGCCAGGACAGACAGGAGACACGAGGGCGGGGGCCGGATGCCCATGGGGGGCTCCCTCAGCTGGGCCCGCCCTCCCTGACTCAGCCTCTCCGCCCACCCCAACCCCAACCCCAACCCCAGGGTGGGCAGACAGTGCTCCCCAGGCCCCTCTGCGTCTGAGGCTGTGCCGGGGGTGTGTCTCTCGGCTACAGACGCTCCCATCTCCACCATCTGACTAACCCTAATTGACTCAATTGCTCTCTCATCACTCCAAAAAAAATTATACAACAAATTTATGTATGGCAAAGTATATCACAAACAACTTTAATCATCAAATGATAAGACTGGTGAAAAATGTACACACTGCCCAGGGCTCAGCCCTCTTATGAAATGGCTTTCGCAAACTGAAGGCATGAACCAAGGACCCAAGATACAAACATTTCTCTCTTCGGTGTGAGTCTAGCTGGCTGGCTTACCTCGGACCTCCTCTGGAGACGGACCATCAGTACTGACGGTATGAACTATGAGCACCATTGGATGCATCGGCGACTCAAGTACTTGTCTATACCGGGAAGATTCAGCCCACACCTGGGTGCAGGACAGCGCCAAATGCGAGGGCAGAACCCCCAAGGCGTCCCTGCTGTCATCCTCAACAGCTAACTCTGCTTCAGTCTTTCCAAGCGAGGAAGTCTGTCCGCTGGCTGGCCCTGACAGCTGACACGCAGGCTAGCAGTGGTCTCACGGCTTGTGTGGTTCTAGGCCTGGGTCTCCACCTCTGATGGCCTTGTGGCCTTGAGCAGGTCACAGCTCCTTTCTGGACCTCTCTTGGCCCACATTTATGGGGCTGTTTGGAGGATTCAGTGTGGCAAGTTCAAGTCAATTCAAAACCACTCGGGCCTGGCACAGAACTGCTCAGTAACCGGAAGTTTCCTTAATAGTCTTTCCATCTGAACATCCCTTGGCCTCTGTCCAGCTCTCTTTCTATGTCTGGCTGTAATTCTGGTTGACCCAAAGGGCAGAGCTGAGGCCTGGGGGTCAAGAGCCGTGGCCCCAGGCGGCCTCGGGGTCTTCCCCTAGCTCTGGGCCACATGCCTGGGGAGGTGTTTTTGAGGGTTCTCCAGACTTGGTTGTGGCAAGATGCCACCATTCTGGCTCACAGGAGTGAGGGGTCCCTAGGCCCCACCTGATTCTTGGCCTGCGCTCCCATCCTGCCCCCTGCAGCCGGCCCCTTCTGTGTGTCTACTGGGGGAGCATGAGCTGGGTGTGGGGGCATGGGAAGGCAGGACGCCTGGGTTCCCACAGGCCAGTGGCTGAGTCACCCGGCGGCCATCTGGCTCCCATTAGCCCAGGGCGGCAGGGGGCTCTGTGGGGCGGGCCCTGTGGCCGGCGGGGGCAGGGATGCCGGAGCAGGCTGTGTGTGGGATGACTCAGGGCCCATGATAACAGCCTGTGCGTATTCGGGGAGTATAAACAGGAGAGCGAGAGGGAGGCAGAGGAAGTGAAGGGAAATTGTGGCCAGGCAAAAGAGGGCCAGTGGGGCTAGAAGCGGGGGGCTGGGAGGGGAAAGCCCCCCTCCCTATACCCCAAGCTGGCAGGCCCATGATGCCCAGTGCTGCCCCTGCTCATCCCTCCCAAGCCTGGGTGCAGAGGGAGAGATGAGAGCCAATGAACACCCTGCAGTCTCCCCGCTGCCTGCAATGAGGCTGTATCACTGGGCAGCCCAGCTGCAGGGGGCACTGAAACCCTGAGATAAAAGGCTGTAGACAGAGGGGGACAGAGCACAGAGGCCTAGAGATGGAAATATACTCGGAAGACCCACAGGCCCAGAGTGAGACTGAAGGAGAGATGGGAACATGACAAGAGGCAAGGAGGGACGAACTGGAGCCTGAGACACAGGAGAAACCAGGTAGAGACCAGGGGGGCAAGGGAGAGCTGCGCCAGGCTGGGTCAGCCCCAGCTGGGCCCTGGCACCAACCTGGCTGCTCCAGCTACCAAGGGCCCCACTGGCCTTGGACAAAGGGAAGGTGTTCATCCTGGGGACAGAGGCCAAGGCACAGAGAGAAAGAAAGAGAAAGGTAGAAAAGACAGTGAGGGGTGGAAAGAGGGAGACACACGGGAAGCAGATGACAGAAAGGCAGCAGAGAGAGAGAGAAGAAACTGAGATACCAGAGACGCAGGGTGGGGAGGAAAGCAGTGAGGGGAATGCAGGGAACCCAGGACACGGACCTGGGTGTCTGGGACGGGACTGGACCCAGCGAAGCTGAGGCTGAGGGGCAATGCCCTCCCGTCAGGGAGCCGGCCTGTGATCGGCTGTCAAGTGGGGGAGTGGGCAGGGTGGGCAGCTGGGGACCATCAGTTCCCATCCAGCTCTGGGCTGGGTGCATCGTCGGGCTCCTCCTCATCAAAGTACCTCTCCTCCTCATCACGAGCCACGATGTCCAGGTTGTCAAAGTCGGGGTTGTCGTCCACGGTGCTGCAGGGGGAGGGGCTGTCAGGGGCTCACTCTGCTGGGGATCCCAGCCTCCCCATTTTTCTGCTTCTCACCTTTTGGAGGAGCTGGGGCCTGTCCCCCGACCTCCCCGGAAGGCCAAAGGCTGCACACTGGCAGCTGAGAGAAGGAGCTAACTTCCGGAGGGGGAGTTGGTCTCAGGGCCTCAAACAAAAGGCGCCATTTCCCAAATTGGAGATGTTACATAAAAACTTCACAAAGCTGGAAGATGTGGTGACACAGGGGCCTGTATTCCTGAGACAGGGGTTCTCAACCAGTAAGATTTTGCCCCCCAGGGGACATCTGCTGATGACTGGAAACAGTCTGGCTGCCACAACTGGGGGTACCAGGGATATGTCACTCAACACCCTGCTGCAGAAGACTGTTCCCTGCACAGAGAATTATCCCACCCTAAGGCAATGGGTGACCCCAAACTGTGAGGGCCCCCACTCCACTCCACGCCCTCCCACGGCTCCCACCACACTGACTCAGTGCACAAGCTCTATCTGACCCAGCCCTGCCACCTGGGACAAGACCTCCTCTTCAGTCCTCACCCCTTGCCACCGCTCCAGCAGCCTTGCTGTTCCTCCGGGACACCTTGGGGCTCTTGCACTGGCTATCCCCCACCCACAGGAACTCTCTCTCCCCCAGGATTTATTTCACTTACCTTTCACTTCCTGCAGGTCTCTGCTCAAATGTCACCTGCCCAGCCAGCCTTCCCTAGCCCCTTGGCACTCTCCCTTGCTGACCCCGCTGTGCCTTTCTTCGTGGGCCCATCTCCACTAGATGCCCGAGGGTGCCTTGGCTTCCTCACTGGAGCAGGATGCTGTTCAGGGCAGGGAAGGCTCAGCTCCCACCCCTCCCATTCCTCACTCAAGGACCACTTCCTTGTGGGCACTGGGGTTTATGGCGGCAGTGGTGCCCCTACCAAGGGTTCCCCATGACCCAGGTTCTCTGCCCACTGCCCGGTGTGGGGATTCAGGCTGCAAGGCTCCAAGGCAGCTGGGTGGATCAGCCAGGTGTGCCTGCAGAGCCAGGATTCCCAGACTGGGCTGGTGATGCTCGGTCCTAGGGCTGCCTGTGGCCGTGGCACCCGCGATCTCCACTCTACTGATGAGGCCCTGAGGGCCCACTTGCTCATTGGAGCTGCGTTTGAAACCAGGGCCCTGTTGTCACTCCCAGTGTTTGGGACAAGGTGAGACTGTCTCAGGTGACGAGACTATTATCCTTGACTCTGACACTTCACTCTCCTGTGTCCTTTTCCCATCCTTCCCAGTGTAGCAGCCATGTGTCCTGCCGCTGGAGTTGCACTGGGAGACTACAACCAGCGCTGAGGCTGTCCACTACATGCCCTTCTCCATGGGGCATTAACTCTGCCAGGGGCCCCTGCCTATAGCATGAGGCGGGCCAGGCTCCTAGAGAAGCTGGGGTCCCTGGGGAACACTGAGGTGACTTGGGGTAGCGGCATCCTACTAGGCCACCACCACGTACCCGAATGGAAATGTTTCAGTGTTTTATCAACTTTAAGCTGCATGCCAGCCCTGTTCATTCCCCTCCTTCAGGTGAGGGGACTGAGACTCAACAGACGGGCAAAGCTAGTCCGTGGTCACCTGCTGACACTGACCTTCCGGGGCCTTCTAACACCAACAACTGAGGCCCTCGGAGGAGGCGCCTGGGATCTGGCATGCAGCCGAGGGCTGTGGGGTGCCAGCTGGGGTGGGGGAACGGGGCACGGGAGCACCTGTAGTCGAAGTCCCCGTCCTTGCCATCCAGGAAGTGCCGGTGCATCCGGCTGGTGAACTCTTCCCGCAGGATCAGCCTCTCTTCTGAGTCGGGGACCCAGGCCTCCGAGTCTTTGCTGGGCCTCTGGTCTGCAGTGGGGACATCCACAGTGGGGGGGATGTGAGGGGTGTGCCGAACCCACGTTCACAGAGGGCTGCTTCCTTTGTGCTGGGAAGGACTGGAAACAGTAATGACCAGGACAGCCCAGTCTCAGCCCCCCAGGGCACACTTCACACATGGAGACAAGGCAGTGCGCTGGACACTGCACGAGGTTGGGACCTGATCCCCGAAAGGTGCTGAGGTGGGGGCATTCCTGGAGGAGGGCACAGCATGAGCAAAGGCCAGGAGATGAGGGATTGCTGGGTGCTTTGAGAAGCAGGGGACGGAGACGATGGAGGGGCAGGGAAGGGCCAGGGCACCCAGGCTGGGCAGGGGAGGACGCGATGTCGGCTCTTGCAGGTTGGGGCTGCCCTGCTACTGGCCCTAACCTTCCTCATCACTGTCCTCCTCTTCTTCCTCCTCCTCTACACAGGCCTCTTCCTCCTCCTGCTGCTGGAGCAACCGCTGCTGCAGCTCCCGTTCTTGGTAGGACTGGAGTAGCAGATCTGTGAGTGGGCAGGCAGGCATGCTTGGGGAGCCGGGCCTGGGCGGCTGGTGGGTTGGGGTGCGCGTGCTGAGCTCCTCCTGGGTTAGGTACTGGCCAATGTACTGCTCGTACAGCAGCGGGGCCCGGAACCGCATCTGCTCGTCGCTGAAGTACTCGCCCCCTACACAGAGGAGACAGGGTGGGCGGGGGCCAGGGGTCTGCAGGCAAGGAGAGGCCTGGGTCTAGAGTACGTGTCTGAGCAGGTCATGTGTGATTGTGCTGGTGGCAGGCACGAACATACAAGCGCAGGCGTGCATGTGCACACTCAGGCATGTAGGTAAATAGGTAGATACAGGAGGTCGGCAGCCACAGGCACTCCCGTGTGCATCTGAGCTTGTGTGTGTCAGGCCTCTACATGTGCCTGGACAGGATTCCCAAGCTCCTGCCCATCCGCGTATGTGCATGGTTACACATGTCCACACATTCTGTTAGTGTCAGCACCAATGGCCACCCAAGTGCCAGGCAGCTGGCATGCATGGTATTGTAGGCAGGTGTACTGTAGACTATGGGCACCTGTTTACTGAGCCCCCTTCCAGCTGAGGGAGAATCGCCTGGACACGGATGCACTGTGGGGCATATAAGCATGCACATGCAGGGAGCTGGCATGTGTGTGCACAGGATTTGGTAGGCAGGGCACCTGCCCAGCTGTGGGTGTCCCTGGTGGTCTTCCAGATGCCAGATCTCACCTTTCCCCAGAGCGCCCCTCTCTGCAGCCACCCCTTGGGTGGGCCTGGCTTCCCCACCCCTCCCAAGCCCAGGTCCTTCCACTCCCCTGGCTGCTTGCTCTTGCAGAGGAAGCTCTGTCCCTCAGGAAACAGCGTGACCTGCCCTGGGCCCTTTCACCCAATCAAGGGTGAGAACCTGCCAGGAATCCTGGCCTCTGCAGCCCCGGGGTCTGGCTGCTTAGCCCTGCCCTCTTACCTCCACCTCCCTGGGTCTGGCATTTCCCACCACCTAGTTTCTCTCGCTCCTTCACCCTGCCTGTCACCCCTCTCTCTGGGTCTCAGTTTCTCCCTCTCCACCATTCCTGTTTCTCTTGCTTTCTTAGCTTGTCACCTGGGCTCCCCTCACCGTCCTCCTGCCCATCCTGTCTTCACCTCAGCTCCCCGCCTGTTGCCGTGCCTCACTTTGTCTCCTCTCCCTATATCCCGGGCCTTGTCCCTAACTAGAAACTTCACTTTCTCTCTGCTTCATTTGTTCTCATTTCTTAACTTTAGGTCAGGTGTCTTTGGTCACAAAGATGCTTGTAATTATGTCAAAGTCAAAAAGGTATGAATGTTTTCCTCCATGCTTGTCACATGTGTCTTGTTCCAGAGGGTCTTTGTGTCCCTAGGGTCATAAACACATTCTCCTCGGTGTCCTGCAGTGCCTTTGTGTATGGTGTGAGGTACAGAACTAATTTTCCTAAGGGATAACCAGTTATCGCAGTGCTGGGTACTGGGTCTTTGGCCCACTGACCTGAAACGGCCTCCTGTCATCCTAAATTCTGACCCTTCCCACCGCTTGTCCCATTCTCTTCCCTGGGACAGTGTGTCTCCAGCTGTCTCTCCCCAGCACCTCAGTGTGTCTCAGCCTCTCCCCATGTCCCACTCTCACAACCAGGCCCTCTGAGCCCCAGACTCCCTCCCACCAGCCCCATCCCCACACCTTGGATGAGCTCCCGCAGGGCCGCATAACGCCGGTTACGCAGGCAGGTGCGCAGGGTGCGTGGTCGGGCAGTGTCCTGCCGGGCCACCTCAGCACAGTAGAAGTCTGCGCGGTAGTCACCACGCAGGTGGCCAAAGCAGGCCAGGTGCTCCTCGCGAAGGCCCGTGCGGAAGCGCTCCAGGAACACCAGCGGCTTCTCGTGGTACAGCCGGCCCAGGATGGCCACCTTCTCCCGCTCAGTCAGGTCAGGCTCACCCTGCTGCTGGCTGCACACAGGCAGGTGGCTGGCAGCCACAGCACGCAGCATGGCACTCACCGCTGCATCCTCAGCCTCAGCAGGGTCACTGTCCAGGGCCCCTGGGGCTCCTTCTGCTGCTTCCACCTTGTCCTGGGGTCTGGATGGGCCCAGCATCCAGCTCGGCTCCCCCCAGTGTGCAGGACAGGTCTCTGTACAGCCTATGGGGTGAGGGGAAATTTGTTAGCCCAGGGATGGGAGTCGGGGAAGGGAGAGTGGGTGGAGAGGACTAGGTGTTCAATGGTCCACTCAGTTCACGTTTACTGAGCGCCTACTATATTGTGGGCACTATTCTAGGCTCTAGCAAGAAGTTGGCATTTTACTGTGGAACACAGGCAATTAAAAACATAATTACTGAGAACACAGTGTATTAGGAAATACATAGTGTGTTAGGTGGTTTCAAGAGTTATGCTAAAAAAAAACAGAGGGAAGGAGGGGGGAACCATGGGGGAAAGCTGTAATTTTAAATGGGTCAGTCAGACAAGACCTTGCCCAAAAAGTGACACTTCACTAGAAACCTGGGGTAATGAGGGACTGAGCCATGAGATTTCTGGGGGAAGAGTTCCAGGCAGAGGGAACAGCCAGTGCAAAGGCCCTGAGGCAGGACTGTGCTTGATGTGTTTACTCAGTCCTTTACCACCTTTATTGACCTACTCAATTCTTTGCCTTTCCACTTATTGTCCCCCACACCCACTCACTCTCTCCAGCTCATTGCACATTTATCCAACCACTCTAAGTCTATGCAAGGCCCCAAGCTGGGCAATGCTAAGGGTCCATGGGAGGTATGCAATCTAGCCCCTGCCCTCGGGGAGCACCCAGTCTGATGTGGAAGACAGGCAAGCTCAGAGACAATTACTGAGCACTAGACAATCATTGGTGAGAGCTGTTTCTCAAAAGTGGAAAATGAAGCAAGGCTGCAGCAAGCAGGACTTAAGTGCAGCAGGAAAACAAGAGGGGGTGGTAGTTAGAAAGCTGTTCAGGTGGCTGGCAGACAATGGGGTGGAAGGGCTGAGAGGTGAAGGAGGCAGCCAGTTAGGGCCCAGGCTCTACCCAGGGACTGGTCAAACTGCCGAGACAGAGTCATGGATGATGAGCAAATTTTGGGAAAGATGTTGAGGGCTGTTTGGGATGTGGAGGGTAGGATGGGCCTGGGACATCCCCAGGGAGGCACCTAAGATCGCTGGAGACTTCTTAGGAGAGGGGGCTGGGCTGGGGACAGAGTGGTGGGAGTCATCAGAGCCCAGACAAGAACTAAAGCCAAAGGAAATGAGAGGTGGCAGGGAGGGTCAGGGAGTGTGTGAGGGATGAGAAGAGGGGGCTAGGAGAGAGCTTTGACTGGATGAGGAGATGTGCCTGTGCAAGAGAGTAAGAGGTGGCCCCGAACCACCATCACCACCACATCTTAATTCCTAGAACTCGGGAGTGTTACTCTACATGGCCAAAATAAAGAAAAAAAAGGGACTTTGCAGACTGGATAAAGTTAAGGATCTCAAAGAGGGAGCTTATTTTGGATTATCTGGGTGGGCCCTAAATGCCATCTTAGGTGTCCTATAAGAGAGAGCCCAAGGGAGATTTGACACACACAGAAGAGAAAGCAATGAAAAGACAGATGGGAGCAAAAATTGCAGTGATGTGGCCACAAGTCAAGGAATGCCAGGAGCCACAGAAGCTGGAAGAGGCAAGGACGGAGTTCTCCCCTTAAGCCTCTGAGGGAGTCCTCCACATTCCTCCTGATGCCCTGATTTTTCAGCCTGGTGATCTTAGACTTCTGGCCCCCAGAACTGTGACAGAATAAACTTGTGTTATTTTAAGCTGCCCAGCTCTGGTCATTTGCTATAGCAGCCCCAGCTAGTAGAGGCTGAGCAGGAGAAACCCAAGAGTGAGGAAGGAAATCAGAAAGAGTGGTGGTGCCACTGCGACGAAGGGAAAACTTTCAAGAGGAATGAAGGGGCACCAGAATCTCCAAGAAGCCTAGTAAGAAAAAAACCCGAATAGGGTAATTGGGTTTAACCACATGGCGGAGGTCACTGGTGACCCTTATCAGAGCAGTTTCTGAAGGTCAAAGCCAGACTGCAGTGAGTGGGAGGTTGGAAAAAGAAGACAAGTGGAGCTGATTTTTGAGAAGGCAGATGGTATCTATCTGGAAGGCAGCATGGGTTCAGGGGGTAGATTTTTTTTTAGGTGTTTAGTTTTATTTTTTTTTTTTCTTTTTAATTATGGAAAACTTCAAACATGCACAAAAGTAGTGAGTACAATGACCAATGACCACCCCCTCCCCCACATACCTATCATCCAGCTTCCGGATTAACCAATTCTTGGCCAACCTCCTAATCACACCTCTGGGGACAGGGCATTACTCTGAGCAGAGTGTGCATGGGCCAGGAGAAGGGCTAGCCTGGAACAGTAAAGGAGTTAGCCTGGGGCAACGAAGAGTCACTGTGACACAGGGAAGGTTAACTTGAGAAGCACGGTTGGCTGGGACCTTGGGCCTAGGGCAGAGGGGAGGTCCAGGGCAGAGGGGAGGTTTATGTTAACCTGAAAGTTAGACTGGTAAGAAGTGGGTTAGCCTGTCCCCGAAAAGGCTGGCCTGGAACTTGGAAGAGATTAATTTCGGTGGGGGGAGGAGATGAAGGAAGTCGGCTTGCAACCAGAGTAGTTAATCCGGACAAAGTAGTGGAGACAGGTAAGGCCCAGGGGAGGTGTTCCCCTATAAAGAGTCTTCCTTTCGCGTTAACGGGGAATAATTTCCCAGTAACAACCCAGCCACACATTCCGGTCGCCTCCGCGTGGACAAAACCTCACCTTCATCGGGTTTCCTCGCAGCCGCCCCGGTCGCCACGGCCTCCATCCCGATTCTGTACGACTTGCTAACCGCCGCCGCAGCTCCGCACGCCCACCCAGGTCCCACGCCCTCACCGGTCACTTCCGGCGGAGAACAAGCTCGTGGTCCGGGGCTCCGCGGAACCTGGAACCTAAGTTCCGGGACCAAAGACGGCTGTCCTACGCGCATGCGTGCCTTTCCCGGGTACCGTCCTCCGCAGCCAGGAAGGAAATGAACGTCTAGAGCAGAGATCCTTCCGCCCCCACCCCACCAAGCCACCTGAACTGCTGTGAAATTTAAGTATGTGTAAGGATCTGAACCATTGTTCAACCTGTTAGCTGCTGTTGAGTCCAAAGCCTGGGATGCTTAATTTGGGTACTGATGGTTGAATGACTACCTTCCCTGGCCTCTGATTTGTGCTTTTAGAAGCGTCTATTCCCTTAACTACTAAAAAGTAGTATTTACTGAGCCTTATCTTGTGTCTGTCATCATACCCACTCCCTGGCTAACAGATGGGTGTCGTGCGATAGAACTTCCCACTTTGTATTCCCAGGACCTGGGGAATCTACAGATGTGGAGAGGTAGAGCTTGTGGTCCTGATTTACCCTAGGTTATGAATACTCATAGTCAGGTGTGCTACTAACAGGAGTAGAGACATGTCACCAGTGATCATCCTGAGTGGCCAGGGCTCTGGTGGATCCACGGGGTTAGGGGAGCTGCCCACCCCAGCTTGGAGGGTCAAGGAAGGCTTCTTTCTGGGAGGAGGGAATGCTCAAGCTAAGACCCGGTGAACAGGAATTAGAAGAGGAGGGTCTAAGGCAGGAGGTTGGACCCAGAGGGGAGGCCAGTTCTGGTTGTTGTATGGTCAGGGGAATAGGGAACAAGCTTGGATTCCCTGACTGGGCTGCAGAAAATTTGAGAACCTCATAAATCTTTATACACAATCCCACATACATTTGCATTTTGCAAGGCAAATTCACATATCTAGATTCTAAAAGGGATTTGTGAATCTCCAAAGAACGAACCACTGATTTAACGTTCAACGGGGGAATGGCAAAGATGAACCCAGTGAGGTCAGCAAGGGGTCAGGCACATGGGGCCTCATAAATTGTATTAAGTAGCTTGAGCTCCTTTATCTTAGGTGAGCAGGCATGGGGTATCAGGGTAAGGGACTGGATATCAGGCAGATCTGTGAGGAGGCAGGCATAATCGAGACGCTGTGGCCAGGAGCAGAGATGCAACTTCCCACTTGCATTCCAGGTTAGGAGATCTGAGTGGCTCATCTGCCGCACTGGATAGGTGGGGACTAGACTAGACAATATCCAGGAGGGGCCAGCAGGGGGCGCTGCTGCCCAGCACATGGACCTATAGAGAAGGGGACTTCCCAGATAGCAGGGACTTTGAGGCCCTGTTGGTTGCTCTCCCAGAGCCAGAGAGGTGGGGGGCAAACTAGCCAACCTTAGCTCCATCTCAAAGTTCAGATGCCCCACCCCTAACCTCAAAATGAGTTGCCTTCCTCCCCCCCTTTTTTGCAGCCTGTTTCCCCTTTACAACCTTTCTTAGATACTTCCTATGAGGGTAGGGATGGAGCTGAGCTGGCCATGGCCACTCCTGTGCCAGCATTGTCCCTCACAAGTGGCCAGGAACACATGTCCAGAGAGATGAAGATATGACTGAAGCTGCTGGGGAAGGGGATGATAGGCTGTGGGGAGGCAGTCAGAGTCTATTTAAAATGTTCCCTTCTTTAGGAAACCCCCTCACCTCAATACAGCCCACCCCAGGATTGCACAGCTGGGCCACTTGGTGCTATCACTGCCTGACAACAGGTCTGTTGTTTCTAGACTGAGAGCCCCGAGAAGGCAGGTCCAGGCCTGCCTTGGCTATGCTGTACCCCCAGCACTGTTCAGACAGATGAGGAACAGAGCATGTGCCCAAAACATACCGGCTAGAGTAGCCCCTGGAATCCCAACCAGCCTGGATCCAAGAGTGTAGGCAGAACTGTCCTAAGTCCAGCACACAGGCCAGGCCTGATGTGGATGGGCTGTCACACCCCATGACAACCCCCAAGAGCCCAGCCGTGGTCTTTACTCCTGTGATCCTACCTTGCCTTCCACCAAGGGACCTGTTCCACGCTTTCTACTTACAAATTCCCAGAGGCATTTGGGACTGTGAACTGACTGGAAAAGGCCACTGGACCAGAAAACCACTTTAAACTGAACTAGTATATTTTAAACTGAGGGCCCCAGGCTTAAGGAGACACCGCCAGCACCAAAAATGGGGCTAGGCACACAAATCCCTCAATAATGTATGAATGAGTTTAATGAATTAGTAAATAATGTCCCCTTGGAAAAGTCCCACCCCAATTAGAGGCCAACTGCAGTTAACACTTCAGGGTATCAACCCTGCTTCCTTCCTGCTAGGAGGTGCCATGTCATTTATTGAAAGAAAACAAAACAAAATAAAACAAAACAGGGCAAACACATTTCTTAATAAGTGCAGTTTGTTAAAATCCTGTTAAAACATATGGGTCAAAGGGAAGTAAAAATAATCAGAGGATCACTGCAGGACAGACCTTTAGGTATGACACCTGGGAGACCTCTGGAGGAGAGGTAGTGGGAGAAATCCTTGTTCTAAAAGGAAGGATGCCCCCTCCCCCCACCTCCCCTTCTTCCCTCTCACCCTCTTAAGCCCACCAGAAACTACCAAGACGCCTGGAATAAAAGGATTCAAGTTCAATAGTCACACTCTCTCCAAATACAAAAAGCAGTTACAATTCAACTCAACACAGAAGCTTGTGTGCAAAGTTATGGGAAACTGAGACATTGTATAAAAGTTACGTTAAAGATGATTCTGTGGTTTTGTCTGTTATATGTTTTGTGTTGAGGGTGTGGCTCTTCCTCTGTCACCTGAACTCAGCAAAGAAATGGTTATCCTGGTAAGTATCAACAGCCACAGTAAAAACGGACAAATTCTAAAAATTACAAAAAAAGAGAGGCATAATTACAAAAAAAAAAAAAAAATCTGTCACTGCTTCCTCCCTCCTCCACATTGTTTTTTAAACTTGTGGGTTTTTTTGTTTTTAAGTTTTTGATTTCTTTTTTAATTCTGAAAAGTAGACAGTAAAACAGCTCCTGGAAGAATTTACAACTGCATCAGGGTCTGGGAAGCTGAGGGGCTGCAGCAGGGCTGGGATGAGGGGACAGGAAGGGTCTGCCCCTCAGCCATTGTAGCCTCACTGTACGACCAAGGGAGGTGGGGTCTTTAGCCAAAAAGGAGGAAGGCAGGAAGAGGAGGAGGAGGCGGCGGCAGAGGAAGGAGGGGGTACAAACAGAAAATAAAAGGTCATTGTTGCCTGTTTGAATCCAGAGAAAAATGCCTGGCCCCGTGTGGGGAAGAAGCCCCTCACAAGGGGAGGCAGTGGGCTGGAGGCGGCAGCCCTGGGATGACCCATCCCCCAGCACCACGGACCCAGTTGGGTAGCGGAGGGGGCCGAGGTGGGCGCTGGTGGAGGAAGCCGGCAGGGCCTCCAGAGCACACTGGCTACTGCGTGCTGGTGCCCCCCTGTGTGTTCCCGGAGTAGCTTCCGTAGTCATAGTTCCCGTAGTACGGCGGCCACTGGCTCTGGTTCTGATAGTACTGGTTCCACTGCTGGGCATACTGGGGGTGGGGGGCAGAGAAACCAAGAACACCAGGTTGTCCATCATCCAGACCCATATTGGGATCCTCCCCTGGTCCTGCTCTTGGCAAGGTAGTGACATGGGTCCCAGCAAAAATCAAGGCAACTTGGAAGAACAAGTGACTGACCTGCTGCCCAATGTGTGGAGTTAGGGACTGAAGCCCAGGTTTCCTGGCCTGCCAACCCAATGCCCTTTCAGGTACAGACAGACACCAAATTCAATTTACTTAATGACAGGTGTGGCGGCCTAGAACCAACCCAGCAGAATGGACACTGGCCATGGTGCTGAAGCAGGCTTTGGAAGCTCCCAGTCTGCCCTTGCTGCACTGGGGAGGGGGGCTGGATACCAGTTATTTAGCGGTCAGTGCAGAAGTGTTCTCCATCCTCCCCCCACCTCCCCTTCTTCCCTCTCACCCTCTTAAGCCCACCAGAAACTACCAAGACGCCTGGAATAAAAGGATTCAAGTTCAATAGTCACACTCTCTCCAAATACAAAAAGCAGTTACAATTCAACTCAACACAGAAGCTTGTGTGCAAAGTTATGGGAAACTGAGACATTGTATAAAAGTTACGTTAAAGATGATTCTGTGGTTTTGTCTGTTATATGTTTTGTGTTGAGGGTGTGGCTCTTCCTCTGTCACCTGAACTCAGCAAAGAAATGGTTATCCTGGTAAGTATCAACAGCCACAGTAAAAACGGACAAATTCTAAAAATTACAAAAAAAGAGAGGCATAATTACAAAAAAAAAAAAAAATCTGTCACTGCTTCCTCCCTCCTCCACATTGTTTTTTAAACTTGTGGGTTTTTTTGTTTTTAAGTTTTTGATTTCTTTTTTAATTCTGAAAAGTAGACAGTAAAACAGCTCCTGGAAGAATTTACAACTGCATCAGGGTCTGGGAAGCTGAGGGGCTGCAGCAGGGCTGGGATGAGGGGACAGGAAGGGTCTGCCCCTCAGCCATTGTAGCCTCACTGTACGACCAAGGGAGGTGGGGTCTTTAGCCAAAAAGGAGGAAGGCAGGAAGAGGAGGAGGAGGCGGCGGCAGAGGAAGGAGGGGGTACAAACAGAAAATAAAAGGTCATTGTTGCCTGTTTGAATCCAGAGAAAAATGCCTGGCCCCGTGTGGGGAAGAAGCCCCTCACAAGGGGAGGCAGTGGGCTGGAGGCGGCAGCCCTGGGATGACCCATCCCCCAGCACCACGGACCCAGTTGGGTAGCGGAGGGGGCCGAGGTGGGCGCTGGTGGAGGAAGCCGGCAGGGCCTCCAGAGCACACTGGCTACTGCGTGCTGGTGCCCCCCTGTGTGTTCCCGGAGTAGCTTCCGTAGTCATAGTTCCCGTAGTACGGCGGCCACTGGCTCTGGTTCTGATAGTACTGGTTCCACTGCTGGGCATACTGGGGGTGGGGGGCAGAGAAACCAAGAACACCAGGTTGTCCATCATCCAGACCCATATTGGGATCCTCCCCTGGTCCTGCTCTTGCCAAGGTAGTGACATGGGTCCCAGCAAAAATCAAGGCAACTTGGAAGAACAAGTGACTGACCTGCTGCCCAATGTGTGGAGTTAGGGACTGAAGCCCAGGTTTCCTGGCCTGCCAACCCAATGCCCTTTCAGGTACAGACAGACACCAAATTCAATTTACTTAATGACAGGTGTGGCGGCCTAGAACCAACCCAGCAGAATGGACACTGGCCATGGTGCTGAAGCAGGCTTTGGAAGCTCCCAGTCTGCCCTTGCTGCACTGGGGAGGGGGGCTGGATACCAGTTATTTAGCGGTCAGTGCAGAAGTGTTCTCCAAACAGAATGTCTACACTAGATGACCACCACCAGCCTGAGGCCAGTAGCCTGACCATCTTCTTAGGGATCAGCAGGGACTCAAGTCTACATGGTGCCCCTGGATGTCTCCCCATTCCTCTGCCCACTGTGCCCACCACAGACCCCCAACCAACTGGCACCTACCTGCTGATACTGGTTATAGCTGGGTTGAGGGTAGGTCTGTGCGGTAGGGGGCGGTGGTGGGGTGTAGGGGGCTGGGTTGTAGCCACCGTAGCTCCCGTAGTTGTAGGCGGGTGGTGGTGGAGGTGGAGGTGGTGGGGCTGTATAGCCCTGGTTGTAACCTCCCTGGCTGTAGGGTGGCTGGCTGTAACTCGGCTGCAAAGCAGGGGGAAAAACCAGGACCTTATGAAATAGCCAGCTCAGCTGGGATGGCAGGAGACCCTTCATAAGCACTGAGCTGACGAAAGAGTGGAGGTTGTGTGAGGGCTGAGGAGGTGGGTCAGCCCTACAGAAAGGCATGGTAAGGCTGGAGTCTAATCAGCTCTGAGACCCTGAGGGAGCACAGCACACGCTCTCTCTTAAAATCCCAGGGTTTTTTCCTGTAGAAAAGAGAGAGAACTACACCTTCAGATGATTGCCTTGCACATTCAGTAAGCTGAATGTGTGCCCAAAGTACGGGGCACTCCGTAAAGGTGGGAGCTGTTATGGGAAGGCCTGAGAAGGAGCAGGGGGGCTTTCCTAGGTGCTGCCCGCACCCAGCTGTGTCATTCACTCATTGAGTCCCCATCAACTCTGGGAGGTGAGACTCCACTAGCGTCATCTTACAGATAGTCCAAGGCCCAGGGGTGAAACCACTGGGCCCAAGTCACACATCTAAAAGTGGCAGAGCTGGAATGTGACCCCCCATCTGCTCAGTCCCCAGCATTACCCTTCAAGCTACAGTGCCACACCACTCATCCCTCAACAAAGCCTGGAAGTGAGTTCTACTAACAACTCTGGCCCTTCATGAGGCAAATAAGGTCCACAGAGGTGAAGCTGTCCAAGGTCATAAAACCAGGATGTTGCAGGGCTGTGGTCTGAGTATGTGCTTGCCCACTTCCTGTCCAGAAATATTCTGGTTAGACCAGTACTAGGAACTATTGATCTCTACCTTCCGGCAGCTGTTCTTAGGCTTGGCATGTGGAAGGTGCTCAGGTACTGTGCAGTAAATTTGGAGACTATTCTGGTTAAAAGGGGCCTGTGGGCACCAGAGCCTGAGCACTGGCTTTCAGAGAATTGGAAGTGAGCCAGGAGCTGCTCTGGGGCAGAGGGTGAATCCTCCCAGCCTCAGGGCCTGTTTCCACATCCTGAAGGGTCAGCTCCTTCCAGCCTGGGCAAGGGGTAACTCTAATTAAGCATTTTCTTGGGGATTCAATGAGTCCAGCAACACAGCTGAGAGAAATGTACTTGTTAGAGAGACAAATGCTTGTAGCTTGTCCCCCTTTTTGCAAAGTGAGAGAACAGGTAGGTTCCTGATTTATGCTGGACTTAGTAGTAATCTGGGATGTCTAGGGTCTATACTAGTCAAAAGCACTGCCAGGGAAGGGCAGGGTTCAGGGTGAGAGTGTAGACCTGTGACTGGAGCACGTGTTGGCATACGCCCAGGTCCCACCTCCTTTCACCTGCACGTATGTGTGCATGCGTGCACACACACAATTTCTCTCACCTGTGGGGGGCTGTAGCTGCTGACAGTGGGGGTGCTGGTATTGGCGCTTGAGCCAGGGATGTTGCTGTTCTTGTAGCTGGGGGCCCCTGGTGGGTTCCGAGCAGGGCTGTAGCTGGGTGGTGGCGGTGGCTGCTGCGGTGGTGGCTGTGGTGGTGGTGGCTGCTGTGGAGGTGGCTGTTGCTGGGGAGGCCGGTTGTAGCTGCCTCGGTTGTTGGAGTTGTTGTTATCCCGGTTGTTGTTACCCCAGCGGTTCTGGTTATAGCCACCACCTCCGCTACGGTTGAAACCTGTGTTAAAGAAACCAGATGAAAGGCCCTGTCATTCTCAACTTGGGACCCTCAGGAGCTGGACTGTCTTGGTGACTATGGTCCCAGCATGACCAGGCACAAAGCAAAAGCTCAGTTCATGTGAAAAATAAAGCCCTGCTCTGGGCTTCCCTAGGCCCTGGCTGTGCTTCCCTAGTAACAGTCAGCACTGTCTGCCATGGACAGGTTTGTTCTGCTCTCTGACTACAAGCCTGTGACAAGGGCTGCCTTGCTTTCTACCATGTCCCCAGCATCTTAATAGCTATTGAACAAACCTGAAGAGATATTCAGAAAGAGAGATGCTAAGCACTGGGGACAGTCCTCTTCAGGCTTGGCCAACAGGCTTGCCTCTCCTGAGCCCTTGTGCACCTGTTTATTGGGCCCAGAATCCCCCAGCTAACTCCTACTGGCCTCTGGGCCTTAACTTAGACATCAGTGCTTGAGGAGGCCTTTCCTGAGCCCTGTTTCCCCACAGGCTGGACCAGGTGTTACCTGAGCTCACAGTACCCCCTGCACTTTCCCATCCTTCTGGGCTGTCGCTACAGAGTGATATGTATGGGTCATGGCTGTGTCCCCAGAACTATCCAGCACAAAAAAGACTAAAACAGAGAGTACAGCATGCTAGTTAAATTTTACTTCAGAGAGAGCGGAACCCAGTGTCAAAGAACTTGGGCTTTGGACCACCTGATCCCAGCTCTGGATTTAGCTTAGTGAATCTTGGGCAAATTAACCTCTCTAAGCTAGCTTCTCCATTTTTTAAAACCAAAAACAAGTCCTAACATTTGCTTTAGCCCAGGTCCTGAGCTGGGAACCAGGATTGGTAATAAACTCGGTCTGGCCCCTCTCCTAAAAGAGCTCATGGTCATATGGAGATTCACAAAAACAATGGCAAGGGGACTACAAATGAGCGAGGGCTTCAGGAGCAACACCCAAGGGTGCAGGGCAGTGGGAGTTTCCCTGAGGTCCCAGAGTCTGACTGATCTCGGTTCTCTGCCAGAATTGAGCCCACAGCTGGTGCTAGGGAAGCTTCATCTACTGAGAATAAGCAGTCACAAGGCCCAACCCTGATCCAGAACCCAAAGTGGAGAGAGCGCTGTTTTGAGATGGCTCACCTCCTCGGTAGTTGCCTCCTCCACCACTGCCTCCCCCTCGGCTCTGGAAACCTCCTCGGTTGCCCCCAGGGGGGCCTCGGTTGTCGTAGCGCTGGAAACCACCGCCACCCCCGCGGCCCCGGAAACCGCCTCCAGCTCGGTTGTCAAAGCGCTTTTCAGGGGGTGGGCCGGCCTTGCGGCCTTCTTCGTTGTATTGCCTCACCAGCTTGTCTGCTTCATCTCGCTGCAGCTCAACGAACAGCACCTCGTCCAGGAAGTCCCCAACGTCTGGCAACGTGAAGTTGGCTAGGAAGACGGGACGACCCCAGAGGGAACAAGGCGAGGCAGGTCAGTATCTTCTGCTGTCTGCGCCCCTCTATCCCCAGGGCACAGCAGGTGAGAGGGGAGGAGGCACTGGAGTAATGAGCAACAGAGGTGAGGCAGGGTCCCAGACTCAGCCTGACAATAGCCAGGGGCCAACAAAGGCCCTCTTCTTTCTTGAAGAGGTGGCTGGGCCCCACCACACTGGTGTTTGTAAACACTCCCTCTGGCCTCATCCCAGGGAGTGGGCCAGGAAGGTGGAAACCCCACCCTTATTTTTAAAGAGAAGCAAAATGAGGCTTGCTCAGTCATCCTGCCCAGCAGGCATGACCATGACCGTGCAGTCTCAGTGTCTGCCCCAACGCATCATCTTCCCAATCCTGCCCTGGCCCCATCTGGGCTGAAAACCCTGCCACTAGAGACAGGGGCAGCTTTTGCAATCACAACCGCACTAGACAGGGAAGGAACAAAGCAGAAACACAGAGAGAACAAGCTCAAAGAAGGAATAATCAAGGAGCTGGGGAGAAGCTGCCTAAGGAGCTTTTCCTTTAAGGACCCTGCTGTGGTGTCCCTCTGAGAACCACTCAGCTCCTACCTTTCATTTCTAAGACCGCGTGATCTGGCACATCCTTCCCTTCCTCGTCAGTTCGCTTTATTGTTCGGTCTTTTAGGTCCTCATCAGTGGGACAAATTACAATAGCTTTGCGCTGGAAGCCTTCAAATGGTCTCATTTTTCGTCTCTGGGCTGACCCATAAACATTTGTCTAGAGGAAGGTAACAGAAGAGACAAAAGATAGTACATTAAAAGCTTTTCCCTCTGTGGGGCATTATGTAGGCCAGGTACTGAGAAAAGGATACTAGTTCTCCTAAGCAAAGAAATTCTGGAAACTGCTTTCCTTCACTTTTAAGATTCTTGAATCCACTCCTCAGTAAAAACTGACATGGGGAAGTGGCTGCTGACAGTCACAGGACAAGGGATTCCTAATGGCTGGGCTTTGCCTTTTCATCCTATTTGTTCTTGGTATGTGGCTTCACTCCACCTGCACCTGCTCTAAAAGTAATACTGTTTACAGTAAAAACTTCAGAGCGCAAGGTGTAAAGTTTAGAGTAAGAATCCCTACATCTGCCTACGGTCAGACTTAATTCTCAGAGATGAGCTGTTCTCTATTTCTCAAGTACTTCTAGAACATTTGTGATTTCTAACACTAATGGAATCATACCATACATACTCTTCTGAAGGCTTTTGTCACCTAATGTTTCTGTAACATTTTTCTGTGCCAGTGTTCTTTTAATGGCTGCTTAATATTTACAGAATTGATGTCATAATTAACCAGGCCCATTGACAGTTATAAATATTGTTTTTATCAAATTGGTTCTTTTATTCCCTCAGTGCTTCTCTGAAACATCAGCTTTACCCACAAGCTCCCAACCAGGGGGCTTCCCAAGGCAACAGCCTGTGCTTTTCACAAGTGTAGTCTTCCTGCAGATGTTTTCTTCCCTTTCTCCAGGTGACAGGCAGGGGCATCCTAGGCTGGTACCGGCACAGAGTTGTGCCCTAGGACACATCTGATCGAGAGCAGTAATGACAAGAGATTCCATCTACTGAATACCTCCTACATGCCAGGCCCTTGGTGATTTGAGCTCAGATTTGTTGGACCCCTGGGCTCCACAGACTCAGCTTGTATGTCTGAATCACTTGGAAACTACTGAGATAGCAGCCCAAAGCTCACCTGAGACCTCCTGAACTCCAAACTCTGGAGGTAGGACTCTATCTACCCTATCCAAACTCAGACACCCAAAAGAGCTGGAGTAATCAGGAATAGCTGCATTTAAACCACTTTTAGGGGCTCTGACAGGGACTTAAGGGAGAAGCTGTAGAGGAAAAGAACAATCTGTAAAGGGACATGCACAGATGGATAAAAAATGCTGTATTTTGAAGATGTGGGTAGTAGGGTGGAAAGAGCCCAGGTTCAAGTCCTGGTACAGCCACTAACTCTGGCCAGTCCTTATGGTTGCTTCATCTGTAAAATGGGGAAGGAAGCCTCCCCTCCCAGGGCTGGTGAATATTGACTGGGAAGACAGCCACAAAGCAACTGAGCATGCGTGAGGACTCCTAAGTGGGGGCCAGGAGGTGGCCTCCAGCATGGGAGCTGCCTGACTGAGGCAGGCAGTGTGGCTTGGCACAGCCCAGCTCTAACAGTACTTCTACTCAGAGCCTCAGCCTGATCATCTGTGAAGTCCACTTACTGCATGTTTACAACAGAGTCTCAAGCTTTGAAAGAGGAAAACAGTAGGAATGTCATATGGTTGCTGTTAAAACGGAAGGAATTCATGTGAGTAAAAGCCCTGGTTAGCCCTGGGCCTGGCTCAAAGCCAACACTCAACAAATGGAGCTGCTGTCGATGTGGCCGTCACTGGGCGGGGTGCCAGGGAAGTTCTGTGACAGTGCCTTGAAGCAACCCAAACTAAGGGAAGTTCTGGCTACAGTGACTTCCCATCAGCAAGGCAGGGACAGTGAGGCCAGGTGTGAAGACCACAGGCTTTGGGGAAGAAGCTCGGAGTTGAAATCCCAGCCATGTCCCTTCTTTTTGTGAGATTGTAGGCAAGTCACCTAATTAGTCTGAGTCTCAAATTTCTTCATCTCAAAGACAGGTATTGTATCACCTCCTCCTGGATCTGGTGGGGATTTGGAGACGTGAAAATGTCTGGCATGTGGCAGGGAGGGGCAAGAAAATCAGTCAACATACACAGGGTAGATTAGAAGTATGGCCAAGAGGACTGACACTGTCCTAGGGGAGGCTTCACACTGGAAAGGACCAAGGAAAGTTAAGTTTGAGAAAAAGATGAGGCACAAGAGAGCCTCTTCCAAGACACAAGAATAGGAAGCGGGCTTGTAGGTCAGCCAGAGGCCAGGGCCCCCAGTGCATACCTGCTGGGAGATCTGGGCTGTGAATGCAGCTCTTCTCTAAGCTGACCTGACCCTCTGGCCCCAACACACATACCAAGAAGTTCTTCCCAGTTCCCCTGGGAAAATGCCCCAGCCTTCACCCAGTGTGTGTGCTGGGCATATATATGCTGTGATCTGGGCCTTGAGCACTGGCCCAAGGAGAGGCTTTGGGTCACAACTGGTTAAAAAGCCCACAGGTTACAGAGGAAAAATCAAGTCCCTCTCCCCACTGCTCCTTCTCCTTCTGGACTCTGTCCCTTAAAAATACAGAGGTAGCTAGTCAAGGAAGATATAAGTTGGCTTCTTCCAGCTGAGTAACAAGGTTCCCCCCTGGCTTACAAGTCCTAGTGGGGAGGTGCCAGGGTGAATGTGGCCTCAGACCATTCCCTGGACAACCCACTCGTTTGTTTGCCCATAAGAAACAATCCCATTTCACTCCTTTGAATTCCAAGGCCATGGATAAATACCTCCTGGGTTTTCTGGGGGGAGACCTGCCCTGTCTTATGCTCTGATGAGGGAACAGAGAAGAGAAGCAATTGCCAAGAGGCCCAGTCTGCAGCTCCAAGGGATGAGAGAACCTGGGGCGGAGCAGACTGGACTCATACATAGCTGGCCTCTGTTCTGGGAAGTGGCTAGACTCTTGAGGGATGGCTCCTCAGACTTTGGAACTGAGGTACTGAGAACCCAGCAGTTTTTAAGACTGTCCCTCCCTCCCCTTAAGTCTTTGGCCCAGGAAAGGGAAGAAGAGTTCTGAACCATGCCAGCAAAAATGCAAATACTTGGCTTTCCTGGAGGAAAGGGACCTCGCTGCTGGTGGCTGTTGCCACAGCAAACACAGTGAGGTCAGAGCCCCCGGCTGGCCCCGCACTGCTGTGGTCACTAGGGGCTGCTGGTGGCTGTTGCTAGGAAACCAGCACAACAGCTACGCCAGCTTTTCCAGCTGTGTGGGCTCCCTCTGCCTAGCTGCTGCTTCTCCTAGTTTCACCCTGCTTGAAGATGCAGACTCTTTGAAGGTCTTGGGCTATCTGTGTCCCCTGGACCCCTAGCTGCCTCCAATCCCCAGTAATGCAGAACAAAGGCCAGCAGCTGGGTGTTTCACAGAAGCTCTGTGGGCAGTTTTAGTGTGTGACAATCTGCGGGAGCAAGGGAGGAATACAGCATGCTGCTCACAGCTTGAGTTCTGTGAGAGTCCTACTGTACCCTGTCCACAGCTCAACAGGGTCAGGCAGCAGAGGGAGAAACCTGGCTGGATCCCAGAGGAGCAAACTTCAAGCTGAAGACAAGGAGAATGGGCTGAGGCTCTGGGGATGGGAAAGGTTGTGGAAAGGTACATCCCCTTTGGCAACACCTGCCAACATGAGGCAGTTTACTCTACTCTGGGCCTCTGCTCTAGCCCTAGGATTCTGTTTCAGGCAAAGGCGTGGCACCTGTCAACAGGGATGCAAAGCAGGACTAGAACCGCACGTTCTGATGGTGTTGGTGATGATGTCATATTCAGCCCTGCCTCTAATCACTGCCTAGCCTTGCTCTGGGCTGTAAAGCCCTAAGGAACTCCAAGACTGCAGTCCTCAAGTTGGGGTAATTTGGGACCCTCACACATGGCTCTGCAGAGGCCCTCTCATGAGCCTCCAGGAGGGCAACTTGCTGCCTCACAGAGGCCAGCTCCTGCTCTACACCCAGTCTTGGGGCTCCTTGGTAGGCTAGGGACAGAACAGGCAGCATCTCATTCTGGAGGCTTTCCACGAGCAACAGTGGACCCTTACGAGTCACTGGAAGCAAAGTGGCCTCCTACTTTTCTTTTCTCCTTGCTCTTCAGCCTTTCACTAGCCAGGCAAATTTAGCCATATCCCTCCCTGATTAAAACACATCCATGGCTCCCCACTGCCCTTAGGGCAAAGCCTCAACTTTTTTATTATCTTTCATGTCCTGACTCCAACATCGCACCCTCAGGAAGTGCTCCCAGTTTCCACCATGGCCCCAAGTGTTCTGGGCCGTAGCCATCTGTGAAGTCAGCCGACCCACAGTCTACTAGTAAACTGATGGCATAATTTCAGACAGGTTCCTTTCCTCTATTGGGCCCGTTTTCCCACTGGTCTCTTTTTCTCCTCCAACATTCCACAGCTCTAACGCCCACATGATCTGAAGAGGATACTCAGGTCATCAAGGAATGTTGGGTAAAATCCCCAACACACCTGAGAGCTTGTATCTAGTGAGACACATCCAGGGGTGGGGGCAGGAGTCCAGGCCAAAGGTAGAATCCTGTCTCCCACAGCTTACTTGGCTTTTGTAGGCATGTTCTTAAGCTCAAGACGAGCAGCTCTGCAGCCAACCTACATTACTAGTAGACCCAGAAGAACCAATGTGGGAGGCCTGACCACTTGGCAAAAATGAGAGGGAAAAGGATAAAGACAACTCTGAGCTGAGATCAAGAGACCTGCAGGGACTATGTCTGTAGTACTGGATCCGCTCCAGGAGTTTCATCTAGAGCAGGACACAGTTATGTCATCAACTTACTGACACACACAGTTTTCTGGAACTCCCTTTTGGGGTTTAGGCCAAAACAATGAAACCACTGGTTTTAGACCTCTTCCCAAGCCTGAATAACCTACAGCTTCAGGCCCAAGTCCATCCTCCAATCTGTGGTTAACCAGAGAGCACTCCTCCCTGACCTGCAGTTTAGGTTGTTTTGCCTCACTTTTGGCCTAGACCATTTGGCCCAACCTGCATGTCCCTCCACCAATAGCCTTGAAGACCACAGATGCACCTGGTACAGCCCTGGACCCATACGCAAGCCAGCACAAGCCGAGAAGGCCAACAGTCTTTACAGAGCTCAGCTGTTTGTGCCTGGCTGGGGTGCTAGAGGCCTGATTTCCAGAGAAGGCCCCATCTACCCTAGGACTATAATCCTTCTCCACTGGGCCATGTATGTGAAATGGGTTTCACAGCAGATATAACCAGCAAACTGAGAAAAAGGCAGGCAATACTTGCTGGGGTACCCCCCAAAAAAGAATCATTGGTGTGTTAACACGCCACCATTGCTTTTTCAGGACACTGAGTTCCCCAAGGGGCCAAGCCGGAGTATGATTCCAAAATGCCCTGATGAGAAGAATGGGGCCAAGTGAGGTCAGGGTTAAAAAACAGAAAACCAACAAAATTGTCTTGGACTGCCCTATGCTTAACTGCTTTGTTGTTGCTTTTCCTCTCCAGAAATAGATGTCTTCTAGACATTAGCCCAATTAGTGTTTTTATCAGAATTCAGTATTATGGGATCATGTCCTGTCTTCGTTTCAAATGTGAGTCTTCAGGGTTCGGTCCCATAGTTGTGGCACTAGTCACTGGATGAAAAGTACATGTTTCCATATCCACCTTCCAGAAAAGTAGAACTCAGAGTAAATCTAACATTTCCACTGTAATGGAAGAGTGCCAAGGGTGTGGCACAGCCTCAGCCAACTTTCAGTTTTTCCAGCATGGCTCTTTCATGAGCAAACCACAGATTTCCCCTCACACCACCTAACTACTTGGCAAGATCATTTAAATTGTCCTATCATGAAGAACTACCACAAGCCAACAGCCTTTTCTCTTTTTGTCTTTAGAAACTAAGTTCTCATTATGTGCTCCTTTCAAATGCTGGATATAAGGCATAATTTCAACCGTAAATACTAGATCATTGGTTTATTATAAAAGGAATGGCCAGACGGAAGAGATGCATTGGGCAAGGTATGTGCGAGGGGTGTGGAACCCCCATGCTCTCCAAGATACCATTCTCCCTAAATCTCTGTGTACACCAAGCGGGAAGCTCCTGCTCAGTTCTGTGTTAAGATACTCACTCCTCTGCAAAGGCAGCTTGGTCCTGCAGTTTCCAACCACCTTTCTGACAAACCAGTCACCATCACTAGTTCACTAGTTCACTAGTTAGCCTTCTGAACTCCTGGTGACCAAGTACCCAGGGCTACACAGAGGGATGGTACCCCTGTAAGGCTGCCAGGGCAGGGGTGCTACACTCAGCTTACATATTTACACACTCAGAGGTTTTTCTGGAAGCACAAATGAAAGTGATGGGAACAGAGACTTATTTACAGATCCCCAAACACAGGGTCTTCTACGTGAGCAGGCCTTCAGGACAATGTCAAGAATGATGTCCCACAGGTAGTAAACACTAGGAACTCATTATTTTGAGACAGGAATCCCAAACATTTGGGTCACTCACACTTTTGAGAATGTTGAAAGCTATGGACAATCTTCCTATCTTAATTCAAAACTGTCTTCAAAAAGATGACGTATCTGAACCTCCATATAAAATTCTGTGTTTGATGTGAAAGACTCCCAGATTGCCTGATGGAACCCTGCTCCTAAATTAAAATGCAAGTAGAAAATATTTGGCTCAGTTATGTACCTGACCGTAGAAGCTGGGATGTACCTATTCTGTAGAGTACTTAACAACAGTCTCTGGCTAGTCTGTGCCAGCCTTGTGCTAGGTATGTGGGTCTATCATGAGTTCTGTTTTACAGACAAGAGACAGATTGGGAGGATGAAGTCAGCTGTCCACAGGCACACAGCCAGGGGTGTGGCAGAGCTGAGATTCAAGCCCAGGATCATTCAGCTTGGAAATCCATGTCCTCTCCATGTCACTACAGGTCTCTCACCTGGTGATGTTCTTTGGGCTACTGAGAGTCTGATCTAGGTGTATCATGGCCCCAGACTGGGCTCAGAGGGCTGTGATCAGTCTGCGACTGCACCACCATGTGTAGCTGACCACCAGTGCCATAGAAGAGCGATGTGGGGAAATAAAAAGACTGGAGGGGAATTCCCAGGCACCCAACAGGCAGGCCTCTTCCCCCTCCCGGGGCATCATGGTCACCAGTAAGTACCTGATCTAGGATATAGTTGCGTTTCTTGCGGGCAGCGATCTGGATGAGGCGGTTCAGACACTGGGTGGCCTGCTGGATCAGGACATCCCAGCGGCCAGCGTAGTTCCGCTGCCGGCGTAGGCCCATCACCTGTAGGCAGGGGATGGTGAGGGGAGGGTGGTTCTGGATGCAAGGCAGCAGTTGAAGGGTGTGAGGTGGACATGGAGAGACCAGGGGCCATCCTTACCCGCATCTTATCCATGATGGCATTGGTACCTAGGATGTTGTACTTCTTGGAAGGGTTGGAGGCTGCATGTTTGATGGCCCACGTGGTCTTACCAGCAGCGGGCAGGCCTACCATCATCAGAATCTACAAGAATGAGACAGGGAGGAGCACAGTGAAGCAGCAGCAGTGTGTGGCACAGCAGCCTGGTTCCACCTTGACTCACTGGTGAACCCGAGGGTGGCTCTAAAACTCATGGACACTTCTGGGAAATGGAAGCAGTTAAGAGCAGCTACCTAACACTGATGCTGTTGGAAACCAAAGAGATGAGACTTGCAGAGGGTCTGGCATGGGGCAAGCACAAAATCAATGCTATTCTATGGCTGTTTACATTTTTTGTTCACACATGATCAAATAACCTCTGACAGGGAAAGGCCCAGGGAGAGCTGTGCACAGGGACCAGCCCACATGGAGTGCACATGAGAAGTGGTACAAGTTTCCTGGAGTGTGAGATGGGGATAGACTGTATGCACAAGGACAACCATCCTATCTGTTCAGTTTATTTAAAATTTGGCCAAGTACCAGATGCATCCCACATGTCCAAAAAGGGGAATGGTTAATTTGTGAGGTCAATTAAAAATGGGTTTAAAAAGAGGTGTTCATATGGTAGGATAAAGGCCACAAAATAATGTTAAGTGAAGGGGGCAAGATATCAAAATGCTTATACTCTTAGGATCTTAATTAAACTTTAAAAGTAAACTTATTTGTGGATGGTAGAATTATGGGAAACTATTTCTTAATTTCCTAGAACAAACATAAAATCATTTATAGATCTAAGAAAATATTATTTTGAGAACAAAGCCCACCAGCATGGCTTCTGCAGCTAAATCATCCCCAAAGCTAGTTATCATTTTAGGACAGCTTTGGATAGGAGTGTGAAACTACAAAACTCCTTCAAGAATGCACTTACCAGGAAGTGCCTTCATATCCTTTTCTGCAGGGTAGAAAGCCTCCTTTTCCAAGGTCTGACCTCATCAAAGGAGCGTGGTGTGGAGGGAGCAACGTGGCAACTTCCTTTTGGACTCTTTCCAAGAATTAGGTCTCTTACCTCAGCCCCACCCTCTTCGGCCTACGCCACACCAACAGCAGCTTTCAACTTGGGAGTGGAGCACTGAGGAGCGGGGAGGAAGAGGTCCCCTTGCCCCAAGGTTACTCACGCAGTGAGGCTGTGCTGCCTTCATCACACCCAGCTGCCAGGTGTGTCCCGTCTGCTGCCCTGCCTCGGCAGCAACATGGCTCTGAAGAGGCAGGCACCACGTCAGTCTTCCAGTCCCACTCACCTCACACTCTGCCTTGCTCTTTGGTCCGACAGTGCCCCGGATCCGCTCACTCAAGGGAAGGTGCTGGATGAAGGTGAAGCCTGGGAGGACAGAACAGTAGGGCTCTGCCCTCTGCCCAAAGTTGAACTCCACTGCACAATTCTTCACCAGGACATGAGGATAGAGGGCCTGACCCCCCAAGGCTTCCTTCTGGATTCTGAAGGCAATGCCCATCCACTTCCCGTTCTTGGTGAAGGAAAGTTCCACATCATTTCCACATTCAAAGTCCTGGGAGAAAAAGCCAAAGGAAGATAACTGCTAATGCTCAGCCTCAGGCACTAGGGACCACAAGCTGGAGAGCAGATGCAGGGAGTGGAAATACAGCTGGCCTCCCAGATAAAAGTGCACCCCTCCCCAACACACAGATACATCAAGCAGCACCAGGGAACAACTCAGAGAACATGCAGCCCAAAGCCCTCCTTGCCCAAGATCCAAAAGCTAGTAGATGTCATTTTAGGAAGCCCCAAGTATTTTGCATATTGTGTCCAGCCTGAGACAAAGATGAAGGAAAAAGCATCTCTCCAGTCTTCTCAACCCCAGCATGGGCTGTCTGGGAAGACAGATGGAAAGACAAGAGCAAGGCCTTCTAAGCCAAGCCCAGCTCTACAAATGCAATCATCTGTTTGTTCAATACATGTTCCCTGAGTTTCTGCTCTTCCTAATACATGTATCTGTGGTGATATGCGCCTGACAGGGCTCAGGGCCTGGTGGGGAATTAGACAGAGATACTACCCTACTTCAGTAAGCACACTTCAGAAGATTCTCTGAGGTGAGGACTGATAAGCCAAGTCCTGAACAATAAATGGAAATGAGACACATTTGGGGTGGGAGGAGAGTCCTAAAAAACCTGGCAGTGAGAGAACATAGACTGGCTGAAGCATAAAGGATGAGGGGCAAGTAATTTCGGGTACAGCTGGAGGCCCAGCAAGGACCAAGACCATATTCATTCACTAAAAAACTACTGTTTATTGAGTTCCCACTAAATGGTTGTATCAGTTAAGATCCTGTTTTTCAGCTCCAGCATTTACTAACTGTGGGGCCCAGGGCAGCTGGAGTTGCCCAAAGCTAAATGGTTATTTCATACTCAGTTTCCTTATTAAAGAGGGAGGCCAGGAAAGATTCTATATGGTATATGGTTGTTCTGTTAAGTGGACCTTTACTACACAGCAAGCACAGAATGAATGGGAGCTATCATTCCAAGATGCCTGGCACTGTGCTAGGTGGGAAAGAAACATGGTCTCCACCCTTAGTGTAAGGGGCTCTCTATCACCTCAGATGATGACAGAGCAGAGTCCCTCACTTGTTCTGAATATGGGGTGGCCTGGTCAAAACTTGTTTCAGAAAGAGCATTTTGGCTGTAGGGTAAAGGTTTACAATTAAGGGAGACCAAGAACTTGGGATCAGACCACAGGCTGAAGCAAAGTACAAGATCAGGTTCCTGATAAAAGTTTAAGATTTTATGGGTACTCTTTCCCTCTGAAATGGGGATACCAGCTTGGGAACTGCCCTTTAGGAAGCAGTGAAGGCTTGCTTACCCAAGGAGCTTCCTCACCATCCTCCTCGATGCTCACACGGAGCAGCTCTATGGAGTCCTTTCTTATCTGTTCATGTCTAAGTGCCCACACATGTCCAGGCTTTGCAGAGGAGACACATAAAACATTTGCCAGACTAAATGCTGCCCAGTCCTGCAGCTTGGTCCTTGCATGTCTTCTCACCTGAGCGAGAGTGGCCCAGATCACCTTTGCTCTAACATGGAAATGAATGTCATGGGGTTAACCTTCTTCATGGCCACAAGATTCCCTTCCCTACTGAACTTGCCGTATTGTGCATAAACCAGCACCCTCAACTGACCAATACCCTACTGACAGGCCATCTGTCCAAGAAGCAAGTGTAGTCATGTCACTCCTGCTAAAGAACTTGTGGTATCAGTCCGGACCCTACAAAGTCCTTCAAGCCTGGCATTTTCCAGAGCATGCCACTTTTGTAGCCTCATCTCTCACATCTTGTGTTGTCCTCAAGACTCCCAAGGATAACACTCCCATGGTTTGCTGAAATGGGTTATATACTCTTCTCTACCTGGAAGGCCATTTTTGTCCTTTATTTTGTGAATGTCAAAAACTCAAGAGCTGATGCAAATGTGCTCCACCTCCCCGCCCTGCTGCAGGTTCCCTTGGTTCACTGTTTTTCACACCTCCAACCCCTCATCTTGAGCTTTTTATGGGATCCTTTGAATAAAGAAAACTGCACAGAGAATGTTAAAAACAGAAGTAGAGATGACCTGGTTGAAGCAGCTGCCACATTCACAGAACCCCACGTCAGATAGGAGAGTGTGTGGAACACTGTCACACACTAATGACATGTTAAATTGCTACAACCTCTTTGGAGTACAGTCTTGGTGGTAGCTATCAAAACTTAAAAAACATACCTTTGACCCAAAAGTTATGCATTTAGGAGTAAATATTACAAGTATATTCCCCACAAAATGCAGAGATGTATGTGCGAAGTACTCACCCCAGCACTGCTTAAATGTGCTCCAATGGGGAAGTTAGAAAGACTAATCACACAGGAGATCCACGTGTGGAGACACAAAAACATCTCTAATGATATCCTCTGGTAAGTGGGAAAAGATAAGCTGTCACTGCAGCTATAACTATCCCAGCAAAATAACTTTGAGGTCCACCAACAGAAGCCTGGCTAAATGAAATCAGGGTAAAGTGATGCCTGCAGCAGAATACTAGGCAGCCACTAAATAAACAAAGAAACTACCCAAATGTCCACTTCTAGAGGACTGAGCATGTAAATACGATAGATCCACATGATGGTGACAGACTATAAAAGAACAAAGAAGTGCCCTCTAGATAGTGACATAAAAAGAGCTCTAAGGTATAGTTAAGCAAATAAAGATATAGAATAACATGTATAATATGCTACCTACAATATACTTAATATGAAAAAGAAGAAAAATAGCAAACATCTTTCTTGTATTTGGACGAAGAAATGCTGAGCACCACTGGGTCCACATGTGGAGGAGGGGATAAATGAACAATGGGGAGAGGGGAAGGGTCTGAGGAAGACTTTACACTGTATATACCTTTTTATATTTTTGCTATTTCTGGAAACCATGTGGATTTGTTAACTATTCAAAAGTGTTTTTAATTGAGCTAGATCTCTATTATCTGTGCAGACAAGGAAAGATAACCTAAATTTACTGTTAAATGGAAAAAATGCAAGGTTTAGAATAGTCTGTAGAGCATAAACATGGTTAATTTGTAAGAAAACATTTTTTTCATTAAAAAGACAATGAGGTCATAAAAGACAAAGGAAGACAGGAACTGTTTCAGGCTAAAAAGATATGACAAGAGTATGCAGTACATGATCCTGGACTAGGTCCTGGGCCAGAAACAAAACTGTTCTAAAGGATATTGTTGGGAGAACTGACAAAATTTTAGTATGGACTGTGGAGTAGATAAAAGCATTATATTAATGTTAAATTTGATAACTGTACTGTGGTTAAGATAATAGCTTTATTCTTAAGAAATACACGCTCAAGTATTAAGGAATAAAGACATGAGTACACAACCTATTCTCAAATAGGTCAGATAAAAATCATATATGTATCTGAGAGAAAGATAATGCCAATGTGACAAATGTTAGAATCTGGACAAGGCTCTAACAAGAATTCGTAGGGCTTTTCTTTAAGTCTGAAATTATTCAAAGTAAGAATGAAAAAGAAGGGGGAAAATATACGTGTGTACAAATATGAGGGAGGGAAAGAGAACAAGACCAAGACCAAGTACCCACCTGGGTAGCCACTGCCTCACACTCTACGAACATCTGTGACTCCTAATGATAAACATAAATTAGTAATAACTGCCTACTTACTATGTGCCAGGCTTTGTTGTAAGCACTTCTAATGGATTTACTTAATAGCCCCACATGAAATTCTGAAGTAGGTGCAAAGGTTCTCCAAATTTAGAGGAGACTGACATATAGTGAAGGTAACTTGCCTGGGGCTGTGAGTGGAAGAGCAGGGACTGGATCTAGGAGTTTGGCCCCAGAGCTGAGCTCCACCCTCCACAGCACTGTGAGCATCAGTCACTACTCTCAGGGACTGAAACTGGGCAGCTGCTCACACGCCCTTTATTTCTTGTTTTGTACCTATCCCAACTATCCTAGAAGGCAGTACACTGTAGGAAGCCTGGCTCAACAAGTGTGAGGTGAAGGAAAGGTGAAGTTTGGGATGAGATGATGCCAAAGTGGGGCAAGAGCCAACAGCATGGCCTTTGAGAGCAAGATAGGCTATTCTGTAGCAAAGAGAGATAAGAAAGTCTTGGGTTTAGAAGACGTCATCTAGAATCTAGGAACGGAGGAAGGCTGTGCACACCCAACATCCCCACACCTCTTCAGGGTGCCATCAGACAGCTTTGCACAGAAGACCAGAGGGGTATAATGACAGAATTTTGCACAGAATGACAGCAAACGTTCCCATCTGTTGAAGAGAGACAAGAGGCATGGCAAGAATGGCTGGACATGGGGCAGACAATGGGCAGAGACAGTCTGAAAAAAAGGTCTGCAGGTCCACCTGACAGGACTGACACCTGGTCTGCTAACTCCCACAGGCTGCCAGAACTCACCGCAAAGCAGCCAATCACATCATTCTCAGCAAACTTGTCTCCGTAGTTCTCAAACCGGCTACTGGTGGACTTCTTCCCAGTGCCTCCATAGCCATAGGAGAAAGGCTCTTCGCCTGACGGAAAAAATAGGCAAAGGCAGGTTAACCTGCGATGATCACAACAGCGTTTATGGCTGTCACATACTTGTAAGGAAAAAAAATCATTTTCTATACTAGTTTTACTAATCAGATGTTTTCGGGGGAAAGATGAGGAAGGTTCTGAGGAAAGGAAACCATTCGTTATGCAGAACTCCTGAGGGCTTGATGGGTTTAGGCGATAAGGCTGGGAGCAGGGGCTGAAAGGAATTGCTCTGTAAAGAAACAGAGACTTTGGAAAGAAAGGGAAGAGGGGAAGAGAGGACCTGGGATGGAGGCAGGTTATCCACTGAGATGCAACCCTTCCCTGTGATACTAAATGTTCAGTCAAGTCCACTAATGGCATCAATTTTTGGTGCCAGTGGGTTTTTTGGCAGAAATCAGTAAAGGGGCTGGGTTTTGCTTCTGAAGACCAGGAGGTCTAACCCTTAGGAAAGGTACTGATTTCCTTAGGCTATAGGGCTGGGGGCTGAAGTGGTCTGACTGAGATCCTAAGGCCCTGGCTGGTACCCAGGTTATATGGAGATCCTTGGTCAGGAACCCAAAGAGCATCTTGCTAGAAAAGCAGGAGCCAACAAGCAGAAATGTCAGGTCCAGTTCTTCTATGGGCCAGTTGTGTGACCCTGGACATCTGCTTGACTGTTCTGGATTTTCTAACTTCATCTATACCAACTACCCATCACTTACATTTCAAAACTGAGACAAAGATAACATGAGATGAGAGAGTCTTAAAAGCACTCATAGGTCTCAAAAGGAAAACTGTACACTCCTTCTGACTTAGCATTTCTACTTTTAAGGTTCAGTCTTAAGTGAATAGCCAGACCAGTGACACACAGGATAGTTCAAGTGTTTAACAGCAAGATATTGCAACCAACTTAACTTACCAAACATTTATAAGTAAGTGATACAACTATTAAAATGGAAAATTATGCAGCAAAAAGCTATGCTTTTTTATAAAAATATGCCCATCTTATATTAAGTAGGAAAAATAAATCAGGCTATAAAATAGTATGCATAGTGTGACCCAGTTTGAGGTATACAAAGAATAAATGAACTGTAGATGAAAATGTTAACAGTGGTTGTGGTCTTTTGGTTTAGGATTTTCATCTTTTCCCTCTAGTATGGCCTGAATTTTTACAAGGTATACATATTATTTTCATAGTCAGAATGTCTGTATGATGGGCAGAAGGTCTCAGTATAGGTCACTGAAATCAGTCCCTTGGGGTTAAGAAGGTCATTGAGACCAAGATCCTGTGAACACTCAAAACCTCTCAATGGGCACTCCATCTCTATGTGCCAAAACACCCCAGCTCCACTAGCTCTGGTTCCCCTTTCACTCTGGGTCAGGCTCTAGACAGAAAATCCCAGACATAACTTAATGGTGCTTAAGGAACTTACTTTCAGCATGGTTGGAGGATAGGAGACAACTGATCTTTTTTTTAAGAAAAATCTTTCTTAAGATTTCCTAAAGAGAAATCTGGACCCTTTCCTAAAAGATGAAAGAGAAAATTTTCATACAAGGCTTAATATGACTATGGTCTTTCCAGTTGAATTCCGTATGCCTGAAGAGAGACAGTGGCATAAACCTAATTTATGTCTGTTCCACCCCAGACTAGTTCTGTTCTGAGTGCAATGCTGGGAAGAGAAGCTTAGAAGGCTTGAGAATCCAGGGATAGAGGCTATCACTCTATCCTTGGGTTTGCTTGGCTGACCACGCCTTACCTAGCTGGGTGCTGCAGGAGTCCAGGGACCAGCCAATACGGACAACGTGCGGGTCAGGCTCTGTGGATGGAAGGTGCTTCACAGAGATTTCCTCATTGATCTGGGGACGGAGAAGAAGAGAGCTCAGAATTGATTCTCTGGAGGCTGGTGGGTTACAAGGCAATACAGGAGGAGTGTGCATAGGCATTAAAAAAGTTATGGCTTTTGCTGCTGGGGAAAAGACATTTAAGCTGTTCTGAAGGCTCTGTGCACTGAAGTCAGGGCCTCCAAAGGGCTCAGGAGAGCGCAGGGCTATAGAAATAGGTATTTTAAAATGCAATTATTTTTTTATTTCAATTTAACACTTGTTGCAGGGAAGACAGGGACTCTCACATTATTGGCTGTGGAAGGTAAACAGGTACAATGTCTTCGGAGGGCGATTTAGCAGTCTCTGTAAGAACTGCGAATGTTAAGTGCTTTAGAGCTCAGCAACCCGTTTATCCTACTGATATGGTCATGTGTGTGTGTGTGAGAACTCACACAAACATCTAGTGTGGCATGGTTTCTATGGAAAACAAACCCAAAACAAAACCAGAAAACAATAAGGCACCAGTCACATTATGGCACATCCTCACCACAGACTATCACAGTTAAAAAGCTTAAGGCAGGGCTAACATACCCGGTATAGAAAAATGTCTAAGATATGGTATTAAGTAAAAAGCAGAAAGAATAAAAATAAGTGGAAAGAATAAAAAGCACCTTCTGATTTATCAGGGGTTAGGCTGCCTAATAACCATATCTAACTGTATTAGTCTGTGGCTTTTGGTAAGTTACTCTATTTCACTGACTTGCTGATACACATTTTTCAGTTTTTAACATCTCCAAAATCAGGAAGTATTTTCCAATTGGTGTGGTAAAGAAGCACTGTCAGTTTAATTAGCAGTGTTTCTGTGAGTAGCACACAAAACAGTGCACATGTTAGCAAGGAATGGTGGCTTAATCCATCAAATATGACAGCCCTGAGCCTCAGCTTCCCCTCTAAAAGAGGGGATAACAGTACCTATTTCATGACAGTACTGTGAGGATTAATGGAGATGTCCCTGTGAAGAGCCTGGCACCAAATCTAGTGTATGTAAAGGGACCTATAAGTATAAGCTACCATAAATAATTTTGGATATATAAAAGATACACAAGAAATTGTTAACACGTAAGTTACCTCTGGTGGGTAGGATGGGGACTGAGAGGACACCAATGTAACTTTTGTTTTGTCTGTCCTATACTCCTCTGTGCTCCCTGAACTTTTGTTAAACATGGCCAAGCATTATTTCATAAATGTAACTTGGCACAAAACTGTGACAAGATGATGGTAGAGGATGGCCTGAGGCAGAACCTTTCTTTGCCCTGCTCTTCCCTTTGGCTTCCCTCTAATTGGTGATTCTAGAGCCCATTCTTTCTATCTCACTTCTTTCAAACAACTCCTTTTCCCAGTATTACAAACACATCACACTCTACAATTGTTGGCTACGTAATATCCGAGTCAAATCGTACCAAGGAAAAATGTGCTTGATGAAGCAATATATGGTTAACTTGCTTTTCTGATACAGCACTGAGCAATGGTTTAGTTCTCTTCAGTTCATCCTACTTCTTTTTTTTTGACTGGACAAAGCCTATGTTCAATCAAATCTCTTGCAGTTGTGGGCCTGACCACAGTGGCTGATGTCAGGCTATTCCAAAGACAGACCTACTTTCTGTCCTTATTCCCTATGTTGCTCGCGCTCACCTTCATCTCGAAGCACACACGGCCCCTTCTGACCCCGTAGCTGGCACGGGCTCCTGACCACAGGTATGCAAAGCCCTCAATTGTGAGTGGGTAGCCACTACTCCGGTCTCGGGCCACCTTGAAATGGAGGTCGCAATTATCTGTGGAGGAAAGTGTGTGGATGGCTGATGTTTTAAAAGGTCCCAAGAGAGGGACAGGCAAAATTAAAATTCCCCAAGAGTGTTAACCAGGAGCACAACAAGCTGACACACTGTAGGGACAGGGTCACAAGAAACCAGCTACAACGTCTAACTGTTTTTTCTTTCAGTACAAAGGCTCTGGACTTTTGCAAACTGGCCTGCACTGGTTCAAAGCAGCCATTCCACAAAGGAATTGGGGTTTATCTGGCTGGGGTCCAAAGAGCCATCAAGGGGACCTCTGGAAACTGGTACACAAATGCTTTTTACTGGGATGTACACTTGCTAGGGAGAAGGTACATATGTTCACCAGTTTCAAGGGTTTTTAGAGAGAGAAAAAAAGAGGCTAATCCCCACTGCCGTAAGCCTCAACCATGTCCCCACACTATCAGTTTGGGACCCAGATTCCTGCTACCAAAAGCTGCACAAACATCTGACCCTGACCCACACCTGCTGCCCAGGCACCACTGTCAGGTGTACCACAGGCTCCCTCCCACTTCCTCTTGTGGGCCCAGGACTCCTCTGCTGTAGTTCAGACTTTTCCCACTCATCAAATAACCAGTCACGCCTCCAAGAAAGTCTTTCCTGACCATCCTGTCCAGGAGGCTCCTTTCTCTAAAGACTGAGTGCTATGATCTGTACATTTGGCATTTGATCAGATGTTGCTTCATGGACCCCTGCCATCCAACATTTTAAAAACGCCTGACTTTACTTTGGGTGTACTGTCTTTGAGATCTTGTGATAGAAGGAAGTGTGCGCAAGATATCTTTCTCTCTTCCAAAGCATGTAGCCACTGCTCTTTAATCATGAGTTACATAAAGAAACATGTGAATGAACTGCTGTTAACATTCTGCTCTGTTGAAAAGTACAGTGTTCTTGGATCTGACTGGGCTTCTGGTATTTTTAAAATTCAAATTCACAAGTTCTACCACTTAAGACTCTATCTTAGGAGGTCTGAGGAAGGACAGGACTTCTATAATCATTCCCTCACGTGTTTAGATGTGTAATCAAGGGGAAAGCCACTTATTCAGTGCAAAGAAAACTGAACTGGAGGACAGACAGGAGGGCAGCCCAGGTTAATGCTGCAAAGAACAAAGTAGCATTGGTTTCACCAGGAACACGAGCAGATGATGGAAACTGGGGAACTGGTCACCAAAGAGTTAAGTTTCCCCAGCAGCACTCAGGTTCTCTCTGTGATTAGTGACAACCCCTGTGTATACAGGGTGGCATTCAAGGTTTCTGACATGGCTCTCCCATTCGTTCTCTGATGAGTGTCACTGAGAGGCCTCTGAGGTTTTAGGGCAGGTTTACTCCTCCCTCCTCCCTGAAGAGCTCAGAGAAGTAGAATGACTTGCCCAGGATCCCAACTAAAGCTGGGGGCAGATCTGTCTCCAAACCAGCAGCCTCACTCCACAGCTCTGCTTTCTCACACCTGGACTAACACTGGCTTTGGATGGTGCCAGGCAGGGATTTGTGAAGGTCGAGCCACAGTTTCCCAATACTGATTGGAAGGCAGAATCAGATAGGTACTCCAAGGACTCACATGTGTCGATGGCAACAAGGGTGTCATCAAAGTCATCTTCATCTTCTTCAGCAGGAGGCTGAGGAGAGCGGCCCCTGCATCAGAAAGAGGGGTCAAGTCACATGACATCGGTCAGGCAAACACAGAAGAAGGAAATGAAGGTTCTGCTGGGCTTTACAAGTTCTTACTGTATTTCAATTTCTTTCCACAGAAGTTAGCAAAAGAATACTGGAACAACCAAAGTGTCCATCAACAGATGAATGGATTAAGAAGATGTGATACATACACACAAAGGAACATTATTCAGCCACAAGAAATTCTGCCATTAGCGACAACATGGATGGACCTAGAGAGAATTGTGCTAAGTGAAATAAGCCAGGAAGAGAAATACCATATGACTTCACTTACTTGTGGAATCTAAAAACAAAACAAAACAAACAACAGTAGACTCAAAGACACCGAGAAGTGACTGGTGGTTACCACGGGGGAGGGGTTGCGGTGGGTCAGGGGTGAGGGAGATAAAGGGTCACAAAAATTCGTCATAATATAAGCTGATCTCGGGATGGTAATACAGCATGGAGAATATAGCCTATGGTTCTGTAACATCTTTCTGTGTTGACAAAGTAACTGTACTAGTTGGGGCAAGGATTTAACAGTGTGTATTAACTGTTGAACCACTGTAACTGTATACTTGAAACCAATACTATGTATCAAACTATACTTGAAAAACAAACAAACAAAAAACTTTGCAACCCTACATCCTTGCAATGAGAGCAATAACTGTTAACTCTTAGGGTAGGGATGGGCACTAGAGAGGGCAAGCTCTGCAAGAGAGGGCCATCAGAATCATTTAGACAGCTTGTCAAAGAGGACACTTCACTCACACCCCAAGATTCTGATCCATGCCCTCTGCATATTGAGAACTGCCTCCTAACTGAACTCCAAATGGAAGTTGTGGTATCTCAAAGGGTACTGAGCCAGGAAGGGGAGTGTGCAAGAGCTTAAACCCCAATAATTACAATCTGTCCACACACCAGGCTTCTTAAACCCTACATGTGGAAGAATTTGAGATGACCCATTTTCTTAGTCTTTCTCACTTTCAAAAGTATCCTCAATTATGAATGGGATTCCTCTTCCTACCAAAACACTAAAAAGAGACTATGCTAAAGTATCACTGGTTTCCAATGTATAGAAATTAGAAATAAGGGAGAGGGATCAAAGGGTGGGGTCTAATGCCCAGGGTCCTGCCCAGGACAGTCTGGATGACCCCAGTCCACCATGTGCCCAGATCGGGTATCCCATGCCCATCTGGCAGGCTTCCCTCTGGTGGAATGCCTTTCTGGCCCTGCCAGTCTAGGGTTAGCACAGAGCCTGGTATGAAGCTCACCACACGGTAAGTCCATTCTAGGAAGCTTTCTTTGCCAGCCTGGGATCAGAACAAGTGTTCCTTCTGTTTTCCATCAGCAAGCAGCTCTAGGTCCTCTGCTGTGTGGGAGGCAGGGGCAGAAACTCCTAAGAAGTGGGGGTCCATGTCCTAACTTTAGTCACAGCCATGAGACCGTGTCTTAAAAAGAGTCACAAGCTAGAAGAGGATGAATTCCACCAGGTAGGAAATAAAATGTGTAAAATGACCAGTGCAGATGAGTTAGAGGAGTGGTTATTCCTAGTTTCTGTGTTCTGAAAAGGCTTCACGCAGGACTTGAAGAAGGAAAGGGAGAAAGATGGGACTGGGCCTGGAGGGGGAGGGGAGGGAGATGGCTTGCACGAAAAGGAAAAAGGGAATGAACAGGGCAGAGAGGCCACTCCTTCCTGTGAGCTCCTGACACTCACATACCCTGACTACTCATCCCAGTATGTTGTGGCTTACTTATGTGTCTGTCTCAGTCCCTATATTGGGAACAACAGAAGGCCAAGACCCACTGTTCAAATCGTCTGTGTCCTCAGTGTCCAGCCCGAGGGTGGGCACCTTGTAAGAAGGATCAGGAAACAGACCTTTCAGTTGAGCAACATGGAACAGCCATTAGAAATAGAACACTGTGCAGGACTGCAGGGCAGAGGGTGGGGAGGACTGAAAAGGCAGGCTGGCATCTCACACATAAAGGAAAGCTACTTGGACTTTACCCTGCAGGTAATGAATGGGAAGGGAGGCATGAGGGAAGGAGCAAAAGCTGAGCAAACTGAATCTGGACGTGAGCGCAGGAAGGACTGTAGAGTGAGGGGGCAGGGCACTCTGCTCTGCCCCTTGGTTAGGACAAAGGTCCCAGTGGGCATCAGGCTACGGACTTAGAGACCTACTGGAGAAAGGGTGACTATCACCTCACACACCCACCTCCTATCCTCTCTGTGCTCGAAGTACCCCCGTCCTCGGTTTTCTTCATAAGGCCTCTTGCGACTCTGGAATTGCTGTCTGTCTGGCTTGAGTTGAGATGCTTCGGGCGGAAGGAAGCTTGTGGGTGCTTCTTGCTTCATCTCTGTCTTCACTTCTACTATTGGGACAAACGCAGATGGTCAAGGCACTCAGAAACTCCTCAGCTATCACTTTCCTGGTCCCCTTTACCTCAGGAGATCCTGGCAGGATCACGATGACAGTGATGAAGTGCTGGGCACAGACAGCTTGCTGGATTCAACGGAAGCCTGCTGGGGGAGCCAAGAAGGCTGTACTGGAGAACAGAGGGCTAAGATAAAGGAAGGCCTGGGAGGGCCGGACAGGTACATCAGCACTGGCAGGCCACTGGGTGACCGATGCCAGTCAGACAACTTGCAGGCTTTCTCGGGTGGGAGTGGAGACTTTGGCATTAAATAAGGCCAGACTCTCCAAGGGCCCACCCAAAGGTAGAACGGCTGCCTTTGGCTACTTTGCCAGAGGCCCCATGATAGTTGGCAGCTACCTTGGCCTGCACTAAGTGGGAGGGAGCCCTACAGGAATTCTAAGGTCCCTGAGATTCCATGCACCTACATCCCCTAATTTCTCCTCCCAAACAATCTCTCCACCTTAGTTCTTACAAAGCTTCTTCAATCTGGTAAGGACTGGGGAAAGGTCAATTCAACAGGGTATTAGAGTCCTGCAGCTAACTCTCCTGACTTTAATCACTCTACCACAGAGCCCAGAATCTCTCCAAAGGGAGATTCAGCACTTAAGCCAACTGAAAGGTGTGACGGCCTCATTAAGTCACACCACAAACAGGAAGTCAGCATGGGATAATATGCTGTGGACTGCACAAAGTCCCGGTCCCAGGAAGACTCCAAGAATCAGTACCTAACCAAGAGCAAACCGTAGACTCAACCTAACCTTACTCCTCCCACACCATCTATGCCTGACGCTGTGGGTCACGCCTATCTTCTCATTTCAGCACTCACCCAAGCCCACCATGGACCACTCCCCAGCTCTGGCATACAGACCAAATCACATGCAGAAGGCTCCCATTCTCCAGGGCAGGGCTGTTGCCCACCCTGCTGAGACCCAACAGTTCCCAGCACAATTTTGGGCTCACAGGAGGTTCTGATAAATATCAACTGTTGATAATGGCACAGAAAATACTCTCCTTGGGCCAAATGATCCCACAAGTCTCACAGAGCCTGACATACATCTGCAGTTTAACCTACATTCATTAAAATCCTAAACCACCCATAAGAAATGTCTGGGGATTTCACTCTGTGGATGAACCAGAATTAGATAGAATCAAGTAGACTCACTAGAAAAAGGCACTGGAGCCACAGCACAGTGAAGAGAACACAAGACAGAGAGTGAGTCCTGGTCTGTCATCACTCAACAGTGGGACCCTGCTTTCCAAACAACAGGACACAAACGATGTGCAGTGCTGCTTATTAACCAAGAGCAGTGGCCTGCAGCCAGTTTCCCAGGTTCTAACCCCAGTTCTGCCATCAGACAAGTCACCTCCCCAATCCTCTGTAAAACAGGGAGTAGACAGCCGGGTTACATCTTTCCCAAACTGGCATTACAGGGAACTCTGTTCTTCAAAGACATATTTACAGGTTGGAAAATCCTGGGTTTAAATAATGTGACAGAGGCTTTTTTTAAATCCAGGACTTCTCAGAGCCTTTAATGCTCTAATGAGCACAATGACTCCTGCAGAGCTGGCAGAGTAGATGCTGCATTCTCCAGATGTGTTTGACCAAAGAACCCTTTTCTGAGGAGTCCCTAACAACGTATCTTGGAACAGTATTTTTCAGAACATGGGAAATACTGGACTAAACTTAGAAGGCCCTTTCTGGCTTCCATGTTCAAAGATACTAAGAAAGATTCAAATACTGGCCTCTAGGCTAACTTCTCCAGGGAGCTGATACTAACACCTCGAAACACACACCAAGGAGACCCCCTCTCCTAACACCTGAGAGGAGAACAAAGTTCTTTCCTTTAGTGACAAAGCCCCAGTGGACTGCCCAAAAGGAAAATGCAAAGTTTCTCTGGGAGGACAGGCTCTAGGTGGAGGGTTAGGGCCACACAGAAGTTCTATTTCCTTCCGGAGACAGACCACATGCTCTCCTACCTGGGCGATAGGCCTGCTGCTGTGGCTCCATTTCCAGCGGTCGCCTCTCGTAGCCTAACTCATTCTCTTGCTTGATGACCTGGGTCTCATAGAATTGGTTCTGCCTGGTAATATTGTCCATGACATCTTAAAACAAAAAAAGGCCAGTCAAATGGGTGCTTCTTGGGACTACAAGTGGCTTTTTTATGCTTCACAATGTCATTTCCACTGGGGATAGTCAATAGCCCTAACTGCTTGAGGACATGCCCTCTTACCCCTCAAAAGGTTGGAGATCTGTGACTGGGCTCTACAGAATCCCAATATATGAAACCAACTGAAGCAGAACTGCTCTGGTTGAATTGAGGAGATGGGAGGGTCAGAGAAGAGGTCTGGCTTGCCCTTGCCCTCTAAGTCCCCACTTTTGGGCAGGGAGCAACTCTACAGACACCTTGGACTCCACGGAGCCCAGTTAAAAAATTACCAGCCCTGGCCGTCTGCTGACATGGTATAATGCTTAGGGAGTTGCCTTCAGGGCACAACCTTAAAATTTTGGGGGCACAAGCCAGTCTTCTGCCAGTCCAATTTACTGTTCCCACCTGCACAACCAATCCTCTTTAAAAATCTCTCCCACCCTGCAACTGCTGCCAAGATAAGTAGCAACCATATCTGTTGAAGGATAAATGGAGAGGGAAAGGAAAGGAACTGGTAAGAAAACAGGAGTCATGATAATAATAATGGCCTTCAGATTCATTAGGGATAAATCCTGAAATATTTGGAGTTAAGTGGGAAGGTTTTTGGGAAGGTGTCCTTGTGGGTCCAGGAGTTGCTCAGTTTAAGAATAACAAGACTAACTTCATGGAGTGCATACTACACTCCTGAACCTGGGAAAGGGCTGAGAATAAGGTTGCCCCATTGAAACCTTCAGTTCAGTGAGACAGACACACATTAAGCAAATACTTAAACATAGATAACTAATTATAATTGTGTTAAGGGCTATGAAGTACCAGGAGCTAAGACAGGGAATCAGAAAGTAACAGAGAAGCCTTGACGCAAAGGATGCATGGGTACTAAGTTAGTGACAAGAAAGGAGAAAACATTCCCGGGACTGGGACTAAAACAGGACTAACCAAACCTGAAGCTCCCCTCAACAACCTTGCAGCCAAAACCAGACAGAAGTCCGGAAACCCAGGCTGAGCAGCATACAGGCACTCTACCCCAGGCCAGGGGCAAGTTCTGCAAGGTGCCTCTAGGGCCCTACTAGTGACTGTGCCAGGACCAGTGGGGCAGAACCACAGGGAAGGAGAAACTGTTCTTGCACTGGCTAACTGATTGGATCCTTTCTCAGAGGACAAATACATCTGGGCACAAACCAGGTGGAGCCCAAAGGGAAGAAAGTAATCGATCACGTGGTTTGCTACAGGTCTGTTTACCAGGGCGGCAGGCAGGGTTGGAGGCGGGCATGAAAGGGGCTTAAAGAATTCTGTTGTAGGGAGTATGGGAGAGAGGAAGAAACAGACTATGTCCTTAATGGGAACACCAGGGCCCTTTCAAACCATTCTGTCTCTTTCAGGCTCCAAGCAAAGGGTTCTTCCCACAAAGCCTCACATCTGTCTTCCCAAGACTCTCTCCTTTGCCCACAGCAGTCTTGCCCAGAGAAGCTATGATTCTGGGGTCTTTTTCCACTCCCTAAAATATCTACCTTCTAACAGTAAGGCAGGCCCAGTGCTAAGCTCCGTACACACATGATCTCATTCTTAACAATCTGGGGGTGGGAAACACTATTATTTTCCCTACTTTACACAAAAGGAAACTAGGGTTCAGAGGTGAAGGGACTTGCCCAAGTCATGAAGCCACATTTGAAATAATGCCTGATTCTAGAGTTTCAAGCACTCAGTTCACTTTCCTCTGATACACCTCCGGCATTGGCCCTTCCTCCTCAGCATTCCAGCCAGGGTGTCTCCTGCCCTAGACCTTCAGATTGGGCCACTCTCTTCTTTCACAGGTCTGTGCAATGGTAAGCACTCTTCCTAGCACATGGGTCCTGGACAATCACCAGGCTCCTCCACGCCAAATCTAAACTTAGGTTACCTGCACTCCATGAAATCCCATCTCTCATGAACAAGTAAGTCTGGTCCTGTCTCTTCCCTGGCTTGCTCTCCTCATTCCCTTAGTCCTATGGCTCATGCCCCCTTTTCGGAGAAATACCACAAGGCCTGGATGCCAAAGTCCTTTCTACTTACTCCTTAACTTCTTCAATCCTCATTCCCCAGTCCTGCTAGAATGCCACCCTTTACTGCCTCCCACACCAAGGTCTCCTCTCTCCAGACAATCACAGATCGACCCTATCTCCTCTCATTCTGAGCCATACCTTTTGGCTGATGCAGAGGTTCATCATTTGGCTGCTACCCCCTGAGACACTCCCCCAGTCCCTGGCACACAAACAATTGCTTCTGGGGGACCAACGAGCTCTCCTGTGGAGACAGTCTCAGAAACACCTCCCCCAGACACTCTCCATCCCCTCCCAGGTAGTTAACAGGTTTTCTTCCTCCTTCCACTTCTACACTCTCCCCTCATTTGCCAGACCAGCTACACACTCTTGTGCTGAACACAAGGATCTGTTGCCCCAGGTACTCCATCAACTCCAAACTCCACCAACTTGTTATCTGCCACACCCCACCGCCAGCTACCTCTATTCTCCAAACAATCCATACTGTTAATTCAAAACCGTTCAGCAGTAGCCACTGAGTTTACCCGTTCTCAGAATCCCCCCAGCTCTGGACCTCTAGGTCCCTTGGCCAGTAAAGCATCCTTCCCTCCCCACCAGCCTCCAGAAACCAAAGTACCTTATACCACCTCCTCTAGAAGCCAACCAGAAGGTCCCCAGATTTCCCAGCACCAAATACCCGGGTTGCCCCTGAGCCTTCCAGCCCTGGATCTCAGAGTCTCCCAGGCTACCCTCAGATTGATGGGGGACTCCCCAGCCCACTCACATGGCGGACTCCGACAAACCCTAAACGCTCGCCAGCCGGACCCTAGAGTACCCAGTCCACCAGACTTCTCTGGCCAGACACCAACACTTGCATCTCAGCAATCCCTCCCAGTACTCCATCAGCAGCAAACTCAGGATCCTCCATCCGCAGAACTCTCCCAGCCCTGGACACCACCTCATTTCTTCCCTAGCACTGAAAACATCTCTCCTAACGCCCAGCCCACACGCTGGACTACCACAGCCTCAAGCCCACCCAGCTCCAAACCTTAAGATGACCATTTCCAAGATCCTCCTTAATCCTGACTAGAAAACCTCTTGTTCTTCTGACTATCTTTGGCTCCAGAAACCACGGCTTCCGGTCTCCGAACCCTAGGCTTCGGAATTCTCTACACCCCCTCGACCTTTCTCATCTCCGATATCGAGAGCCCCCACTCCAGGATCTCCCTGCACCGAATGCCGAGATCCACCCTCCGGTCGTCCCGAGGCCCTTCTCCCCAGATTCTTTCCAGTGGCGGGTGGCGGAATTCCCCCAGTCCTCACAGCGTCTCCCCGACCTCAAGTGCCGGACTCCCGCGTCCCACAGCCCTTCCTCGGCCCGGACTCCGGGCCCCCCGGCCCCCGCCCCGCGCACTCTCACAATGTCCGTCCGGCCCCGAGTAGCCGCCGGGCTCCGGGTGCGGCTGCAGCCCGGGCGGCGGTGGCTGCGCGGTCCCCTCCAGCTCGGAGCCCCCCTCTGTCTCGACCTCCTCGTTGTTGTGCCCGGGTAGCCTCGGTTCGTCGTCGGCCTCGAGCTCCCGCTCGTCGTCGGGCTCCTCGGCCTCCAGCGCAGCCTGCAGCCGCTCAGCAAGCTCCGCCTTGAGGCCGCGAGTATCCAGGCCGCGGCGCTGCAGCTCCTCGCGAAGTTCGTTCACCTTCAGACGGCGCACATCCATGGCCCGGGCCCCCGGGGCGGCCCCCGAGCCCGCCCCGGCCTCCCACGGCTCTGTCCCCCTTAAACCTTTCCTGTCAGGAGGCGAAACGGGAAAGGAGGGGGGGACACTCCAATGGCGGCGGCGGCTCAAAATGGCCGCCGCCGCCGCCACCTCCCCCTCTTCCGTGGCCCAGTACGATGCAACACGGGTACCAATTGGCCACCGCGTGGGGACAACGGGCGCGGGCCTGGGGACTCAGCCAATCAGAACGCAGCTTTCAAAAGCACGTCACCGAAAGAGCTCTGGAGCCGCCGGGGAGGAAGTATTGGCCTACGTCGCTGCAGCAGCGAACGGAGGGCGGGAAAAGACGAGAGGCAGAGTGTGTGGTGATTGGTACCGCCCGCGCTCCCGCTCCCGTAAAGTCAAATGAGGGAAAGGGAGTAAGGGCTCAAGCCAATCAGCGATGAGATCTCAGAATGAACCCTCCCCCCGCGCCCCGCCTTTCCTGCGCGGTCTTTTCATCAAACTAGTGTCTCTGTAACATATACTCCAATTGGTCTAGATCTCCCGCCCCTGAGGAGTGCAAGCGGGTAAAGCTACTAAAACCAATCAAATGGAAGGTCGGCCAACACCCAGCCCCCACCCTTTCGCTATTGCCTTTAATAAACGGGAAAGATGAATTCACGAAGGACCCGCCCCTTGCCGTTAGGGCGGTTTCAAAACAATCTGTCGACCAATCGCAGTTATTGTCTTATTTCACTGAAGCTAGTACAGTTGGATTGCTTTAGGAAAAGCTAACCAGATTGGCCATTCTTCAGCGGACTGCCTCACAAATTTCACTGTAGAGGGAGTATACGAAATAGGAATTAGGCGGATAAACTATTCTTAATCTAGAAGAAACTCAGTTGCCTTTATGAAAAGCAACGGTTTACTTCCAGAGACCTGAGAATTTGAAAATATTGGCTAGGTTAAACGAGAAAAGGTGTAAAGGAAACCGCACCCTCCCTTTTTGATAGTACATCTCACAGGGCGCCTCTTTCCACGGTGGTAGCTTCGCCAGACTTTTTCTATGGTTATTATCTTACGTGGAATGGGCGCTCTGCAACGCGACCATAGAGCAGTTCCCTCCCGGAAGACCTCCGAGTTCGCGGGCTCTACCCCAAATCCTCTGAACTGCTGTTCGCTAGGTATGTGGCGTCTATACGGACAAACTCAAACACACAGGTCCGTAGTTGGGTCTCGTGCTACTAAACACAAACGCAGCGAGTTTCACAATATCTGACCAAAGGACAAGAACCTTATGTGATAACGCAATAGATACACAAGGCAAATGCCCGCTGCCCTCTGAGCCATAGTTTACGCATACAAAAGCCACACAAAACTTCTACTTAAACAAAGGTACGCACAACACAGATAAACAAGTGGTCTTGAGTCGGCCAGTAGTGCAGTGTACATGTGCCCAGTAAGGTCCGCAAGGTAGGCGTCATCAAATGATAACGACACAGGACAGTTACCCACAAGTTTACACTACGGCAACCTAGACACACAGCACCCACTCAGAAGCGGGACAGACACTCACGTGGACTCGGAGGTTCCAGTCCAGACACCCCGCCCCTCGCCCACGTCCGACTTCCTCTCTCCTCCCAGCTTCCCTCAATGATTTGTTCCAAGAAAGTTTGTGGCCCTGATTGAACTGTTGCGGTTCTCAGAAGCCTCCACCGGAGGGCGTCCGGGCGCTGCCTAGGGTTCCTCCATCTGGTGCGGGACACACCCAGGACCGTGTGCCGGCGATGCGAGCAAAACACAGTGGGCTTGCCTTGGCAGGAGTCCCTTTGTGGACCTGTGATTATCGGAGGTGCTCTGTTTCTATGTGAATATGAACCTTTGCATCTGTGACTACCCATTGTACTCTGAGTATTTGTGTCACTTTCTTTACTCTTTGTATCTGTATCTGTGTCACTCTAGTTTCTTCTATTTCTGGTATCGGCCTGTGCGTAAGTTTATATCTAGGTAATTTTGTGTGTCTCTGTTACTCTTATGCATCTGAATTTCAGTGGCTCAGTATTTGTGACCAGGTGTGCCTGAGTGTGTACATTAATTAAAGTGTCTGTTATTTTGGTGTGTGCGTTGGGGAGGGGGTCTCTGTGTGACCCTGTGAGGATCTATGTGCCTATTCCTCAGTAGGGGTTTGGGAGAGTCTGCATTTATTTTCTTGCATTTCTTTTTGTCTATTTGTATGTTCATTCCTACCCTCTTTGTGAGAGGAGAACTTCCACCAAACCCCTTTGTTTACTGATGGGGAAACTGAGTTGACAGAGAGAGGAACCACATACATGACAGCTGAGTGGGATTGCAAAGACAAGAGAGGATGGAAGTGGGATTACAAAATTTTATGTGATATGAGCCCCTCTGGAGGCACCAGAGTCCACACTCTGTATAGGGGGCATGAGAGACTGGCTCAGGGGGACAGCATGGCCCACAAGGAGGGGATTGTCCCCTGGGGAAAGGAGGTATCCCTAATGCATTGCACAGGCTTGAGGTGGGGGGCACACTCCAACAGAGGGAGAGAAAGCAGAGGTGCTAAGAAGGGGAAGGTCACACAGAAGAATGCTACAAGGTTAGAACCTTGGAACCGTATCTTGGATTTCTAGACCCTGTAGATCTTTAAGAATCTCACAACATTTGAATTACAGTGTCTAGAATTAGAACTACAGTGCCTAGAATCCTAAGATTTAGAACTGTGGATTCTTGGACCCTTAACTAAAATCCTAGAAAGGTGGAATGCAACACAGAACCTAAGGTGTCCAACGTTAGAAATGATTAGAACTTTGGTATCTAGTTAGTCACAACTAACTAGAGTCTTATACTTTAGATGCTGAGGTTCCAAATCTTGGACCAATAGAACTAGTGTGCCATGGAACGAAGAACAGAGCATTAGAATCTTAGAGTTTAATAATCTAGAATCTTGAAGCATATGATCTAGAATTTTAGACATAGAGGATCTAGGTTCTTTGACTAAGTCTTAGAACATCACATCTTAGGACATTAGACCTTAGAATCTCCATCTTCATACTCTTAGAACTTATGAATTGCAGATTCTAGAATCTTAGACCATAACTGTCCATGATCTCATAATAAGAGTTTCAAGGATCATAAAACCTTAGAACCTATAATTGACCATCATTAGAATCTTAGAAATTAAAAAGATGAAATCTTGAAGCCTTATGATCTAGAGCCTTAAGGCCAGAGGCCTTATGCTGTAAGATGCTTAGAACATTATGTCTTAGAACCTCCATGTTTAGAACTGTAGAATTTTTAGAACCATAGAATCTAGATTCTTATACCCTAAGGACTCAGAATCCTAGAAAAATATAATTTGAATCATAGAGCCTTAAATCCTAGAACTAGAATCTTAGAGCTTTAGAACCTAAAATTTTGTGGGCTTTATCAAGAATCTTAGAATCAGAAAAATCTAGAGCCATAGAATCTCAGAGCCTTGGCATAGAGGCCTTGGAACTTCCATGTCCAGAACCTTAGCACTTTAGAATGGAGACTTTGGAATTTCAGGTCCTTAGAACCAAGACTCATAGCATCTTTGAAGCCTAGAACCTTTGAATCTAGACTCTTTAAACCTTAGAATCTAGAATCTTTGACTGTTAGACCTGGGAGGACCCTTAGGGATTGCAGTTCAACCCTTTCCCTTTATGCACAGGAACACTAAGGCATGGAAAAGGGAGAAGATCTGTCTGGGATAGAAGTGGAATAGATAGGAAGAGAGGGCTGCAGCTGAGGGTAAGACCCGGAGTGGGAAAGTATCCAGGGGGAGGGAGGGTCCCCCCAGTGGCAGTGCCTAGCTTGGGTCCTGAGAGGGAGTCCCAGGTGTAGGGGTGTTTCAGGCTCCGTCCTCCTGTCCTGGGGCTGCTGGGGAGCTCCTGTCAGCAGGCAGGATGGGGCCAGGGGCTGTAGAAGGGCAGAGGACATAGCGTCCAGCAGGATATACCTCAGCTGCGGTGAGGCAGCTGCAGGAATCCTTAGGGTCAGGCTGGGTTGAGGGGTCAGCTCCTCCAGCAGCTCCAAGTGGTTCCGGATGACCCCCACCCTCATCCATGTTGACGTAGAGGATTTCATCGGGCTCCTGGGCAGGGGGCAGGGCCTTCAGTGTGTTCTCCAGATCCTCCCGCAGCTCTGCAAAACTTGGCCGGTCCCGGGGGTTTAGCTCCCAGCACCGGGACATCAGGGCATACCTAGGACAGCAAAGTGAGGGATGGGAGACTGAGCAGGAGCTCAGAAGGGGGGCTATTCTGAAAAAAAAGGTGGGGGGGAATTCTGGGAGTCTAGAGGCATTTTAGGACACTCAGAGAGGACTGTAGCATTCCATGGAACCAGAGGGAACCATCACAGTTTGTGGGCATCTATAGGGATTTGGGAATTCTCAAGAGTTTCTGAAGGGGGTTCCTGGAGTTGGAAAGGGCCTTGGGAAAATCTCTGTATATTTGGTGGTATTCTAGTGAGGGCTGGCGAGAGCAGAGCTTCCCAGTGTGGCTCCCCAGAACAGACTCTGGCATCAAAGCCTTGCAAGCTGTGTTGGTTTAAAATAGGTGCTCAATTTCTTTGACATTCCTCCCTTCAAATGTTGGAGCTTGATTTCCTTCCCCTTGAGCGTGGGCTGGACTTAGTGATTCATTTCTGACTTGACAGCAGGGAGGTAAGTGTGACTTCTGGGACTAGGTTATAAAAGGCAGTGCGGCTTCCTCCTTGCTCTTTCTCTTGGAATGCCCACTGGGGAAGGCCAGCCACCATGCCATGAGGAAGCTCAAGCAGCACTGTGGAGGGGTCTGCATGGCAGGGAGCTGAGGCCTCCTGCCTCAGTCGTGTGAATGAACTGCCTTTAAAATGATCTTCCAGTCCCAACTTTCAGGTGGCTGCAGCCCCAGCTGACATCTTGACTATAACCTCATTAGAAACCCTGATCCTGAATCACCCTGCTAAGCTATTCTCAGACTCCTGACCATTGGAAACTATCCCTCTAATTTATCCTATGGGAGGTAATAAATGCTTGTTTTAAGCTACTGGATTTTGGTATATAGATAACTTATATGGCAGTTATGCAGACTGTGGCAAGTGATTTATCCTCTATGTAGACGTCAGTTTCCTCATCAGCAAATGGGAATAGTAATGCTACCTAGCCACCTCATATGGCTGTGGGAAGAACCGAAGGAGTTAATACATGCCATACACCTAAAACAGTGCTTTCTAGTAAGTTCTATAGAAATGGTAGCTATTATTCTTAGTCCCTCAGCCCTTGCAGCACCCAAGGAGGACCTGGGGAGTCTGAAGCCTCAGGCTGTCCCCTCCTGACCCAAGTAACATCTTCTCTTTACCCTCAAAGTGCTGGATAAATGTTCTGTTCTCTTTGTGCCGTGAGATGGCAAAGTTTGAAAAGCACTGTCCTAAAAGATCCTCAGAACATTTCAGAGGAGACCTGAGAGTTTGGAGAAGTCAGTGTAACACACTGGTGGGCTTTGCCGAGGATTCTGGGTGTTGAAGAGCTTCTGGGGGAAGCACAGGTACCCAGGAGTCTGGGATGAACTAGAATTCCTTGGGAGTGGGGGTCTCAGAGACAGGGCCCCCCAGGGAAGTCGTACAGTTATTCCCTGCACATAGACACCTAGCCAAGAGGGCTGGTCTAGCCTGCATTCCACGTACAAGGCAAAGGAGGAAAAGGCACCCTTTGTTAATTTGCACCCTGTCTGCTGGAAGGGGTCCTGCAGAGCATTGGTCGGGGGACACTCTCATTCCTCACGGTCTGAGGAATTCTGTACAGGTTTTAGAGGGTCCTGGATATGCCGGCCATGTGGGGTGCTCAAGGTTTTGGAATGAAATCTGGCATTGTGCAGGGCAGGGGAGGGGCCCTAAGGGTCCTCACAGTCCATCCAGACAGTCCACAGGCTGCTTCAGGCGGTGTCCCTGGCACAGGTAATCGTAAATCTCACTGTTCTCCACTCCTGGATATGGGGTTTGGCCCCGTGTGGCAATCTCCCACATTGTCACCCCGAAGGACCACTGTGGGAGCAGAGGGGAGAGAATTAGAGGGAATTAGAGGATGTCCTACACAGAGACATTCCCCCAACACACAGGTTCATGGGTGCACCCACACTTATGTGCACAGTATCCACAGCTATCTTTGTGGGGCACCACCACTATTCCGAGACACTTGGCACATGTACACATGCATAAAGCAAACTTCTGTGCATAGACATGCTAACCCATGCGTACACGTACATACTTCACAGACACATGGTCTCACGTGTTCCCCTCCACACCCTGGCTACTCACATGTATACATATTTACTGCTGCCACTCCTAATCCCAACTATCCACATGTCCCACATATGAACCAGCCACCATGCACACATGGGCCTGCGTAGACCCCAGAAAGCCCCCACTCACAGACACCCACCACACTCCCAGACATACCCAGCTCATGTGGACAGGTCTTGTGCAGGGAACCCTAGCGACCCCGTACAATGTGAGATGATCAGACAATGTGAGATGATCAGGCCATGCCCCTCGCCCCCTCTCCCATGGTGGGGTGCACATACCACATCACTTTTGCTAGTATAAACGCGATCTGCCAGGCTTTCGATGGCGATCCACTTGACTGGCATCTTGGCAATGCGACCCTGGCGGTAGTAGTCCCCATTGTAGATCTTCTTGGAGAGCCCAAAGTCTGCCACACACACGGACATGTTCTCGTTCAGCCTGCCCAGATTGGGAAGAGGAACAGGGTCGTGCTATCAGCCCCCTCCAACAGGAAGCCTGTGCTCCCTCTCAGACACATCTCCATCTCCTGTTCTGGCTGTCCTGCTTGGGGATGGGGATCTGCCTCCCCCATTGCTCCAGACCCAGAGGGAACTGTGTTACTTCCTGTTCTTTGCATGAATTGAGGGAGGGGCAAAGGGCTGCTGAGGGCCTTCCCAGCTCTGGCTTTTTGTTGGATTCTAGGGTCTTTCCTAGGCTCCTTGGGTTCAATTCTTTGTTTTTTTTTAAAAAAGTTCTTGAAGTATACTACATACACACAAACATGCACAAATCTAAAGTGAACGGGTCACTGAATTTTCATAAACACACCCATGTAACTAGCACCCAGACTAAGAATAAGAAAGAAGAAACAGAACATCGCAGGGCATCCTTACAAGGAATACCACACAGCAAAGAAAAAGAACGAATCACATGGACGAACCTCAAAAACATCATGCTGAGCCAAAGAAGCCTGACACAAAGGGGTACAAACTGCATGACACCCTTTACAGATATTTAAGAACAGATGACAGAAGTTGGTGGTGACAGAGACCCAGAACAGTGGTTACCCCTTGGGAGCAGTCACTGTGTTGGGCATTAGGGAGCCTGCCAGGGCCTAAACATGGTCTGTGTCTTGATCTCACAGTGGTTGTTTACACGGGTCTACAGACATGTAAACATTCTTTGAGCTGCGCAGATCAGATGTGCATATTTTAGTGTGTGTAAACTATACACCAATTTTTTTGAGGATAAAAGAGAAACATTACCATTCCCCACTTCCTGTAACTAGCCCTCCAAGGGTAACCATGATCTTCACTTCTGATAGTGTGGATAATTTTTGCTTGTTTTTGGGCTTTATAGAAATAGGCGATTCCCTGACTCTTGTATCTGAGTTTCTGGGATTTAATTTTTTAAGAATTGATGATTTCCAGCCAGGGTGATGGATGGGCTTGGGCAATGACCAATCAGAGCAGACCTGAGAAGCCCCTGATATACCAGGAGTTAACCTTTAACTGCTGGGTCCAGGGGAGGTCCAGAAGATAATGGCAAGGGGGGCAGGAAGGAGGAGGGATGTCTGCACATCTAGGCTAGTGTCTGTGGAGCACGTGGGAGACTTGGGGTAAATGGAATGCTTCCAACTTGGTAAGGAAGTATTTCAATGTTTTAACTTAACAAAAATGCATCAGGTGCATAACAATTGCTTGTCCATTCTGATTTTCAGAATCGTTGTTATCTCGGGGGCTTGACTAGGATCAGCCCAAGTTATATGGAAATAAAAGATTTTCCATTTTGACTGAGTCTATTCAAGCCTTTGGGTCTACTTTCTAGTTCACAGGAAATACAGGGAACAGAGGAACAGAGCAAATGCCATCACAAGGAAACAGACACATCTTATATGCAGGACATCCTACGAGACAACGGACCTGGTTTCTTCAGAAAGAATATGCCATAAAAATATAAAAAGGTGGTGGTGGGAGGCTGTTCTAGACTCAAAGAGACCAAAGAAGTCTAAGAATCAAATGTGATGTGGCTCCTGGCTCAGGGGAATAGAGCCCCTGAAAGACATTTTGAATATGGATTGGATATTAGGTTATGTTATGGAATTCCTCTTAATCTTCATAGACGGGTAACAGAGTTGTGATTATTTAGGTGTAAGTCCTTATTCTTAGGAGATACCTGCTGAAGGCTTAGGGGTGAAGCGTCACCATCTTGGCAACTTACTTTCAAATGGTTGAAGGAGGAGAAAGAGGAGAGAGGAGAAATGTGGCAAAATCTCAACAGGGAGAGACTATGGGTGATCACTGTACAAATCTTTCAACTTTTCTGTAGGATTGGAATTGTTCAAAATGGAAAGTTGGGGGGAATAAAGAAATTTTCATCAGTATTCCCAAGAGTTGTGAACATTTACACATCTTGTAGAAGATTCTCTGATCCTTTTGCTCCAATTTCTATGGATCTAACACTGTGATGAGGCTAACAGTCTAAGCCTGTGTTTACATATGCACTCACACACACACAGCATCTTCACCGTGGACCTTATTCTGACCTACTTTCTGCTTATCCATTGATAGGGGTTCTTGTCTCCTTATTCAATGTGGCCCCTCCCCAAGGGCAACTCAGGCCAGACACTCAGCATGGACGGGGACAGAGATGCGGTTTAATGCCACCATCCTCATTAGTCACCTCTGCTCCCTTCATGCTGTCCAGTAAGCTCACCCTCTTGTCTCTTCTCTCTTCATATCCAGTACTCTAGGATTTCAATTTAGGGCCCCACCTCACCCAGGAAACCTTCCTCAACCATCTTGCTGACCTCTCTATCCCAGTCCTGAGTTCTGACCTGCCTGAGGGGTGTGTGTGTGTCTGGCCTCCTCTTCCATCCTGAGAAGGAGGGAAGGAGCCTCCAAAGGAGGCAGGGGTCCCTGGAAACCTTGACACTCACATGCAGTTCCTGGCAGCCAGGTCCCGGTGTATGAATCTCTTGGTACTCAGATACTCCATGCCACTGGCAATGTCTGCCATGAACTTCACCAGCATCTGAGTGGGCAGGAACTTGGGGCAAGGGGTGGGGACAGGACTGGTCACTGAATTTTCATAAACACACCCATGTAACTAGCACCCAGACTAAGAATAAGAAAGAAGAAACAGAACATCGCAGGGCATCCTTACAAGGAATACCACACAGCAAAGAAAAAGAACGAATCACATGGACGAACCTCAAAAACATCATGCTGAGCCAAAGAAGCCTGACACAAAGGGGTACAAACTGCATGACACCCTTTACAGATATTTAAGAACAGATGACAGAAGTTGGTGGTGACAGAGACCCAGAACAGTGGTTACCCCTTGGGAGCAGTCACTGTGTTGGGCATTAGGGAGCCTGCCAGGGCCTAAACATGGTCTGTGTCTTGATCTCACAGTGGTTGTTTACACGGGTCTACAGACATGTAAACATTCTTTGAGCTGCGCAGATCAGATGTGCATATTTTAGTGTGTGTAAACTATACACCAATTTTTTTGAGGATAAAAGAGAAACATTACCATTCCCCACTTCCTGTAACTAGCCCTCCAAGGGTAACCATGATCTTCACTTCTGATAGTGTGGATAATTTTTGCTTGTTTTTGGGCTTTATAGAAATAGGCGATTCCCTGACTCTTGTATCTGAGTTTCTGGGATTTAATTTTTTAAGAATTGATGATTTCCAGCCAGGGTGATGGATGGGCTTGGGCAATGACCAATCAGAGCAGACCTGAGAAGCCCCTGATATACCAGGAGTTAACCTTTAACTGCTGGGTCCAGGGGAGGTCCAGAAGATAATGGCAAGGGGGGCAGGAAGGAGGAGGGATGTCTGCACATCTAGGCTAGTGTCTGTGGAGCACGTGGGAGGCTTGGGGTAAATGGAATGCTTCCAACTTGGTAAGGAAGTATTTCAATGTTTTAACTTAACAAAAATGCATCAGGTGCATAACAATTGCTTGTCCATTCTGATTTTCAGAATCGTTGTTATCTCGGGGGCTTGACTAGGATCAGCCCAAGTTATATGGAAATAAAAGATTTTCCATTTTGACTGAGTCTATTCAAGCCTTTGGGTCTACTTTCTAGTTCACAGGAAATACAGGGAACAGAGGAACAGAGCAAATGCCATCACAAGGAAACAGACACATCTTATATGCAGGACATCCTACGAGACAACGGACCTGGTTTCTTCAGAAAGAATATGCCATAAAAATATAAAAAGGTGGTGGTGGGAGGCTGTTCTAGACTCAAAGAGACCAAAGAAGTCTAAGAATCAAATGTGATGTGGCTCCTGGCTCAGGGGAATAGAGCCCCTGAAAGACATTTTGAATATGGATTGGATATTAGGTTATGTTATGGAATTCCTCTTAATCTTCATAGACGGGTAACAGAGTTGTGATTATTTAGGTGTAAGTCCTTATTCTTAGGAGATACCTGCTGAAGGCTTAGGGGTGAAGCGTCACCATCTTGGCAACTTACTTTCAAATGGTTGAAGGAGGAGAAAGAGGAGAGAGGAGAAATGTGGCAAAATCTCAACAGGGAGAGACTATGGGTGATCACTGTACAAATCTTTCAACTTTTCTGTAGGATTGGAATTGTTCAAAATGGAAAGTTGGGGGGAATAAAGAAATTTTCATCAGTATTCCCAAGAGTTGTGAACATTTACACATCTTGTAGAAGATTCTCTGATCCTTTTGCTCCAATTTCTATGGATCTAACACTGTGATGAGGCTAACAGTCTAAGCCTGTGTTTACATATGCACTCACACACACACAGCATCTTCACCATGGACCTTATTCTGACCTACTTTCTGCTTATCCATTGATAGGGGTTCTTGTCTCCTTATTCAATGTGGCCCCTCCCCAAGGGCAACTCAGGCCAGACACTCAGCATGGACGGGGACAGAGATGCGGTTTAATGCCACCATCCTCATTAGTCACCTCTGCTCCCTTCATGCTGTCCAGTAAGCTCACCCTCTTGTCTCTTCTCTCTTCATATCCAGTACTCTAGGATTTCAATTTAGGGCCCCACCTCACCCAGGAAACCTTCCTCAACCATCTTGCTGACCTCTCTATCCCAGTCCTGAGTTCTGACCTGCCTGAGGGGTGTGTGTGTGTCTGGCCTCCTCTTCCATCCTGAGAAGGAGGGAAGGAGCCTCCAAAGGAGGTGGGGGTCCCTGGAAACCTTGACACTCACATGCAGTTCCTGGCAGCCAGGTCCCGGTGTATGAATCTCTTGGTACTCAGATACTCCATGCCACTGGCAATGTCTGCCATGAACTTCACCAGCATCTGAGTGGGCAGGAACTTGGGGCAAGGGGTGGGGACAGGACAGGAGGGAGCAGAGGTCAGCAGAGTCCCAGAGAGCCATCCCTCTCCCCTTCCTCCTTCCCTTCCTGTGTCTGCCTAGCTCTGCCCTGTAATGTTTTCCCATGGCTCTGAGAATTAAATCCAACACCTTTTCAACAAGGCCCTATATAACACACCCTGCCTTCCACTCCAATTTGACCTCCTATTATTGCCTTTGACATATGCTCCTTTCTGGCCTTTTGTTCCCACCTCTCAGCCTTTGCCCACGTTGTGCCCTCTACTACGATTGCTTCCTCCCAGACCTTCCTGTCTTTCACCAGCTGGCTCCTCCCTCAGGGTCACCTCCTCAGTGTGACCTTCCCTGTTGGCCCAAACTGATTGGCTGGCCGGCCTCCCTATTATTCCTCCTTCTTAGGGCATAAATTATCTTATTTACTTGCTAACTTGTTTGTTGCCTGGCCCCCCCACTGGTGAATGGCTCCTGAGAGCATGCTCTTGGTCACCATGGTCTTCCAGTGTCTGAACAGCAGGGGTGTGTGTAGGTGCTCAATTAATACTTGTGGACCAGATAATGAAATGCCCCTCACCACTGGCTGGTCTCCAAGCCGGGAATACAGAAGAAAACTGTGGAGGTCTCCGTGTTTCATGAAAGGTAAGATGACCACAGGTGCTGGGAAGCCTTCTCGTTCAGAACCCTGAAAACAGACGCCTGAGCCCCCAGGCAGCCATGTCACTCCACTGGGCAAGAGAGGAAGCCATCCCTTCTCTCAGCCCTGGCTCTCCCTCCCCCTCAAATCTGGCCCGGAAATAGTTGTTGGGGCGCAAGCACCAAGCTTCAGAGAAGCCATTTCCAGCACTGTTCCCAGCAATGTTTCCCGAGCCCTCCTGGGGACCTCAGCTATTTCTGGGAGAGGTCAGAGGTCCCATTCCAATGGGAGGGAGAGAAGGAGGGAGAGCTCGCTGACTCTGAGGGAGGGAGGGGCAGGGAGCCTGGAGGTTCAATCTTCTCAGTGCCAAAGGAGGGGTCTTCCCTCTGGTGTGGCCCCCACAGGGTCCGCAGATCCTCTAAACTCGCCCCTCCCTCACCGATGAGCCTCATGACATTGGGGTGGTCGAATTCCTTCATGCAGACAGCTTCGCTCAGGAAATCCTCCAGCTCCGACCTGGTGCAGATGGCAACTTGGGAGAGAGAGGAAGGTGGGTGAGGAGGGGGAGGCAGGAGAGGGCTCCTTCCTCTTCTCCATCATCATCATCTTTTTCTTCATCAAACATGGTTAGTAAGTACCAGGTGCTGTATTCACCCAACTACATTTATTAAAGTCACTTAATCCTCTAAGGTGCTACTATTATTTTCCCAGTTTGAAAGATGGGGAAACCAAGGCATAGAATGGTTAAGGAACCTGTCCAAGGGCACACACAGCTTGACAATGGAATAGGATAGTTCAAACCCAGGTCTATGTGTGTACATCATGCTAGGCGTCTTCCCAGCATATTTCCAACAGCCCTGGGAATCCATATGTTATCCTTATTTTATAACTCAGGATGCTGGCTCACAGAGGCAAAGTGCTTGTCCACAGTCACACAGCTGGGATTCAAAGCTAGGTTGAGAACATAACCTGGTACATAGGAGGTGCTCATTAATGAATAAATGAGTGAGAGTGAGTGATGACTCTACAACCCAAGCTTTTAGCCCCTGTGATTCAGAAAGGACTATTTCTCACCTCCACCTCCAGCTGACCCTCCCTTCATCCCTTTGTGGAAAAGACTTGGCCCTGGACTTCCTGTGCTGTGTGACCCTGGACTGGCTCCCACTCTCTCTGGTGATGTAAATAATATAGTCACAGTCCACATTAATTGTACATACTAGCATTCAGTGTTTTGCCTCACAACACCCTAGGAAGTAGGTATATTATGATATTTTTCTGAGGAATGGGAGACTCAGAGAGAGAGTCACTTGCCTGAGATCACACAGCTGGTGAATGATGAAGCCAGGTGTGCCTCATTCTGGACCCTCCCTGTTCTGCTATGAATATGAACCACAGGGGCTGGCCCCTGAAAACTACATTTCCCAGGCTCCCATTCCAAGTAGTTTCCTGTTGGAGTTTGCCAATGGGAAGCACTGATGGGAGATTGGCAGGTAGGCGGGACAACGGGAGAAGCCAGGGTATTTCATCCAGCATCCAGTATGGCTGTGTGTGGTGGCTATGTCTCCTTTGTGTTTCAAACTCCCACAGGGTGGCCTCTAACTTTATGATTCCCAAATCCCACCTGGCTTCCTGGCTGTGGGCTCTGGTAACACCACTTCCCACTCTGCCCTGCATCCTAGGGGTAGAAGTGACATTGCTGCTGCTAATCTCCAGAAGGCCTCGCTGCTCCCAGAGGTTCCTTTAATTCTTTCTACACCTTTGTGGTCATCTCCCCGTGTTAAATTCCTCCTTTTGAAGTACCTGGCATGGACTCTCCCATCTGGAAACACTGAGGTTCTGTGGTAGGCCTAATCTGCTAACTCTTCTGCTCTTCTGCCTCCTCAGGGATATAGGGAAGGGGGCTGGGGTCAAGGTTAGGGGACAGGATCCCACATGTGTGCACATGTATGCACAGACTCACTCTTCATTGTCTTCACAGCCACCTTGAGGATGGAGTCATCCTGGTTGAGCTGGCCCTCCATTACAGCTCCAAACTCTCCTGTGGGGGATTGGAGGGAGACATTGACTTCACGGGGGCCTGTGGGGACTGCACTTCCTGTGGTTGTGTGGAGGTGGGAAAGTGGAGGACTTCCTCTTTCAGGGGGATGTGTGTGGGGGGGGCACTCACCTTCTCCCAGGGTCTTCCCCAGGGCCACCTTGTGCCTGTCCACCATCACATCCCGCAGCTTCTCCTTCAGCTCCTCGCTGATGCCCAGGCTGTTCACTGCATGGGGGTGGGTGTAGACAGAGCCATGAAACAGCGCTGACATTCAGGTGACACTCACCAATAGGGATATACTCATTGTTAACATACTGAAATACTTCTGCATGTATTCAAAAATCGACGCTGTCCTGAAGACCCCCTGCCCGCCCTCGCTCCTCCTCTAGACCCGCTCAATCTTCCCCCAGAGCAGCAACTAAAGGGTTAGAGCTTGGCACATAATCTTGCAACAGTGGCTACCCTGATTGGCCAGTAACCTGCCGAGCTGGTTGTTAAAAACGTTACTTAACTTCTTATTGAACTGTAATCTGTATGAATCATAAGTGAGCAGCTCAGTGGATTTTCACAAACCAAGCACAACAGTATAACTAGCACCCAGGTCAAGAACAGACCATGAGCTGCCCTCTCAGGAGTGGCCACTTTCCTGACTTCTTTTTCCTCAGATTAGTTTTCTGTTTGGGGATGTTGTTAACATGGAATCACGTAACATGCTCTCTTTTGTGTCTGGTTTCTTTCACTCATCGTGGTGGCTATGAAGTAATTGTAATGTAGCTGCTGAGTGTAGCTGTAATTTACCTCTTTTCATTGCCATATAGCAACAGTTCTCAAACTTACATTCTTAAAATTATTGAGGGCTAAAAAGAGCTTTCTTTCATGGGAGTGATAGATATCGATATTCACTGTATTAAAAATTAAAACTGATGGATTTGTGAAGTGCAAGAATACTCAAGCACAGGTTCTATCAACCAACAAAGTGATGACATCATCACACATTGGGAAGCCTCTGGAAAACTCCATAGAACCCTTGTGAGAGAATGAGGGTGCAAAAGGGCAATTAATATCTTGGTATTATTATGAAAATAGTTCTGACCTCATGAACCCCCTGCAAAGGTGTTGAGTACCCCGGGGACTGGGGTCACACTGAGAACCGCTGCTGCATGTTATTACATTAGGTCTCCATGACCTCCTAACTTCCTCTTCTTTCTCCTCTTAAATAAATGTCTTTCTCAGCCCCGTCTGATGTCTCCCTGGGGCCCTGGCAGCCTTCTCACTGTAGCTAGGAAGAAACCTAACTCTATCCCTTCTCTTTATGGATTGAAGTTTTCCCAACTGGAAAGATGAAGTTTTGACTGGGTGGCCTCTGAGGTCCCTCCTTAGCTGGGACCTTCCATAACTCTACAGTCTACTAACAAGAACCTATAGTTCTAAGATCCCATGATTTTTCATGATCCCAAGGGTCTATTCTACTGAGCTTATAATTTCCTAGGCCAAGATCAACTCTCTCTCTCTAGCATTCTATAATTCCAAGAAGCAGTTTAGAGGATGGACTTCAGAGTAAAACTGCCAGCATTTAAGTCCCAGCTCTCCACATACAAGCTGTGTGGTTGTGGGCCAGTTATGTAGTCACTCCAGGCGACAGCTTCCTCATCTGTCAAGTGTGGGGATAATATACCTACCTTATTGGGTTGTTATGAGGACCAAATTAAGTGACACTTGTACACCTGTCACGTAGGACATGCTAGGATTGACTTTCATCATTAGCTTCCTGATCATCTCCATCTTTTTCAGCATCATTATCATCTTTATTACCATCATCGTATCACTGTTCTAAGATCCTATGGCTCTGAGGTTTGGCCTCTCTAAGATTTACTGTGTCTAAGATTCTATTATTCTAAGGTTCTGTGTGGTTCCACATTTCTGTTGTTCTTAGGGCTTGTGGTTCTATCCTCCTAGAATTCCAAAACCTTCAGAAACTTCTAGTTCTTGCAACTACAGAAGCCCAGCAGATCCAAATCTCTACACTTGTTGTCCCTACCCCAGGGCAGGGAGGCATGGGGCTCACTTACAGGTGGCTTCAGTGGTCCGGCGACTGTAGGACTTTCGAACGCGGTACCTGACCACCAGCTCACCCCTCTCCACGGCTGGTTCAAACACCTCTCTGGGGGAAGTGGGGAGGAGGTGAGGGCAGGGCTGAACCATGTGGAAACGCTCTTTCCACCATCAGTGAAAGTGAGCACCATCCCAACCCCAAGCCCTGCCTGCCCACTCCTCCCGTGTTCGCTGAGCATATCCCAGGCCTTCCGCCTTCCATTCATTCCCCGGACCCTTGCCCTCATTCCAATTCTTGGTAAACTCTCCTCCTGCACCAGCCTCCTCATAGTCTCCCTGTCTCCAGCCTCCTCTCCATCCCAGTCCACGTTAGCCCTCGTGGTTCCAACTCACCCATAGCGGGTCTCCTTCTTCCGCCGATGGACAAGGAACAGGGCCAAGATGAGGACACAGGCAGCGGCCACAACTGCTCCCAGCAGTACGTACCACCAGGGCCATGAGAAGGCAGGGGCAGGGGGTTCACTCACTGTCGGGAGTATGGGGTATGGGGATAGGTTATGGCTGAGGCCCCGGATCCAGCTCCCTCGGATCCAAGGCAGATGTTGGAGGGAGACAGATGTGGACATATTTGATGAGGCATGTTATTAAGTGCATTCACGTATCGGAGGAGACTGGGCTGGGCACTGCATACAATGGATGAGATAGGAGTGTGCATTACAGTAGAAGCACAAGACTTGTGGGGTGGGTGAGGTGAGTTGGAATGGGATGAACACTCGAGTGTGGAAGGAGAGTGCAGGACTTGTGCAGAATGGGTGTGAGTGTGGGGAGGGCTGGATGCACACTGGGTGGGTGTGAGTAAATCTCAAGTTGTATGGGCATGTATGATGTGTGCTGACTGTGCAAGGAGGAGAGACTTGAGCACGGAAAAGCAGGGGAGTGGGGACAGAAGGCATGCAGGGTGGGACTGGTGCACGAGGTATGTGTAATGCACATGCAAGGAGTGTCAGGCTTATGGGACAAAGGGCAGAGGAAGTTTTGAGGAGTGTGCACTGACTCTGGAATGGTTTCATAAAGTGAGGGATGTGAGTGAAATAAATGTGCAAAGGGCCATGGTGTGCAAAGAAGTGTGTACAAAGAAGAATTTTGGATGGGTGTTGGAGGAGTTTGCACTATGTGAGTGAGGTGTATTCAAGGAGTTTTAGATATAAGAAGTGAGCAGTGACTTGTAAAGATGTAACTTCAGTGGGAGAGGAGTGTGCAATGAGCATGTAAATCACATGGGAAGGGTAAATGAGTGGCGTGGAATGAATGGAAAGGGTGTGCAAAAAGGGTGGGAGTGGTTGTGTGAGGAATGGGGAAAGGAACGGGTATGTGCTAAGAGCACCAGGTGTTTGGTGTGGGTGTGTACACACAGTGAGAATAGGTTGGGATTGGCTAGGGGGGAGGGGATAATGTGTAAGGAGTACTGGATGAGTGTGCAAGTAAAGTTGTAAGGTGTGGGATAGTGTGGACAGAAGGTTTTTCAGTGTTTGTAATATGGATGTATAGTGAATGTGCAAAAAGTGTGCAGTTTATGAATGAGAAGTGTCGGCGTGTGCTGGGTTTGGGAGGCATGTATGAGGAATGAAGGATTATAATGGGATGACCATAAAGGAAGGTGGGATCAGTGTGCAAAGGGTTTGCAAAGAAATGTAGGAAGGCATGTGAAGAATAGCTAGGATAGTGGGTTGTGTTACAAGAGGTGGGCTGTAATAGTGCTAGGAGGGTACAGTGGATGTAGGAGAGTTGTTGGAGAATTATTTGAGGGGGATAGATTTGAGAGGGAAAATTTATCTATCCATCTGTCCGTCCATTCATCCATCCATCCACCCACCCACCCACTTATTCATTCATCTACCCACTTCCTCATCCATTCATTCATCCCCCGATCTACCCATCCATTCATCCACACACCCATCCATCCACCCACCTACCCATGTACTATTCACTGAGTACCTACAATGTATGGGGCTATTCCAGGCACCTCCATCAAGGGCCACACTCAAGGACAGAATGATGAGTTTGAGAAACACAAAAGGGATGTGCAAAGAGCATGTGGTTATGTGGTGATGGGGTCTTCCCTCGGGGTTGAGGGAAGGGAAGGAGGGGAGGGGGGGTGAGAGCCCTTACCCAGCTTGTGGATTGGCTGTCTTTGTCCTGTGAGGAGAAAGGACAGAGGGAGGACATACTCAGAAAGGGCAGGGATGCTGTGGCTGGGTGAGGCAGGGAGGCTCTCAGAAAGGCTCCAGGCAGGAACAGAGCCTGGCATGGGGTGACTCTGAAGGGTTCAGGGAGCAGGTCGGGGGCCCCTGGGAGAGATGAAGTCCTTGTGGGGAGGTTGAGGGGGCTGAGTGTGGCTTTGGAGTTACCTGGGTGCCAGGGCTCCAGGGGCACAGGGAGGCTCCAGGGTCCATCCCCGGTGGCGGTGTAGGCTGCCACGCATACAGTCAGGTTGGACACAGTCCCATCGCCCCGCAGCTCCAGGGTCACCTCTTGCTTGAGCCCTACTTCCATGAGCACCTAGGACGCCGGATGTGGCAGCAGGGTAGAGCCCCAGGCCCCTCACTCCTAAGCTTACACCCTTGGCCTCAATTCCCCACCTTTCCCAAAGCCCTCTGTTCATCTCCAGCCTCTCACCCCTACCTCTTCCTACCCCTCACCTCTCACCCCCCATTCTGTCATCTCTGTCCTTCCACCAAAATGTCAGTTCCATCAGGACTGGGCCTTTGACACAGCGCACACAGTAACTTTGTCTTAGAGCTGAATTCTCATCATTCACCCTCAACTTTCCACCTGCTTCTGACTCCCCACCCTCTTTCCCACCCATCTCTCCACTCCAGGACCGCTGCTGGCTCAGATGGCACCTTTGTGCAAATTAGAAAAGGCACTCCTTGCTCAGGATGCTATACAGTTCTCTGCTGTAAAACTGTGAAAGTATGTACACAAAGTCTACCGAAACTCTTTTACAGTGATTCATAAAGAGCCATTCTCTTACCCTCCCCTGGGGTCCTTTAACCTTCCCAGAATCTGCTCTCCTAGCTGAACGCCATTGCCTACCCCCCAGCCTGCACGAAGGTCCATGTCTGCCCTGTCATCTTCTCCTCTCCATCTCCCTTATCCCCAGCTGCTCTGCCTCAGCCCAGCCAGCAGCACCCACCTCGGGGGTGTCCTGGCCTCGATAGGCCAGCCGGTACCCTAACAGGGTGCCCTGCAGGGGTGCTCTTGGCTCCTGCCAACGCACGAGGGCTTGGCTCCCATTCCGCACAGCACTAACATTCTCAGGGGGACCCAGGGGCACTGGAGGACAGGGAAGAGAGAAAGCTGACATCCCCATGCCTTCCTGACCCCCTCCCCTGTTCCCAGGAAGTGGGGGCACGGTGCAAAGGGCATGCGCAAGGGCGACTTGTGCAGGCCTCCAGTGAGCGGAAGCACAGGGAAGAGGTCTGGGCGAGATGCCAGTGGGCAGTGCTGAGGAGTTGGGGACTGGATCGGAGGGACAGCGAGGCCACATGGGGTAAGTGGGTTGGAGGACAAGCTAAGCTGGCACTGATGTGAACAAGGTCCAGCAGGGCAGCGAGCCCCTAGCCAGCCCCTACTTACCTCCCTCTGGTGTCTCCACGGGAAGCCAGTGGGTCCAGGGTGAGGGGCCTTGGCTACTGGTACAAGCCACCCGGATGTGATAAGGGGTGTGAGGATGTAGGCTGCCCAGCCGAAGTCGGTGAGGGGGAACAGATGCTTGCAAGATGAGGGGCTCCTCTGGGGGGTCTGGCTCTCTCAGCCAGATACCCACCCCATCGTCTGACAGCACAGCCTAGGGAGAGGGGAGGGAGCGAGCATGAGAACAGGAGGGCCATGCAGTCACGCAAGGCAGCCACACTGCTCCCAATGGTAGTGATCCTAGTGTGACAACACAACTTTGCAAAGATGCATGGGTGTGTGTGTCACAGCTCCATGCTAGTGCAACACAGGCACCTGCATTTGCAAAGTGAGAAGATCACCCAGCTGCATGATGTGACTCCATCACCACTTGTAAAAGCCACCTCTGGCTCAAGACTCTCTGAGCCTCAGTTTGCTTATCTGGAAAATGGGGGCTCAAAGGAGCAAAAATGCCTTACAGGGCTGCTTAAAGATGAATATAGGACAGCTGCACAGTGCATGGCAGGTGATCAACATGAACATTAATGACAATAATAACAGTAATGGTCAACCACAGGCAAAAGCAACATCCTACTTTCAGAAATAGAAGTAGTAGAACAATACAAGTCAGAGAGCAGGCATCTTTGGGGACTGAGGGAGGCTGCTAGGGGCTGGGAAGGGTGTGTGTCTTGATTTGGAGATAGGCATATGGGTGGATGTGTGTGTTAAACAATCTAGGTGCACACCAAAGATGATGCACGTTATGTATGTTGCATCTTAATAAGAAAAGAAAAGCCCTTTACAAATCAGAACTCACTGACCCTCACCTCTGCCCTGCCTTGTGGACACCGTGTTTATCCCCATTTACAGATGAGGACACTGAGGCTCAGAGAGATGGAATCACTTGCACAAGGTTGCCAGCTTGTCACTGATGAAGCTGGGACCTGAACCCCCAAACCTTTGCCCTACTTCTAGTAAGAATGTCCACTTAAGAACTTTCATAATAGTAACAGTACTTCTTTTCTGTCCAGAAAGGCAGCACAGCTGGAGAGCACAGATGCTGGGCCAGGGTGCAAATCTAGCCTTTACCCTTCCCCAGCTCTGCGCCTCAGTCCCTCATCTGTCCAATGGGATGGCAACAATGCTCCTGCCTTCACAGGGTCTCTGAATGGGCGCTTGCAAGCACTTAGAAGTGCACCTTTGCATATTAAGTGTTTGTCATTATTTCTGGCGGGTGTGAGGTTGCCTGGCAACAAATGTCAAACCCCGCATATCCTGCAAAGTGGCACAGGCTGGCACAACCCCCTGGTCCCCAGGAATGGCGCCCTCAGGATGGCAGCAGCCACAGCTGGAGAATGTATCTGCACAGCCCTGCCACACAGAATCACAAACGCACCTCAGAAGTGCTGCCTTCACCTTGGGGAGCAACCAGGAGACCCAACCACGTCACCACACAGTCTGTGGGGAAGGAGTTTATTGCTTAAGGGTGTGGGCTCCGAAGCCAGAGTGCTTGGGTCCAAGTCCTGGCTTGGATATTATTTGCTGTGTGACCTAGAGTGAGTGTCTTAACTTCAGAGTCTCAGTTCCTGTCTCTGGAACACAGGCATCCAAGAGTCCCTACCTGGCAGGGTGCGAGGTTCAATGACATGATGTAAACTGGTTTGCACATTATATCAACAGCTAACATTTCTTGAGTACCAACTATGTACCAAGCACCCTGTCAAATACAATCCGGCATGAACTCGTTGACTTCTTACCGCCTCCCTATGGGGGTCAATTCCTTTTGATTCCCATTTCACGGATGAGGAAACAGAGGCCCTAAGAGGTTCGGCAGCTTGTGCAAAGTCACAGAGCCCCGATATGGGCAGATGGTACCACTACAAGGCCTGGGGAGGAGGTGGGTGGATGGTGGGTAGCAGATGGGGAAAGGCTGTCCCCAAGGCTGCTCTCTGACCCACAGTGACAGATGAGAAGGGGAACCTCTGCTGGGACAAAGGGGACATGGGTGCAGACAGCCAGCCTCCCCAGGCCTGCTCCCACTTCTCTTTTCCCTGGGACAGTGGTGACCCTCCCATTCGAACCCTCCAGCCCCAGGCCGGGCACAGCAGGAAGTGAGACCTGAAGACGGAAGAGGACACCCTTCTGCTTTCCTGTGGGCACTGGATAGATGTAGGTTGAGGGGTACAGCTGATGCCTGATCTGGCCTTTGAGGTGTCCCAAATCAGCCCAGCCTCTGGGATTGAATTTGTTTTATCCTTTTCAGCCATTGAGGAGGGCAGGTCAGTTCCCCTCTCTGAATTTCAGTTCCTTACCCTAAAAATGGGAAGATTAACAGCCGCTGCTTTTGAGGGTTAAAATGACAAGTGAATGAGGTTGTGTCCGGGCTCATAATTATAACAAGACAGCTCTGTTTAATCAAGCACTGGTTCTAACTGGTTTCTAAGGAGATAAGGAGCACCGTTTGGTTCTTTGAGACAAGGGTTCGAATTCCACCTCTACCACTTCCTGGCTGTGACCTCGGGTGACTTGCTGACCTTCTCTGAGCCTTAGTTTCTTCATCTGGAAAACGGGTGTATCCAGAGGCCCTACTTCAGAAACGTACAGAGGTGTAAAGCTGTACACCTCCTTGGTCACAAGACTCAGTACACAGTTGACACTCGACAAAAATTGTCAGAGGCTGTCCCAGGTGCACTGTCCCACTCTCCCTCCAACTCCAAAACTCAGAGAACGTCAGGCCAGAACCGGGCATCGCATTCAGAGATCTGTTTGTTTGTTTTCTTACTCTAGAGCAGCAGCTTTGGTGCTGAAGGCTGGATCCGGCACATTTCACTTGTCATGTGTTGTACCACCGAACAATTCCCTACTCTAGGTCCGGGCCTGGGCTGGGCGATGATGGACACCCTGTCGTGCCTGGGGCTGCCGGGTCCTGCCCTCCCCAGACAGACTCACCCTCAGACAGTGATAGCCCAGAGTGGGCAGGGCTGGGATGGGAGAAGCCCAGGGGTGACAGAGATGGCTCTGGGCCCTGCTGTCTCAGAGTCCCCATTTCAGCGAGAGTCAATATTACTAACACTAAAAAAATTAAAATAACAGGTAGTTTATTAAGCATTTCCTTTGTCCTGGATACTATTTTAAGTTTGTTCCTTTTGTTCACTCATTGAACTCTCACAATAAGCCTATCAGGTCAGTTACCATTATGCCCATTTTATAGATGAGAAAACTGAGGCCCAGAGAGTTTAAGGCACTTGCCCAAGCTCTTGGAGCCAGCAGTTGGTGGAGCCAGGATTTGAATTAAGAGCGTCTGGCTCTACTGCCCCTCAACACACAGACGGCTGGGAAGAGCTAGTTTCCCTGGGGAAAGGTTGGGAGCTTGTGGGTGTGGATGGAAGGAGGGCAGAGACTGAGGCGAGCAAAGACTGAAGTCTCACCTGCAGGGTGCAGTGGGTGAGGGGGTAGATGCCACTCAGGCCTGGAGTCCAAGCCACCTCCAGCTCTGTGGGCTGGCTGGAGACCAGGTGGAGGTCGCAGGGCCGCTGGGGTAGCACTGTGGACAGATGAGGGGATGGACTGACTAGGAGGCTGTGGCCCAAAGCTCCCCACCCTGTCTTTTATCCCAGCTCTGACCTTAGACCCAAGCCCCCAACCCTCTGACACCCAGTTCCCTTTCCTGTTACCTGTGATGGTGGCCGTGCGAGATGTGGTGACCCCTTTGGCATTGAGGGCTTCACAGGAGAAAGAAGATGTCTTGTTTAGACCTGGGGAGTCATATGAGGGAGGGGTCCAGGGTCAGAGAAGGGAAGGAGGGGTTCCTGGACCTTGCTGGGCCACCCCCTACCATGTCCCACCTGACAGGGTCAGTCCAGCTCACCTGGGCACCTGCTGGAAGGCAGAGTATGGGAAGGGGAGGCAATGCATGGGGAACATAGGCCTCCTTCCCCAAACATAAGGACAGGCCTATGGCCTCAGCCCTAAAGCCCCACCACACACACACACATGAATAGCTAGGATAGTGGGTTGTGTTACAAGAGGTGGGCTGTAATAGTGCTAGGAGGGTACAGTGGATGTAGGAGAGTTGTTGGAGAATTATTTGAGGGGGATAGATTTGAGAGGGAAAATTTATCTATCCATCTGTCCGTCCATTCATCCATCCATCCACCCACCCACCCACTTATTCATTCATCTACCCACTTCCTCATCCATTCATTCATCCCCCGATCTACCCATCCATTCATCCACACACCCATCCATCCACCCACCTACCCATGTACTATTCACTGAGTACCTACAATGTATGGGGCTATTCCAGGCACCTCCATCAAGGGCCACACTCAAGGACAGAATGATGAGTTTGAGAAACACAAAAGGGATGTGCAAAGAGCATGTGGTTATGTGGTGATGGGGTCTTCCCTCGGGGTTGAGGGAAGGGAAGGAGGGGAGGGGGGGTGAGAGCCCTTACCCAGCTTGTGGATTGGCTGTCTTTGTCCTGTGAGGAGAAAGGACAGAGGGAGGACATACTCAGAAAGGGCAGGGATGCTGTGGCTGGGTGAGGCAGGGAGGCTCTCAGAAAGGCTCCAGGCAGGAACAGAGCCTGGCATGGGGTGACTCTGAAGGGTTCAGGGAGCAGGTCGGGGGCCCCTGGGAGAGATGAAGTCCTTGTGGGGAGGTTGAGGGGGCTGAGTGTGGCTTTGGAGTTACCTGGGTGCCAGGGCTCCAGGGGCACAGGGAGGCTCCAGGGTCCATCCCCGGTGGCGGTGTAGGCTGCCACGCATACAGTCAGGTTGGACACAGTCCCATCGCCCCGCAGCTCCAGGGTCACCTCTTGCTTGAGCCCTACTTCCATGAGCACCTAGGACGCCGGATGTGGCAGCAGGGTAGAGCCCCAGGCCCCTCACTCCTAAGCTTACACCCTTGGCCTCAATTCCCCACCTTTCCCAAAGCCCTCTGTTCATCTCCAGCCTCTCACCCCTACCTCTTCCTACCCCTCACCTCTCACCCCCCATTCTGTCATCTCTGTCCTTCCACCAAAATGTCAGTTCCATCAGGACTGGGCCTTTGACACAGCGCACACAGTAACTTTGTCTTAGAGCTGAATTCTCATCATTCACCCTCAACTTTCCACCTGCTTCTGACTCCCCACCCTCTTTCCCACCCATCTCTCCACTCCAGGACCGCTGCTGGCTCAGATGGCACCTTTGTGCAAATTAGAAAAGGCACTCCTTGCTCAGGATGCTATACAGTTCTCTGCTGTAAAACTGTGAAAGTATGTACACAAAGTCTACCGAAACTCTTTTACAGTGATTCATAAAGAGCCATTCTCTTACCCTCCCCTGGGGTCCTTTAACCTTCCCAGAATCTGCTCTCCTAGCTGAACGCCATTGCCTACCCCCCAGCCTGCACGAAGGTCCATGTCTGCCCTGTCATCTTCTCCTCTCCATCTCCCTTATCCCCAGCTGCTCTGCCTCAGCCCAGCCAGCAGCACCCACCTCGGGGGTGTCCTGGCCTCGATAGGCCAGCCGGTACCCTAACAGGGTGCCCTGCAGGGGTGCTCTTGGCTCCTGCCAACGCACGAGGGCTTGGCTCCCATTCCGCACAGCACTAACATTCTCAGGGGGACCCAGGGGCACTGGAGGACAGGGAAGAGAGAAAGCTGACATCCCCATGCCTTCCTGACCCCCTCCCCTGTTCCCAGGAAGTGGGGGCACGGTGCAAAGGGCATGCGCAAGGGCGACTTGTGCAGGCCTCCAGTGAGCGGAAGCACAGGGAAGAGGTCTGGGCGAGATGCCAGTGGGCAGTGCTGAGGAGTTGGGGACTGGATCGGAGGGACAGCGAGGCCACATGGGGTAAGTGGGTTGGAGGACAAGCTAAGCTGGCACTGATGTGAACAAGGTCCAGCAGGGCAGCGAGCCCCTAGCCAGCCCCTACTTACCTCCCTCTGGTGTCTCCACGGGAAGCCAGTGGGTCCAGGGTGAGGGGCCTTGGCTACTGGTACAAGCCACCCGGATGTGATAAGGGGTGTGAGGATGTAGGCTGCCCAGCCGAAGTCGGTGAGGGGGAACAGATGCTTGCAAGATGAGGGGCTCCTCTGGGGGGTCTGGCTCTCTCAGCCAGATACCCACCCCATCGTCTGACAGCACAGCCTAGGGAGAGGGGAGGGAGCGAGCATGAGGACAGGAGGGCCATGCAGTCATGCAAGGCAGCCACACTGCTCCCAATGGTAGTGATCCTAGTGTGACAACACAACTTTGCAAAGATGCATGGGTGTGTGTGTCACAGCTCCATGCTAGTGCAACACAGGCACCTGCATTTGCAAAGTGAGAAGATCACCCAGCTGCATGATGTGACTCCATCACCACTTGTAAAAGCCACCTCTGGCTCAAGACTCTCTGAGCCTCAGTTTGCTTATCTGGAAAATGGGGGCTCAAAGGAGCAAAAATGCCTTACAGGGCTGCTTAAAGATGAATATAGGACAGCTGCACAGTGCATGGCAGGTGATCAACATGAACATTAATGACAATAATAACAGTAATGGTCAACCACAGGCAAAAGCAACATCCTACTTTCAGAAATAGAAGTAGTAGAACAATACAAGTCAGAGAGCAGGCATCTTTGGGGACTGAGGGAGGCTGCTAGGGGCTGGGAAGGGTGTGTGTCTTGATTTGGAGATAGGCATATGGGTGGATGTGTGGGTTAAACAATCTAGGTGCACACCAAAGATGATGCACGTTATGTATGTTGCATCTTAATAAGAAAAGAAAAGCCCTTTACAAATCAGAACTCACTGACCCTCACCTCTGCCCTGCCTTGTGGACACCGTGTTTATCCCCATTTACAGATGAGGACACTGAGGCTCAGAGAGATGGAATCACTTGCACAAGGTTGCCAGCTTGTCACTGATGAAGCTGGGACCTGAACCCCCAAACCTTTGCCCTACTTCTAGTAAGAATGTCCACTTAAGAACTTTCATAATAGTAACAGTACTTCTTTTCTGTCCAGAAAGGCAGCACAGCTGGAGAGCACAGATGCTGGGCCAGGGTGCAAATCTAGCCTTTACCCTTCCCCAGCTCTGCGCCTCAGTCCCTCATCTGTCCAATGGGATGGCAACAATGCTCCTGCCTTCACAGGGTCTCTGAATGGGCGCTTGCAAGCACTTAGAAGTGCACCTTTGCATATTAAGTGTTTGTCATTATTTCTGGCGGGTGTGAGGTTGCCTGGCAACAAATGTCAAACCCCGCATATCCTGCAAAGTGGCACAGGCTGGCACAACCCCCTGGTCCCCAGGAATGGCGCCCTCAGGATGGCAGCAGCCACAGCTGGAGAATGTATCTGCACAGCCCTGCCACACAGAATCACAAACGCACCTCAGAAGTGCTGCCTTCACCTTGGGGAGCAACCAGGAGACCCAACCACGTCACCACACAGTCTGTGGGGAAGGAGTTTATTGCTTAAGGGTGTGGGCTCCGAAGCCAGAGTGCTTGGGTCCAAGTCCTGGCTTGGATATTATTTGCTGTGTGACCTAGAGTGAGTGTCTTAACTTCAGAGTCTCAGTTCCTGTCTCTGGAACACAGGCATCCAAGAGTCCCTACCTGGCAGGGTGCGAGGTTCAATGACATGATGTAAACTGGTTTGCACATTATATCAACAGCTAACATTTCTTGAGTACCAACTATGTACCAAGCACCCTGTCAAATACAATCCGGCATGAACTCGTTGACTTCTTACCGCCTCCCTATGGGGGTCAATTCCTTTTGATTTCCATTTCACGGATGAGGAAACAGAGGCCCTAAGAGGTTCGGCAGCTTGTGCAAAGTCACAGAGCCCCGATATGGGCAGATGGTACCACTACAAGGCCTGGGGAGGAGGTGGGTGGATGGTGGGTAGCAGATGGGGAAAGGCTGTCCCCAAGGCTGCTCTCTGACCCACAGTGACAGATGAGAAGGGGAACCTCTGCTGGGACAAAGGGGACATGGGTGCAGACAGCCAGCCTCCCCAGGCCTGCTCCCACTTCTCTTTTCCCTGGGACAGTGGTGACCCTCCCATTCGAACCCTCCAGCCCCAGGCCGGGCACAGCAGGAAGTGAGACCTGAAGACGGAAGAGGACACCCTTCTGCTTTCCTGTGGGCACTGGATAGATGTAGGTTGGGGGGTACAGCTGATGCCTGATCTGGCCTTTGAGGTGTCCCAAATCAGCCCAGCCTCTGGGATTGAATTTGTTTTATCCTTTTCAGCCATTGAGGAGGGCAGGTCAGTTCCCCTCTCTGAATTTCAGTTCCTTACCCTAAAAATGGGAAGATTAACAGCCGCTGCTTTTGAGGGTTAAAATGACAAGTGAATGAGGTTGTGTCCGGGCTCATAATTATAACAAGACAGCTCTGTTTAATCAAGCACTGGTTCTAACTGGTTTCTAAGGAGATAAGGAGCACCGTTTGGTTCTTTGAGACAAGGGTTCGAATTCCACCTCTACCACTTCCTGGCTGTGACCTCGGGTGACTTGCTGACCTTCTCTGAGCCTTAGTTTCTTCATCTGGAAAACGGGTGTATCCAGAGGCCCTACTTCAGAAACGTACAGAGGTGTAAAGCTGTACACCTCCTTGGTCACAAGACTCAGTACACAGTTGACACTCGACAAAAATTGTCAGAGGCTGTCCCAGGTGCACTGTCCCACTCTCCCTCCAACTCCAAAACTCAGAGAACGTCAGGCCAGAACCGGGCATCGCATTCAGAGATCTGTTTGTTTGTTTTCTTACTCTAGAGCAGCAGCTTTGGTGCTGAAGGCTGGATCCGGCACATTTCACTTGTCATGTGTTGTACCACCGAACAATTCCCTACTCTAGGTCCGGGCCTGGGCTGGGCGATGATGGACACCCTGTCGTGCCTGGGGCTGCCGGGTCCTGCCCTCCCCAGACAGACTCACCCTCAGACAGTGATAGCCCAGAGTGGGCAGGGCTGGGATGGGAGAAGCCCAGGGGTGACAGAGATGGCTCTGGGCCCTGCTGTCTCAGAGTCCCCATTTCAGCGAGAGTCAATATTACTAACACTAAAAAAATTAAAATAACAGGTAGTTTATTAAGCATTTCCTTTGTCCTGGATACTATTTTAAGTTTGTTCCTTTTGTTCACTCATTGAACTCTCACAATAAGCCTATCAGGTCAGTTACCATTATGCCCATTTTATAGATGAGAAAACTGAGGCCCAGAGAGGTTAAGGCACTTGCCCAAGCTCATGGAGCCAGCAGTTGGTGGAGCCAGGATTTGAATTAAGAGCGTCTGGCTCTACTGCCCCTCAACACACAGACGGCTGGGAAGAGCTAGTTTCCCTGGGGAAAGGTTGGGAGCTTGTGGGTGTGGATGGAAGGAGGGCAGAGACTGAGGCGAGCAAAGACTGAAGTCTCACCTGCAGGGTGCAGTGGGTGAGGGGGTAGATGCCACTCAGGCCTGGAGTCCAAGCCACCTCCAGCTCTGTGGGCTGGCTGGAGACCAGGTGGAGGTCGCAGGGCCGCTGGGGTAGCACTGTGGACAGATGAGGGGATGGACTGACTAGGAGGCTGTGGCCCAAAGCTCCCCACCCTGTCTTTTATCCCAGCTCTGACCTTAGACCCAAGCCCCCAACCCTCTGACACCCAGTTCCCTTTCCTGTTACCTGTGATGGTGGCCGTGCGAGATGTGGTGACCCCTTTGGCATTGAGGGCTTCACAGGAGAAAGAAGATGTCTTGTTTAGACCTGGGGAGTCATATGAGGGAGGGGTCCAGGGTCAGAGAAGGGAAGGAGGGGTTCCTGGACCTTGCTGGGCCACCCCCTACCATGTCCCACCTGACAGGGTCAGTCCAGCTCACCTGGGCACCTGCTGGAAGGCAGAGTATGGGAAGGGGAGGCAATGCATGGGGAACATAGGCCTCCTTCCCCAAACATAAGGACAGGCCTATGGCCTCAGCCCTAAAGCCCCACCACACACACACACACAGAGGCACACACATACGCTTATGCACAGATAACATGCATATGCATACTCAGAAACACACACACCAAGAGACGCATACTCATACACAGACACATAGACACACAGAAATACACATACTCATACATAGACACACCAGACACACACAGTTGTACACACACTCTCACACTCAGAAGCATATATAATCATCCCCAAACACACACACTCACATCCAGGCACAAACAGTCACAATCACACTGAACCACAGAGACACACACAGAGCCATGTATACCTAAATAGTCACACACTGAAGAAACAGGCCCTCATGAGTATGGGTAAATATAGAGGTGCTTGTTCATTCATAAGCTTAGCCCCTACTAACCCCTCTCCCCCTCGCTCACTCACTGGCCTCCAGAACTTCTGGAACGCTCCCAACTCTGCCCTTCTGTCCCCTCTGCGTGGAGCAGTGTTCCTGGACATGTCTACGAGGCCCTCTCTCACGTCCTTCTCATTAGCTACTCAGACCCCTCCTTCTAAGTCACTCAGTCCCTGACCACCGTGTTGCAAGCTGGAGCCTCCCCTCCATGCCCACCCCCTTCCTTGCTTGACTTTTTCTCTTTGGGTCTTTTCATACTTCACATGTTATTATATGTTGTGCTCACTGTCTCACAACTCCACTAGCAGGGCAGCTCCAGGAGGCTGGAGTTCCTGTGTTTTGTCCCCTGTGTATCCACCCCCTTAACCAAATGGCTTGGCACAGAATAGGTGCTCCATTAATGTCTGTTGAATGTGCCAATGAATTTATGTGTGTGCTTTTGAGTACTTAACATTTCTGTGTGTGTGTAGAAACGTGAGCATGTGCGATTCTGTGGTGAGTTAAGGTAGCGTCTTGAATGACTGCTTTTGAGTGTCTATGAGTGAATTTCCTCCCGTCCCCAGTGTGATGGTGGTGGGAACGCAGGCAGGCACACACACACACACACACACACAAACTCACATACCAGTACAGAGACACAGACACAAACACAGAGATACACAACACACACAGCTATACAACACCCACAGATTCACACACACAAAGACATGCTCACGATGTCTGGGTGACAGGATGTAAGGTCTGAAGTCTGCGCGTGTGCCCGCAGGTGTGTGTGTGCCTGCGGAGGCTGTATGTCTGTGTGTGTCTCCCGTGTTCGTTCCGCGTGTGTGTGCCTGCGTTCCCACCATCTCCGCGCAGACACAAGTTTCCTTTCCTCCGTCAGCAGAGGGAGTGGAAGGAGGGAAGGCCGCCGCGGCCGGAAGCGGGCGGGCAGGGAAGCTCCCCAGCCCGGGGGGGGCGGCGCTCCCGGCTAAGGTCAGGTGCCCGCCGCAGCCCCACTGCCCGCTGCGCGCGGCCCGGGAGGGCCTGGACGGACGGCCCCGGGCCTGCTGCCGGAGGGGCGGGGAGTCTGGGGGCCGCCCAGCCACCTGGCACGTGGGGGCCCGCCGGGGTCACCGCGCCGGAGCTGGCGCTGCCCACGGGGGCAGCCGGGCGGGACGGGGCTCTGGAGCCGGCCGTGCTCCAACCGCAGCATTCCTGCCCGGGCGTGAGTCACCGGGCGCCCCCCGCCCCCGCCCGCACTTCCGGCCCGGCCCGGCGCGGCCGAGGAGCCCCCTTCCCCAGCCCGCTGCGGACCCCGAGGGAGGGGAGAACAGGGACCCAGGGGCCTGGAGCCCCCTCCTCTCCAGCGGGCGCCCCCTCCGCGCAGGGAGCAGGCCGGCTCCAGATGTGCCTTCCAGATGCACTGCCCAGCCCCCTCTGCGCACACGCCCAGCACCCCACCTCCACCCCACCCTCTTCTCCTCCCCCCTCGCTCCGCCCCCAGGGAATGAGGGATGGAAGGAGAGAGGGGGCATGTCCTGAGGAGGAGATCAAGGGACAGACTCACAGACTGACGAAGTTCCTTACACAGCCCTCCCCCAACACACACACACACACACACACACATGCACAATGAATCACACTGAAGACACAGGAGCCGTTACTGGCCCAAAAACGGAAAACTGGACACTCGCGAACTTACACACTGGGCTGGTGCTGTTGCAAACGTGCAGTGACACAGTATACATTCAGTGACTCACATGGGTTGTATACACATGGGTTGACATTGCTGCGTATACACAGACACACACATAAACATAAACAGAATCAAACGTGCACATATCACCCTGCAACCCATTATACACATAGGCTGAAACCGACAAACACACAAACCTCCCTGTAGGTTGAGATGCACACACCAAGCAACAAATATAACATTGAGGCTGCAGTGGGCCAGCAGGTACACACCAGAGCGTGAAAAAGCAGAGTCAAGCTTCCAACACAGCTAGACACACTCAAGTTACTTCAGAGACATTCATCGAGATGCAGACTGATAGAAAAGCACACACTTGTACAGACGCACAGAGCTGCAGCAGACATATAAGCGGGGAGACGTTGCCGTGTGCACACAGGCAGCTTCGGGCACACACACATATACACACGGGCTAGGAAGCACCCAGTTTTATTTACTGAAAGGCAGTTGGAGCAGGGCTGATACAGCGGGAGACCAGACAGAAGCAGAAGGTGGTGGTGTTGCAGGGACTCACACACACGAACAGGCATTCACACACAGATACAGGGCCATGCGACATACAAACACTCTCCCCAGTCACATGTATAGACACCAGAGAGACATCTGTGGACACAGCCAGTTAGTGGAAACACACCAAGTTGTCTGCTGACACATCCTGACTCCGCAAGGAAACAGAAGTTCACACTAAGACACCCTCACACCCATAGGTGCACACCTGTGAGCTGATATTGTCACCTCTATACAGGGAACAAGACAAATACCCACAGAGCACACTACTGTTCCTCACTCTGCCATCTGCACCCCTACACTTGCATGCGTGCACACACACACACACACACACACACACACTTTACCTTCACACAGTGGGTCACAGCTGTGAACCCACAAACACAAAGGAGGACAGACACTAGGCTGACACTGGTATACTCAGTCACACACACACTGGTGGCCCTGGACAGACTTACAGAGACATACAACCAAAATCCAAACCCACAGTGGCACAGACACCAAGGCTGACAGGAACATACCCAGTGAGACGCACACACGCACGAGATTCACGCCGAGGCTGACCCTTGCTGAGGCACATCCTCATGCAAGGGGGATGATGCTGACAGACATACTGAGACTCAGATCGAGAGGGACATGGCCGCACACCCAGACCCCTCCACACGCACACACCGGGACACACACACAGCGCCCCCTGAGAGTACCGCGACACACTGGGCACACAGAGACCCCCTCACACCTTCGGCCCCCCATTCCACCTGGCTCCTGGCATGGGGTGGGGGAGCTGTTCCCTCCTCCCCCTCTCCTGGGTCCTGCCAGACTGACTCAGGCCTCAGAGACTTGGGCCTGACTCACCCCTCTGGGGGCTGGCATGCTCACCACGCTTCCTTGCACACTCAGGGCCCCCGGAATGCTGGGAATGTGGGCACCTCCCTCTACCCCACGACCCTCAGTCCAGAGTCCCCTCCCCATCCCAGCAGATGGAGGCAGCAGGTCTGGGGTGCGGGACGCTGATGCCCTCCAGGGTGCAGACTGACTCACTGAGCCTCCCCCATCTGTGTCCTCTGTCTCTCCTTCTTCAGTGAGGTGGAACCCCTGGTGCCCAGGGAACCCCAGCCCTGCCTCAGACTGCTGTGTGACCCCAAGCTAGGTCCTGTCCCACCTGAGTGTGGTGCTGAAGTTTCTCCTGCCACTCAGCAGTCCCTGTCCCTTCTCTTTCCGCCATGGGTTACCGCTGCAGTCTGTCTCTTGCTCTCTCCCTCTCTGTAGCTGTCTTTCTTGTCTCTTCCACCTCCCCTTCTGCTTTCAGCTCTGTCCCCACCCTGGGGCTCATCAGGCACAGAGGTGGGCAGGTAAGGGGGAGGTGGAGGAGAGGAGGGCACCTTTGATTCCAGTGCCCTGCTTGGGGTCAAGGGCTGACAAAGGGGCACCAGGCCCACACACACTTGGGCCATGGCACATCTCAGAGGAAACCCAGGACAAAGAATTCATTCAGAAAGGCTGGGGTGAATGGAGGGAGAAGGAGCAGGGAGACAGACACAGACACACAGACACAGAGAGAAACAGAGATAGAGAAAACATACAGGGAGAAATGAGGCAACAAGGACAGAGATTCAGAGACAGAGAGTCAGAGACAAAGAGAAAAAGCAGAGAGAGACAGGGACAGAGACAGAGACCAAAGGGACAGGAGACATGTGCCCAGAGGCATGACGGGCTCCCTTGCTCTCCACTTCCATCCCATCTGGCCGCATTCCCAGACTCACCTGGAACACGCAGCATGTGCTGGGGGCCGCGGCTCGTGGCCGGAGCCAGGGGCACCGCATCCTGGAGCCAGAGTAGGTCCACAGGCTCCGGGGGTCCCTGGGCCTGGCAGCTCAGGTTGAAGGGGGTGTTGGCGGTCACAGCCCTGTCCTCAGGCTCCTCCAGGAAGTAAGGCAGGCCTGGGGTGGGGGGAGAGGCTGGGGTCCCTGCGAGCCCAGGTGTCTGACTCACAGCAGGGCTATTGCAGGCTGCAGGGTCTCTGACCCCTCTGTCTGATCCCTCAGGACACTTGAACTTTCTTCAGCCTCTACCCCCAGGACACATGATCCCAATATCTGATTCCCCTACCAATGTCTGACCCCAGGACATCTGAGCCTCTTGTGTCTCTTTTCCAGAATGTCTGACTCCTCATCCCATTTCACCAACGAGGAAAGTGAGGCCTCCAGGAGTAGGGGAGAAGGGTAAGTCATGCCTTTGACCCCTTATCTGGTCCCCAGAATGTCCTACCCCAACCATGTCTGACTCCAAGACGTCTGACAACCCCCAAATGTCTTTTCCCTCAGAACATATAATCCCTCCCAGGCCTGCCCCCAATAATTTATAGACCATCCCATCTTCCACACCCTGTATCATCAGTATCTCCCACATTCTTAGCTGCATGTCTCTGGGGACGCCCAGAATCTTCCAGTACCCTCTGACCCCTCAGGATTCTTGCCCTCCCATGACCTCTGAGCCCAGGGCTTACCCTCCAGCCCGACATAGCCGGGCTGGGACACGAAGGTCTTTCCTCCCAGGACTGTGGCGCATTGGTACCAGCCTGCATCTGACAGCTGCAGGGATGAGATTCTGACAAGGTAAGAGGGGTTGGGGAGGTTCAGGTCAGGCTGGACACTGGGAGGGGGTCATCAGAACTGAAAGGGGGTTCTGGAGTCATAGAAGCTATGTGGGTACTATTATTAACTCATTTTACAAAAGAGGAAAGTGAAACCCACAGTCAGGTCACATGCTCAAAGCCACACAGCTAGCGAGTGGCCGCTCTGGGGTTCCGACCCAGGTGGGGCTCCTGCCCATGACTTCACCTTGTGATGGAGGTTGGGGGGGAGGGACCAGGAGGGATGTAGGGGCAGGCTGGGCACCTGAGTTGGCTGACCACTTTCCAGTCATCCTGCCCATCTTCGCCTAGGGGCACCTGGGTCTGGGTGCTGTCTGCCAGCTCCAGGATCTGGCCATCCCGAAGCCAGGTCACCTCGGGGGGCTCTCCCTGAACCTGGAGCTCACACCGAAGGGCTCCTGTGAGGCCCCGGGCACCAGTGACGTTCCCCGGGCTCCCCACAAAGGGGTCTGCCTCAGCCTGTGTGCCTGCAGGGAGATGGGGAAGATTAGCTTAGGCACCCAGTCTTCCCCAACCCCTCAGTCCCACCTTGGTCTGCCCAGGGCTGCCAGGACCCTGCCAGGCCCTTAGGCCCACATAGTTGTAAAGTGACCTCAGCGGGGGGTGGAGGGAGGAGGCTTTGAGGGGAGGAGGGGAGCCTTCCCAGGGAGCTGGGGTCCGGCCTCCGTTTTCTCATCTGCTGGAAAGTAGGCAAGCAGTATCTGGCTGCCTCCCACTCCCTGCACTGCAGGGCAGGGCCAGCGCCTGCCCCATTGCCCTCCCTTAGGGTCTCTAGAGACTTGACAGATCTGGTTGGTGGATGGTGGGGAAGAAAAGGCGGTGGGGAAGGAGACGGAGAGATTGAGAGAGAGAAGAGAGAGAGAGAGAGAGAGAGAGAGAGAGAGAGAGAGAGAGAAAGAGAGAAAGAGAGAGAGAGGCGAGCCAGAGAGAGAAGCCAGAGAAATCAGGCATGGGGAGTTGGAGTCAGAGAGGAACAGAGACCTGGAGAGAGAGAGCAGGAGAGATGAGAAGAGACACCCCCAGAGGGGAAAAGGCTGGGGGAGAGACACACGAGAGAAACAGACAGAGAGACATTGATAGAGACACCTGGAGAATAGGGAGAAAGACAAGAGACAAAGTTAGAAACGGGAGACCCACAGAGCTGGTGGACTGGAGCCAGAGCCAGGGGCCTCCACCCCAGAGATGGAGGAGATGGAGGGACAGGAGGGCAGTGCAAGGTGGGGGAGCAGCGACCAGGGCGGGGGTGGCCTGGGTGGGGGCTTCCCCAGGGCTCTGCGGCCCTCCTCATGCTGCTGCCTGACTTGGTGCTCCTTTCTAGAAGATTCCTTCCCGGGCAGCCCCCAGCTCAGCCCCTCTTCCCAAGGACCCCAACTCCAGTCCGGTCCCCACTCTGCCTTCGGCTTCTGCCTGGCTGTCTCTCTGTGTCCATCTCTTCCCTTCTCTGACCCTCCCAGTTTCTGTTTCTCGTCTTTCTGTTTCTCTGAGTCCCTGTCTCGCCCCGGGCCTCTCTGTGTCTCCCTGTCTCTCTCTGCTGTCCCAGGGAAACTCCCTGAGACAGCCCAGGATTCACTCCCGACACCTGCCACCCATGCGCCCCCGCTCCTCCCACCCCAGCCCCCCCGGGTGGTCTTGCCCACCGGCAGCATCACTTACCCTTGGGGGCCACGCACCCCCAGCAGCACAATGCCAAGCCCCAGGCCAGCGGGACCCTGCCCATCCTCGGGGCACCTCTCAATCGAAGCCAAACTTTCTTCACAAGTCGCTGGGCACCCCGCGAGGGAGGGGGCAGGGCCGGGCTGTCCCCGGCCCTCCCCCCAGCTCCGGGATCCCCGGATTTGGCACTGCCCGCCTGGCACGGCGGGGACCCCTTGCCAGATCTGCTCCGCGGCTGCCTTCCCTGCTCCCCTGTCTCCTACTTTCCCTCCCGCCTTGGGCAGCCCTTTTCCCCGCCCCTGGCCAACCCCCCCTGCCCCGCCCACCGGCCCGGAGCCCAGGGGGCCACCTGGGCTGCCAGGGGTTAACCTAGAGAGGAGAGGGCCAGCCCTGCCTTAAAGGGGCCCTGGAGGCAGGCTGAGGAGGGCGAAGGGGCCCCTGGTGGCTGCGCCCTTAATCCTGGGGAGGCTCTGTGTCTCTCTGTCCTGGCTCCAGGCACTGTCCTTCTGGGCTGTCTCAGAGTCTGGTAAACATTCCGCAGAGCTCTGCTCCCCACTCAGACGTGACAGCCCCCTGCCCTGCCTCCACCCCCAGCCCAGCCCCAGCCCCAGCCCCAGCCAGGCACTCCCCCTCACACAGCTCCTTGTACAAGGGCACACACAGTCTCACACACACACACACTCAGATGTCATCGACACTCAGAGGCTGGGACAGGAGGAGACACGCAGGGGCACGCTGCCGGCCCACAGGCACACTCAGACAAGCTGGGTCAGGAGCGCCATTCCTGGAGAAACCTCAGAAATCAGGAACAGGAGGATGCTGCTGGGTGGGCATCCCCTGGGTGACATGGGTCCTCATGCAAAGGAGACCCACATGGGCACAGAAACAGGACCCCAGTGTGTGGGCACTCACAGGGGTGCCTCCAGACCTGGGCTGGAATCTACCACCAATCATGTGACCTTACAAGTGACTGGCCTCCCTGAGCCTTGGTTTGTCCATCTGGAAGAATGGGAATAAGAATAGAACCCACTTAGCAGGCTAGAGAGAGGATGTCCTAGGTCAGCACACGTATGGTTCTTTGCACATGGCGGTGACAGATGACAAGGGGCCCTTGTTTCTTTGCATCTCATCTGTCTGTCTGTCTGTGCCATTGCTGACTCCCTCTGCTGGGACTGTGCATCCTCATCCTTGCAGATCTGCTGCTTGTGTGTTGGTTCTGCTGCTCATGGATTTCCACGCCCTTGTGTGCTTTGCACATGGAAGTCTCTGCAAGCCTGGGTGTCTATGCAGGAGGCCGCTGGTGTCCATCTTCCTTCTGTTGGTGTATCGGCATCCCTACAGCTGATCACAAAGTCCTGTCTGTTCAGTCCCTCAGTGTCTCTCCCTGTCCCATATAGTCCAGCCCCCTCCTGCCTTCTCCCTGGCCTCCTCCCCTTCCCTCTGGCTCCCTCCAACTCATCTCCCATTCAGCAACCAGAGGGATGTTTCTGAAACTCAAATCTGACCTTGTCCCTTGGCTGCTTAAAACTTTGACTCCCCACTGCCTTCAGGGCGAGCTCCCAGCTCCTCGGCCTGGCACTGGGGGCTCTTGGTCATCAACTCCCTCCCTGAACTGTCCCGTTTGTGTTCTGTTTCAGTCATGGCCTCAGCATCCATCCTGCCATCCAAGCCTGACCCAAGGGTGCTCTTGGACACCCCCTACCCTGCAGTAAGATATCAAGTCCCATGGAAGATTCGGTTTCACAAACTCCTTTCCCTCCTGACCCTGCTCTCCTCCCCATGACCTCACCCTGATCCGGCCCCATCCTTTTCTACCTGGACCCCTGCTCTGGCCTGGTTCCCCAGCCTCCACTCTCCCTGCCCCTGACGTGTGAACAGTGAGAGGAATGTTTCTCCATTCTAAATCAAATCCTTTCTCCTGCCCAAAAACTTTCAAGATAAAACTGCATCGTGTCCCCGCTGGTGCCCTTGACCGTCTCCTCCCCTTCCCAGGCTTCTTTCTCTTGTTCATAAGCTTGGGGGCCTCCTCCTGCAGCCCTTTGTCCCCAACTCCTACACACCCCTCAGCCCCATCTCAGTCACACCCCCGCCCCCGTCACATCACTGCCTGGCCTTTCCCAGTCTAATCTAGGTCCCTCTGTTGTTCCCTTCCAATATTCTGTCCTTTTCTTGCACCACTTCCTGGGTTGTCATGATATGTTTATCAGCATGACTATGTTTCCTGTCTCCTCCTGCTGCTCTGTGGTCTCTGGGAGGACAGGGATTGGGTATGTCTTGGTCGCTGCTGCAGCCCTACCACCCTGTAAGAGGTCTGTCATAAAGAGGTCAGTTAATTATTGTGGCCTTATTTTGGATGAAAATATGTGCAAATTTCTGCCCACTTGTTTGAATACACTGGGAGGCCCAACACGCCTAGGTCTCTGTGGACCTGGCTCTGTCCATGACCTCTTAAACCTGTGATGGTTCACTCAAGAACTGTTTGCCGATCATCTACTATATGCTTGTAATTTGCTTTTGAATGCATTTATTTTTTAATTAAAAAATTTTAAAGTTGAAGTATAGTTAACATACAATATTATATTAGTCTCAGGGTTGCAATATAGTGATCAGGCAATTACATACATTATGAAATGCTCACCATGGTAAGTGTTGTTACCATCTGTCACCATACAAAGTTATTACAATATCATTGACTATATTCCCTATGCTTTACTTTTCACCCCCATGACCTATTTTAAATTAGAAGTTTGTACCTCTTTATCCCCTTCACCTATTTCACCCGTCCCTGTACTCCCCTCCTCCGTTATGGCAACACCAGTTTCTCTATTTATGAGTCTGTTTCTGTTTTGTTCGTTTGTTCATTTGTTCTGTTTTTTAGATTTCACATATAAGTGAAATCACATGGTATCTGTCTTTCTCTGGCTTATTTCACTTGGCGTGATACCCTCTAGTTCCATCGTGCTGTCACAAATGGCAACATGTCATTCTTTTTTATGGCTGAGTCATATTCCTATGTATATATGTACCATATCTTCTTTATCCATTCAGCTATTGAATACTTAAGTTGCTTCCATTTCTTGGCTACTTTAAATAATGCTCACTGAACACAGGGGTGCACACATCTTTCGAAATTAGTGTTTTTGTGTTCTTTGGGTAAATACCCAGAAGTGGAATTATTGGATTGTACGGTGATGAACATGTAGATAGAAATGTTTCCTGTACCAGGCCTGGGGATTCCACAGTGGGCAAGACAGATCTCTGCCCTCATGGAGCTCATATTCCAAGGGGAAGAGAGACAACAACCAGATATTTATCAGGAGGTAACATGGACAGTGAAGAAAAATGAAGCAGGGGAGGGGATGTCAAATGGGGAGAATGCCATTTTGGAAGGGGTGGTCAGAGAGCGCCTCTCTGAGGTTTTGATCAAGATCTAAAGTGTATTAGCAAGAGAGTCATGTAGGGAAGGGCATTCCAGGCAGAGGGAACAGCCAGTGCAAAGGCCTAGAGGCAGGCATGTGAAGAATTCAAGGAGATTTCTGTGGATGGAATGGGGATTGGAGAGGAGGTGGGGTCAGGGAGGGCTTCAGCCTGGGGAGGAGGACTTACTTGGCTTTTATTCTAAAGATGACAGAACCCACGGGTGGGGGAGGGGCTACTTTCCCCCCAGCTTTATTGAGATATAATTGACAAAGAAAACCATATAAATTTAAGGTGTATAACATAGTGATTTAATACATGCATATATTGTGAAATGATTACCACAGTAAAGTTAGTTAACACATCCATCATCTCACGTAATTACTACTATTTTGTGTGTCTGGTGAGAACATTTAAGATCTACTCTCTTAGTAAATTTCAAGTATACGATACAGCATTGTTAGCTATAGTCATTATACTGTACATTAGATTCCCAGGACTGATGCAACTTATTACTGAAAGTTTGTACCCTCTAACCAATGACTCCCTTATCCCTCAGCTCCTGGCCCCTGGTAACCACGATTTTACTCTCTTTTTAATTAATTAGTTAATTAATTTTTATTGAGCTATAACTGACATATAGAACATTATATTAGCTTCAGGTATACAACATAAAATATGAAATTTATATATACTGCCAAATGATTGCCACAATAAGTCTAGTTAACATCTGTTACTACACATCACATGTATATTTCAATCTTTGTATGTATTGTAAAATGATCACCATAATAAGTCTGTTTACATCTGTCCCCAGGCATAATTACAAAATAATTTTTTTTCTTGCAATGAGGACTTTTAAGATCTACTCTCTTAGTAACTTTCAAATATACAGGGTAGTATTATTAACTATAGCCACCATGCTGTACACTGCATTCCTTGTTTCTGAGTTTGGCCTTTTTATTCCATACATAAGTGAGATTATATAGTATTTGTCTTTTCCTGGTTTATTTCACTTAAAGTAGTGGCCTCAATGTCCTTCCATGTTGTCACAAATGGCAGGATCTCCTACTTTGTTATGGCTGAATAATACTCCACTATATACACACACATGTATGCGCACACACATCTTTATGTATTATATACATACATATATGTGTGTGTGTATCTCACATTTTCTTTTTCCATTCATCTGCTGGAGACACTTATGTTGTTTCTGTGTCTTGGCTATTGTGACTAATGCTGCTGTGAACATAGAGGTGCAGGTAACACCTCGAGATAGGTTTTGTTTCCTTTGAATATATATACAGAAGTGGGATTGCTGGATCATATGGTAGCTCTATTTTTAATTTTTTTGGAAATCTCTGTGCTGTTTTCAATAACGGCTGCACCAATTTATATGCACGAGGGGTCCCCCCTGGGGACTTTGAGCAGGGGAGAGATCTGATTTGATCTGGTTTTAAAGGATCCCTCTGCTAAGGCTGGTAAGTGAAAGGTTGAGGGAAAACTTTCTAGCAAAGGCACAGGCACCTGGACGCACTACATGGAGCCTCTGATACGGCAGCGGCAGCGTGATGCACCCAGGGGCCCAGCACCTCCAGGGAGGAGCTCTTCGCAGAATGAGCCCAATCTGATCTACTACTTCCCAGTTTCCAAGTAATTCCTGGGAATGGAAAGACACCTGGAGTGGCACCACAAAGATTCCAGCAGCCTAATCTGGGATGTGAAAAGTCATGGAGGGCAAATGACTTAGTTTCTTAAGAAATACCAAGGGCGGAGGAATGGTTACAGAAGGCTTAAGATGGTTCAAAGGAAGGCACTGCATGGTGAGCTTTTAGCTCCTCTTTTGAACAAACTTTACCACATACGTTTATGAGACAGGGAAACGTGAACATTGATTCAGCCAACCTGCTGTGATAGGGATGAAAATGGGTATTTTGGTTGTGACTTTTAAAAAGTAAAATTTAAAGGGGGAGTTATTGTTCAGTAAATAGAGTACATTGGGGATAATGAAGAGTTTGGGGTATAGATAATGGGGATGGCTACGCAGCATGAATGTATTTAATGCCACTGAATTGTACTCTTACAAATGGTTAAAATGACAAATGTTATGTGTTACCATACCATTTTACACAAAAAACTGAAGATCAGCCTAACTCTAAATACTTTTACTTTGGGCCCAATTCATTCTTTACTTCTTAAGACATTCTGAGTTTATATATTCTCTTGCTGCTAAAATCATCCTAATTCACACCAATTTTCAAATTGTGCAAGGTCTGTCTCTCTTTAAATGAGTTTGCTGGTATTTCTGATTCCAAATTTCCCTGAGTGTGAATTTTGAATACAAACAAAAGCAGTCAGTGCCTTAATTTAAAAGGAGAAAACCTTCAGCCTCGTTCCTTCCTTCCTATAGCACACTGACGTATAAAACATAGTAAAGGTGAATCCAAGAGCTTAGCATGTTATTTCATTCCTATCAAGTTCCATTTTTCCCATTTCTCCTTTAAAATTTAGTCAATCTATTAGAAGCTAAATTCCTGGTCAAGGTGTGACTGGCTAGAAAGTGGCAAATTTAGGATCTAAATCCAATGTCCTCTTTTTCAATTCTTTATATCACCATTCTGTGCTACTTCTGTAGAACGTACGGAATGCTGTGAGGCATTCAGAACGAGATAAACTGATGTCTGTCATTTACTTCGAAATGCCTTTAAAAAAAGTGAGCTTGTTGGACAGGTAGCTACAATGTGCCAAAACAACTTGACAAATTGCTGGTGGGAGCATCGAGGCGGCAGGCCATGGGCCTTCTCACAGAATCCCTGCAGCTCTGCTGCCTGTTTCAAAATGCCATAAAATGTGTGTGAAGGGGAATGCCCTTTACCATTACAAATGCATATTTAATTATTTTCTGGGTTTTGCTTTTAAAATAATTGTAGGAGTGATAGAATAAAAACTAGCAAAAAGGGGATAGATGAAATAAAACTAGCAGAAAGTGGATGGTTATCAGATGAGATGGGTGATGGGCACCAGGATTCCTTGTTCGGTTCCACTTTTGTGTGACTGAAAATTTCCTTACCAGTTAATTAACAAAGAAAAAGATGCTTCTGGTCTCCTTGGGAAGAGTAGGCAGCGGGCAAAGGGTGCTGGACGAGGCTGACTGGGGGTAGGGTTTCTGCATTTGCTTTTTCAGACTGGGAGAGTTCCCAGGGCCGAAGGGCACCCTCAGCCGCGCCCGCGCCCGCGCCCCCCCCAGGCCTGCGTCCCTGCCTTACCGTGTCCCGGTCCACCCCTCACTTTTCAGCCTCACCGGAAGTGAGGCCTGGGACAGGCCCCCTCCCCCACCTCCACATCTGGTACTGATGTCAACAGCCAGTGTGGGCGGGGCCCATGTTTTTCAGCTTCCACCCGGCCCCAAGGGAGGGGTGGACCCCGCCATCCCCACCCCTTCCTCACATTGATGGACACTGTCACGGATGCACCAGGCCCTGTCACGGGCCAGAAACGAACTTTTATTGCAAAATGGGGACCTTCAAGTCCTAAGGACGTCAGAGCTGGCCTCTTCCTCAACACGGAGCTGGAACCTGGCCCTGCTTGGTCTCCAGCCCCTTCTACTGGGTCTAACTGGGACTCCGAGGCAGAGGAGGTGTGCGTGGGGGGTGGGACAGGGAGTAGGGGACACTTTCAACATGGTTACATAAGCAGGAAGAGGCTAGGGAGTGTTCCTCTGGTCTGAGGGTTCTCGTATGCCCAAGTTTACTTGGTTCCCAGGCAAGTGTGCACAACTGCACACTGGGGGTGTGTTTGTATTTGGGAGAACTGAGAGATCAGGGTGCTTGGGAAGGAGGGGGTGTCCTTGAGGGTTGAAGGTGTGGAGGCCGGGGCTGGTGTGTCTCAGTGGGGAGATATTCAGGAAAGGGGAGGGTGTCATGCGAGGGCTGGCTGTGTGGTTCAGAGGTCGGGGGTATGTAGACAGCGATGGTCCTGTGCCTGGATAGTGCTGTGCCCATGTGAGAGGGCATGAGGGGCTGAGGACAGGGACAGGGCCTGTGTGACGACATGACCCAGGAGGGGGCAGACTCCCAGAAATGGTGGCACTGGTAAGATTGATGGGTGAAGGGGCTGTGTGGCCATGAGCACTGTGGCTGTTTCTGTGGCTTGTGAAGGTGGCAGCCTCACACCTATGTGTGGGCTGTGGATCCAGGGGAGCTGTGTTGTGTAGTTGTTGGTGGGTTACCTGGGCATGTGGTCATGATTCCAGACAGACTAAATTTAAATCTGTAGAAAGCTGGGGTGGCCAAGGTGCCTCGTGACCCTCATGCTCGTGTATGAGCGTGTATACCTATCTTGACAGCTGTGTGGGCTGAGTGAGTGTGGCCCTGTGGACATGTAGGCTCAATATCTGTGTGACTGACTCCAGGAAATAGCTATAGGTGTATGTGTGGCTGCCTGTGGTACAGATTGTGGCTCGGGAGACAGAGCCACGTCCGTGTCCCCCTGTCCAGGCCACCATCTCCCAAGGCTCCCTCCTCCATCTGGTCCACACAGTGTGACGGAGATCAGCGGGGCCGTACTTGCAGCTGGAAGGCTGGGGGGATGTTGAAGAGGCCACTGACAGCTGGCTGGAGGCTCAGGGCAGCTGGTGGGCACGGGCTTTCTAGGGAGAAGGCCTGCAGGATGGTGGTGAAGAGGAGGAAAAGCTCCGCTCGTGCCAGGCCCTCTCCGAGGCAGACGCGCTTACCTGGAGGCAAGAGGGAGATGCGCTGAGCCAGCCCCCCTCATGTCCAGCCCCAGGGAGGACCCAGGAGTGGGCAGGAATGGGCCCAGCAGATACCTAGGGAGAAGGGCAAGAATGCCTCCTGCTTCTGGAACCTTCCGTCCGCAGCCAGGAATCGGCCTGGATTGAACTCCTCTGGCTGCTCAAAGATCTTGGGGTCATGCAGGACAGAGCCAAGCAGGGGGAAGACCTCAGTGCCCTGAGGGGGAATAATAGTAAAATTACAAAAATTTTAATTTTTTAATTTTTTAAAATTGCCTCCCAGGCCCAAGAGCACAGCATAAGAGACTGGAATGCTGGGGACACCAGTTCATAAAACACAACGATATCAATGGTGTCAGTGGTTATTGCAGCCCAGGCACTGGATTGAGCATTTTATATGTATTATCTCATATGCAGTAAGTCTGTGTATGGCGCACACACACAACAAACATACACACAAACTAACGCTTTTTAACAAGCCTAGGCAGCAGTAACTAAAAGGATCCCTATGTTAATGATGAGAAAACTGAGGCCCAGAGAATGTAAGCAATTTGGCTAAGGTAACATCTGGATACGGAAGAGCTTACGCTTTTACATTTTGTTTTTAAACTTTGAGGGTATGTTGTGATTCATCTGTGGCTGTCCTAACCACTTGGATCAAGTCTGGCTTTTTACCACCATAGTCCTGCAGAGGTGAAGGCACAGGTGGGTAGGTGAGGGCTGTCCTCAAAGGCTCCCCCTGTTCCTGGAGGGTGGCAGCCCCTCCGGCTGAGACCAGCTGTAATGTTCCCAGGGCTGTGTGGCGGAGGGTGAAGGAAGTTGGGGAGTGTAAGAACAGGGAGAGGGATGTCCTTTGCTAGGGACTATAGCTACCAGGGGTCTGAGTTGGGAAGCTGAGGGACTCTAGGAAAAGATAGGGTCATGTTATTGCTATTAAAATAAGAGAAAGGCAGATAGCAGTGGTCAAAGCACAGGCTCTGGGTACAAATCTTGCCTGGACCCCATAGATGGCTGGGTGACCTCAGCAAGTCTTCCAGCCTTACAAGGCCTTAGCTTCCCCTTATGCAAACTGGGCGTGATAATGGTGTAGAGCTGCTCTGAAAATTAAATAAGGTAATATATATGTAAAGCACTTAAAATGATGCCACAGAGCGTGCCCTCCATTACTGAAGCCAGTTAGTGTCATTATCAGTAGTCCTTGGAGTTGCAAGTCACTGATTTAGCAACAGTTGCCCCTGCCACGTACATTGGACTACTCCCATCGCCCCCCCACCTCATCCCATCGCCCCACACCAAGGGCTGAGCTGCTGTTTCACAAGCCTTATCTCCTAGATTCCTTACAATCCCAAGTGATACTCTTATCGTTCCCAGTTTAGAAGAGGGGTAGATGCAGTTCAGAGGATGGAGTGATTTGCCCACAGTCCCAGATAGGAAACAGCAGGACTGGATTCTACAGCTCAAAGAGGGAACAGCGGGCAGGACGGTGCCTTGGGCTCCTGGGAAGACATCGCCCCCTGGTGGTGCTGTCTCGGAGTTGCTCTCTAACCGAGCGGCAGGCACTAATGGGGTGGAAAGAGAGAGAGGGCAGGGGAGAGGCGGACTGCGGGCATCTGCAGAAGTGGGGATCTCTTCTAGCCCTCAGGTCTCATGGCTTCTCTGTCACCTCATCTAATTGTCCCAGCCACCTTGGGAGTAGGTAAAATTAGGATAACCACTGTGTAGAGGGGAAAGGGAGACTCAGGGACAGATTCAAAGGGCTGGAGAAATGATACCAGAAGAAACAGAGAGAGATGCAGAGAGTGGAAGAGAAGATAGGGAAAAACCATCAAGAGGAGAGTGAGTGAAGAGGAGGAGGATGCAGAGCTGAGAGAGACAGAGAGACCAAGATCCAGAAAGTCAGAGAGACACAGACAGCGACAGACTCTGCAGAGGCAGGACACCCGCTGGGCAGCAGGGACCGCATACCCACCTGGGGCAGGGTGTACCCTCGGAAGCAGGTGGTTTTCGTGAGGGTGTGGGGCATTCCCATGGGCACCAGCGCCAGCAGCCGCTGGGCCTCATGCAGAACTGCATCCGTGTATGGGAGACGGGCTTGGTCCCCCAGGCCTGGTGCCCGGCCTGGCCCCAGCTCCCGAGTCAGCTCCTCCTGCACGCGCTCTGCACCCAAGAAGAGGACAGGGCTGGGGGGTCAGAGGGGAGGTGGGGGCCTGTGATCCTCCCCTTGGGAGTCCCATGGCCTTGAGCAGCTGTGGACAGGTTGAGGCTGGCAGGTCAGGAGAAGTCCCCCGAGCCAAGCCTGGGTCCTGCACATCCTGTGTGCTGGTCATTACAGCTCAACTCTCCTAATTCCCACAGCAATCCTGTGAGGTAGGTACAATGATCAGTCCCCATTTCCCAGATAAGGAAACTGAAGCCCAGAAAGCTGAAGTCATAGCTGACTCCAATTACCGAGGTCCCAGCTTCCAGGCCAGCCCACTGCACTGCCCAATCCCCCAGTGTGGGGGCCCCTTGGGGCTCATTCCAGCACTGCTCTTTCCTATATACTCTTGCTCACCACTGCAGCTTCAGCTCTGGCCTGTGCTCTCACGATCCTGATGTGTCTTTTTATTTTTTATTTTTTTTAAGGTATCCTTGATATGCAATCCCTCATGCCACCATCTTTTGGGAGGAGCCCCTGATGTGTTTTTTATCTCTAGTTCTGACCTGGGTGTCTGTGGCCCCCTGGATGCCTCCCACCAGGTGGCCCCAGGCCCCTCATATTGAGATTATTCCAAGTTAGCCTCAGCATCTCCCCTGGAACAGCTGCTCATCCCTTCTGTGCCCATCTCAGCATGGCCCCATGGTCCCCCAATCTCCTGGCCAGAGCCCTGGGCCCTGCCATTCTCTACCCCTGCCCCCTTGGCCCCTCCTCCCCTCCCCACAGCTTGGCCCAGCCCTGTCATCCTTCCTGGGCTCCTGACAACCTTTTTCACACCTTACAATCTACCTTTCCATGGCAGCTCCATAGATTTTTCTAAAATGCGAATTTGACCCCACGCTCCCCTCAACATCCCTCCGTGGCTCCCTATTGCTCAGGATCAGGCATACAGTGTACCACCAGGGCTGCAAGGACCTGAAACATCCATCTCCTGCCTCATTTCTTGTTTCATTCTGCCTCATGCTGCAATGGCAGTCCCCCAACTTCTCACTCCTCAGACACCCAGTGGCCAGACTCATTCTTGCCTCCAGGCTCTGGCTGGCTGCTCTCCTGAACTCTTCCCCTCGGGCCCTCACTCTGTTCCCAGGGCCTGGCTGGTGGAAAAGGCTCCTACCTTGGACCTGAGGGTGTTTGAGCAGGAGCAGGAGGGTGTAGCGGACTGTAGCGCTGACTGTCACTGTCCCAGCAAACAGCAGATTAATGACAGTCATCAGCAGGTTCTTGTCAGTGAATTCTGTGTTTGGGTCTTGTTCCTCCTGGGAGAAACCAGGTAGAGGGGCTCAGAGAACACGGGCTGTGAGACAGAGGCCGAGCATAGCCAGGCTTGGGGTTGCTGCACAGCAAGTTAAACCTTTGTCAGGGAGTTTAGATAAGTGTTTGGGAAAGTTAGGGAGTGGGCTCTTGATATTAGTTCTCTCGGATTGAAATGTTTTTTAAAATGAAAGAGAATGGCCTCTATGAAAAACAAACAGAAAACGTCAAGTGTTGGTGGGGACGTGGAGGAACTGGAACCCTTATCACTACTGGTGGGAATGTAAAATGGTGCAGCTGCTGTAGAAATGGTATGGTGGGTCCTCAAGAAATGAAAATAGAATTGCTGAATGATCTAGCAGTTCCACTCCTGGGCATATACACAAAGGAACTGAAAGCAGGGTCTTGAAGAGATATTTGTACACCCACATACACAGCAGGGTTACTCACAATAGCCAAAAGGTGGAAGCAACCTAAGTGCCGCTGATGGATGAATGGATGAGCCAGATGTGGGGGATACATACAGTGGAATACAATTCAGCCTTAAAAAGGAAGGAAGGAAATCCTGCCACCTGCTACGACAGGGATGAACTTAAAGAACACTATGCTATGTGAAACAAGCTGGTCACGAAGGAACAAATACTATATAATTCCACTTATAATGAGGTCCCTAGAGTAGGCAAATTCATAAACACAGAACATGAAATGGGATGTTACCAGGGGCTGGGGGAGGAGGGAATGGGGAGTTAGTGTTTAATGGGCGCAGTTTCAGTTTGACAAGATGAAAGAGTTTTGGAGATCTGTACAACCGTATAAATAATTAACACTACTGAGCTCTCCACTTAAAAATGGTTAAGAGGCAAATTTTATGTTGTGTATTTTACCACAATTAAAAATTTTAATATAAAAAAATGACAATTTTTTAATATAAAAAAATGTAACAAGGTTAAGAAACATTTTCTCTCTCTCCATGTGTCTCTGAATATCTCCCATAATTCCAAAGTCTGTACAATTCAAAACAGTTGTTCTTATGTAATTAATGGAGTGGACTTTATTAGCATAATTAATATTGTAAAGTTTCATAATTAAATGATTATGCTTCACTGTGCGTGTGTGGGTGGCAGTGGCGGGTGTGTTGGAGGGAGGCGAAAGAAGAGATACACACACATGCAGAGAAACACATGCACCGAGGGACATGCAGAGAGAGAGAGACAGAGATTCCCAGCTACACCTGGGTAGGGCCAGCCAGGCCACCAGTCCGATTCAGGGGGTGCCCGCAGCCTAACCTTCCCCCACCTTTGCCATCTTCAGCCGGAAGGCATCCACGATGTCACGTGCCGGGCCCGAGGCGTCTAGGCTCCCCTGGTGCCTCTGCACCTGCTGGATGGCGAAGGCAGCCAGGGTGCCCAAGTGGCCGAGGAGCTGCGTGTGGGGACCCGGCAGCGGCTGCAGGAGCCAGGAGAACATCTCATAGGTCTGCGGGGAGGAGGGACAGGTGGGTGGGGTGCTCTGGGGTTTATTGAAAGAAGCGGCAGGAAGGGGCTGGAGAGGCGTCTCACCCATTTACCTGGCCCCATGGGGAGCTGATCCCCAGTAGGGTGCTGCCAGCCGCCTGCACCACTGCCTGGAATTCCTCATCCTCATAGGGAAAGCGGAGGCCGAAGGTGAGGGAGCAGATGATGTTGGAGGTGGCCTGGGCCAGCAGCAGGGAGGGGTCAAATGGCTGCCCTGAGGGGTGGGGGGGCAGAGGGGAGCTGGTCCCATGGGGACGGAGTGGGGGCAGACATGGCACAGGAGATAGGCATAGAGACAGACAGACAGAGAGACAGAGAAAGAGAGAGGAAAAGGGAGGCAGACTTACAGGAGAGAAAAATAGAAAAACGGAGAAAGAAGAGAGGCAGTAAGAGTGATGTGACAGTACCAGGCAGTACAAGGTTGAGGAGGAGATGGTGGGGGTGCTGGGCAGAGCCCTCAGCCAGGCCCCAGAGTCCGCGACCTCCCCTCCCGCTCATCCCGAAGCATAGTGGGGAGGTCCTTCCCCACTCAGGCAGGACCCCGGGGACGCCGGGATGACCCCGCCCTGCTGACCTTCTGTCCCCCGGAGTGCCTCCACCAGGCACCGGGCCTCCTCCCGGACCAGCTCCTCGCCTTCACGCTTCCCCATGCCCAGGTCCCGCAGAGTGTGCAAGGTGAACTTCCTGAGCTGCCTCCACCGCTCCCCGTTGGAGAAGAAAACCCCTGTGGAGAAGGCTAGACTCAAGGAGGGACCGGCTCTCCATCGCCAAAGCTGCTCCCTTCCTCCCATTGAGGTGCTGCAAGGGGGGTTCTCTGGGTTCCTGGGTCCTGACCAGCCTGGGAGGAGCACTCGGTAGGTGCTAAATAACTGCCTGGTCATGGGTCCGAGGGTGACAGTCGCCTGAGAAGTTGATACCTGGGATTATCCAGCCTCCTTCTCCTCTCCCACCCACCCACCCATCCATCCCGACATTACAGAGTACTATTGGGGCCCAGGCCCCAGTCTGGAGGCTGAACAGGGAGGGAAAGTAGAACAGGAAAGTAGAACTGCACTGCTTTCTGCCTTTACCCAAGGGCCTGGACAGACCCTTTGCTTCTCTGAGCTCAGTGTTCTCACCTGTAGAATGCCCACCCCAGGGGCCCCCGGGGACTCCTCCTTTGAGTGTCCCAGCCCTCCAGCCCCTGTACCCTGGTTACCTCTCCCAACTACCCCCTCCCATACCCCATGTCCCCAGCCCTGAACCAGCCCAGGCCCCTCCCGGTGCTCCTACACAGCAACCAGAGGATCTTTCTGACTCTGACCATACTCCTTCACTGCTAATAATCGGCAGCACCCAGGAAAACTAGAAGTCCAAACACTGACGGGACTCAGGCCTGTATGGCCAGGCTCTGTGGACATCTCCAGCTTTGTTTCTCGGCCCACTGTAATTGCACTGGCCTTCTCTCATTTCCTCAAAGGTGTTAGGATCCCTCCTCTAGGCCTTTGCCCTGCTGTTCTCTCTGCCTGGATCACTTACCTCTTCAGTCATCCTCCAGGTCTCAGCTCAAACGTCACCTCCTCTGAGAAGCCTTCCCTGATTCCTCCGATTCTCCTGCTCCTCCCCAACCTTGGGCCAGTATAGGTCTTTGTGTCCTGCTCTCAAAGCTGTACCTCTTTTTAAACTTCTTTTCTTCCTACCCACTGTCTTATTACAGGCCCATCTCTCCTGCAATATGACAGGACACCACATCTGTCTTGGTTACCTCTGTGTTCCCAGTCCCTAGTTTGCAGCCAGGCATAATGAAAATGTGTTCAAAGGACAAATGAAAACTTCTGTCACCTCCATGCCTGTGCATGGCCAGTCTCTCTGCCTGGAACACCCTTCCCACTCATCTTCTGAATCTGAGCTTAGCCACCCTGTCTTTCAGGAAGCCTTCCCAGGCATCCCCCACCAAACAGGCTGGATCAGGTGCCTGCTCGGATGCCTGTAATCCTAGGGCACGCACACTTTGTGCAACACCCAGTCCTCAGTCAATCCTCAGTACAACCTGATGTTAATAGGCACTATTATCATCCCACTTTGTAAATGACACGGAAGCCCAAGGACAGTAAGCCGGGCACAAAGGTCATCTACCAGTAAGTGGCAGCAGGCTCTGAGGGAAGGAGCAGGGAGCCTCCAGCTTGCCTCATGACTCACCATGTCCATCAAAGGTCCTGTCCAGTGTTGCCAACATCCCCCGCCCACTGAACTCCTCGGCGTGACCTCCCAGGGCCTCCTGCACCGCCTTGTGTCCAACCAGGACCACCACACGCCGCCAGGGTCCCAGGTACACGGTGAATACTGGTCCATACTTCTCACTCAGCTGGAGGCAGAGGGGCAGAAATGGGCTGGTGCTGGGGGGCAGAATGCTGCCTCTCCCAGTCTAGGTGTCACCATCATGGCCCTGTCCCTGGATGGGCCACCAAGGACACCCCTCCCCAAGTTGGAAGGCTCAGCTCTCCTTTGTACCAGGTGCTTTATCCTGAGAAACCCCCTCCCTCAACACGCTCTTTAGTCCCCATCCTCTGACTCCCATGGAGCCCTAACTTCTGGCCCCAGGAGAACCCACAAACCATCCCTAACCCCCTCAACTCAGACATATGGCAGCAAAAGCTGGCAGCTGCTGCTCTGGCCTCTCCTAATTCCTCAGCTTCCCTCTACCTCCAAACTAGCCATACTTTTCTATCACTGCAACCCTCCGATTATGGGGTAGATACTGCCAAGCCCCTGCCACATCTCTCCCGCAGGCCCCCACCCCCCTTGCCATGCCTTGGAAGTCGCCAGACTCCTTTTGAATGGGGAACCTCTGGCCTCTTCCCACTGCCCACCCCCACGCCCACCCCCACCAAAGGTTAGGGCCGCTTCTGCTTTCTTTCTTGCCCTCCTTCCCTTCTCTGCTTCAGGCCCCTCCTAGCTGAGCTCCTCCTATGCTTCCACACCCAGTTCTCTGCAGACAGATTCTTGGAACCCTCCAGCCCCTGTCTCTGCTGTCCCCCAGGGACCTCTCCCCCTTTGCTTCTCTGCCTCCTGGGAGCGGTGGGGATTGCTTGTGTCTCCCAAGCAATCTCTTCCCCTGGGACAAGGACCAGCTTCGCTTCTACCTGAGGGCTTGTCTCTCTCAGCTTCCCAGGATTCTGTGGGCCCCTCTGCCTGTGGACCCTGCCACAGGATCCCGCTTCCCTGCTCACACCCTCTCCAGATTTCTGTGGGCAGAGGTCTCTGCCTCTCCCAGTCCTGGCTCCACACCCCAGACACGCCCTCACCCTTCTTAGCCCTGCACCCCGACTTCCACCCCACCGCGAATGGCTAGAGCCCCTTGTCCTGGGACCCTGGCCCACCCCGTCTAGGATACCTCCAGGCCTTTCTGCCCTAGCACTCTGGTGTCTTTCTTTGGGGTCCCTCTCTCTTGGCCCTAGCCAGGGCGTCCCCGCGGCCCCTTACCCGCAGGAGCCCCAAGTACAGCGCCCCGGGGCGGAGCTGCAGGAGGTTTCCCAGCAGCGGCAGCGGTGCAGGCCCGGGAGGCAGGTGGCCGGAGGTCCGGGTCCGGGTCCTGGGCAGCGCCAGCGTCAGCACCAGGAGGAGAACCAGCAGCAGCGCCCAGGTGCCGGCCGCCTCCATCTCGGCGGGCGCCTCCCGGTGCCAGCGGCTCCGCGCGCCAGGTCCAGGGGGCGGCTCCCTCGCCCTCGAAATCAGGCGGAGGGGGTGGGGCAGCCAGGCCCTCCCCGCCTACAGGCAGGACTCTCGCCCGCCGTCTGGCGTCTCCCCGGCCCGCCGCCAGCACCTGCTGTTGGGGACGCGCTCTCGGGTCTCCCAGGTCACCCCTTTTCGGGAGGCGGAGACAGCGCTTTGGGCCCCAGGTAGGGCGTGGGCGAACATAACGAACCTGGAAGCCAGAGACTTCGGGGGCCTCCAGGAGGCCACACCCGGTGCTTGGCGGTGACCCCGCGCCGCCTTCCCTAGCCCTTAGCCCGGGCCTCACTGTAACCTCTGGGCGTGCGGGCGTGCGTGGTCTCCAGCATCCTAACATCTTCACCACGGACCAGGAGGAGGGACTCCACCTTTAGCAATAAAGAATCTGAGGTTCAAAGAAGTAAATCGGTTGGTCCTAGGCCACACAGCTAACACGTGGCAGGGCTGGGATTTGAATTCAGGTCACTCTGAAAGATTGATTGAATCATTTATTCACTTAGCAGTACAGTCACAGTGGTTTATAGTGATGTCCGAAGCTAGACTACTTGAATTCACAGCCTAGCTTCTCTGGGCCTCTACTAACTCTTTTGTAAAATGAGGATCATTGTCAGAATTAAATAGGTATGCGTGTGTGCACAACTGAAAACAGGGCCTGGCACATCGATAACAAGGGATGTATAAATGTCAGCTAATATTTTTTCAATTAATTGTTACTGAGGTCTAACCATAAACAAGGCTTTGTTCTAGACCCAGGTAAAAGGCAAAAGGGCCCTTCCCTCCTGAGCTCTATCTACATGCAAATGAAGTCATAAATTAAGATAATTTCAGGTGGTATGAAGGCCTGCCAAGAGAATGAATGGGCTTGCTGAGGAAGAAGATGGTTGGTGGATCATGTCACATCCACAATGTTTGGTTCCAAGCTGTAACCCCAGCATCTAGAGCAATGCCTGGCACATAGTACGTGCTCAGTAAATATTTGTTGCATTAAAGATTAAATGTGGGACTTGAGGTCAGGGAGGTCAGCAGGGACCTCCTGCAGGGCTTGGAAAAGCTTTGCATTTTATTTTTAGTTACTGGCGGTGCAGTTGGTTTGCTTTGCATTTTCATTTAATATTTTATCACGAAAACTTTCAAATGTAGATATCTGTATATTCACTACCTAGATTCCACCAATAGCATTTTACTCTCCTTGCTTTGCTACTTACCTATTCATGCACCATCAATACACCTGAATTTTTTGATTCATTTCAAGGACAGTTTCATACACCAGCATACTTCCTAAACATATCAGCAGGTATATTTGCTAGAATTCAGTATTTGTGGACAGGCCATTTCCCCAGGTAAATTATAGTAAAATGCACAAATCTTAAGTTTATTTTAGATGAATTTCAACAAATACATCTGCATGACCCAAACTCCTATTAGGACCCAGAAACTTTCCTTGTGTCCCTTCCCAGCCAATCTCACGACCCCTCCCACTTCTGTACTGATCACTGCCCTTTCCCCCAGAGATTAATTTTCTCTTTGCTTTTAAAAAGACCTTTCTGGCTGCCCTTTGGTGAATGATTTGTGGAGGACTGGTAGCAGGGGAAGAAGACACAGGGAACTTAGTGTAAGCAAGCTCCAGGCAAGGGATGACAGTAGCTTAGAGTAGAGTGACCACAGTGGAGAGAGAAAGAAATAGATACATTTGGGATGTATTTGGAGGGAAAGCCAGCAAGACTTGCTGACTAATTGCATTTGCCAGCAAGGGAAGGAATTAAGGTTCACTCTCAAGTATAAACAATTCTGGTCTTAGGTAAGGAGACTTTCTACCCAAAGACTTGCAATAGAAGGAAAGTGACTCTTGCAGAGACAGTGAACAGACCAGAATCTGAGAACCCAGAAGGAGGTATGGTCTAGTGAAACATACATTTTCCCCTACTCCTAGATTTTTTGTCCTCAGCAAATGGAAAGACGGTGATGCCTTTCACAGAAGTGAAGGAGACAAGGGAAGGTATGGGGATCGTGGGGGTGGGAAGCTGGGGGAACAGGTGTTGCAGGAGGGAGGGGAACCAGGAATTCTCTTCTGGGCCCATGAAGGTTAAGGGGCCTATTAGCCACTGCAGGCAGACAGGTTAGAGGCTGAATTTCCAGAACAAGGCAAAGGAGGAACCAAGAACTGGCACCTACTTCCCGGCAGCAAAGGTAGGCCAGCCTCCCCACCTCTCCCTCCCCAGTTGCAGGGCACACCCCTCTAATATCAGAGGCTAGAATTAAGACCAGAAGAGACTGAATGGAGCAGTCTGGTCAGGTTTTGAGGGAAGTGGCTCTGGCTAGAATGAAGTTAGAAGATTTCAAAGGTTCTAAGCGTCTAATGTTGTAAGATGACCTTCGTTGCAAGATGCTGTAAGTTAAGAAAACCAAAAAGTTCCCAAGAGTCTAAAAGATTCTGAGACAAGATTTCCCCCTACCCTGATAACAAAAGTCAAGCCCCTGTTGGTGGCCTATAAGGGCCCTTTAGATCTGTCTGCTGGCTGCTGAGTCTGACGTCATCTTGCCCCACTCTGTTCTCTGCTCACGTCACTCCACTCATGGGGCTGCCCTTCAGTTTCCTGATGCACCGAGCCAGCCTCAGGGCCTGTATACTAGCTCCCTGCCTGAGATGCTTGGCCTGGAGATTGGGGTTGGCTCATTTTCTGTTCCCAGCTCAACGGCCACTCTGCTCCAGGAGAGACTTTCCCAGATCATACAAGCTGAAGCAGCTCGCTCCCCCATTCTAGGCTCTGCTTTAATTTATTAAATAAGATATTTCAAAAATATTAAATGAGTTAATATTTTCAAAGCACTTATAATGGTACCTGACATATAGTACATTTTGAATGTGTTTTTTAAATGCATACAAATTTCTCTTCACAGTCTCTTATCATCATCTGAGAGCATCTTATATGTTGATTTCCATTTTTATTCTGACATCCCCCACCAGAATGTTCTCTCCACCGGACAGGGATGTCTGCCTGTTTGGTTCACTGATGTACTCCCAGGGTCTGGCATGCAGTAGGTGCTCAATAAAATATTTTGTTGAATGAAAGAACAGTACAATTTGCTAGTCTCTCAAATTCATCTAAAGAGCAATCAAGATTTCCAAATTCTTTAGTCGAAAGAGCAAAGATTCAGAGGTTTCTGCATAGATTTCATAGTACTGAGTCATCTTTGGTGGATACTAACCTCCCCTCAATCCAATGCTTACCCATCCTGTTCAGCAGCTGACATCTGACCCCTGCTATCCCCACCATCTACTTCTCATCACCTGGCACTGGTCTGGGCTGGTTGGGGCTGGAATGACCTCTTTAAATTTAGCCTCCTACCCTGGATTACCATAGGAAAATCACACTGGAGGCTGCTAACCCCAGGCTTCCAGCAGGTTGAGTGGCGGGTGGATTCTGGAAATTGCTGGGGGGTTTATTTTGCTTGAGATCCTCCAAGCCTAATGGCTCTGGCCCAGGCCATCCCCCTGACTTTCTCCGCTCAGCCTTGCTTATCTCAGTCCCTCTCCCTTCCCTCTTTCAGAGCCACCCCACCCAAGGTGGGGAACTGGGTAAAGGGGAAGTCAAAGATGAGTCTTGCTTCCTTCTGGCCACCGTGGGTGGGCCTGGGGCTTCCCCAGATTCTAAGAGCCTCCACAGCTGCTGAGTGACATCAGGGAACTGTCTGTGTCACAGACCCTGGAGCAGCAATGCTCTTTGGTCTAATACCACTGCCCCCTCATCCCCAGCTCTGTCACATGCCCTACCTCATCTTCTGCTTTCCTGCCACCTTCTCCGTGCCACATGCTGTAGTGGGAGGAGGCGCAAAGAAACTGGCACAGCTCCCACCATTTCCCACCAGGAAGGCCACCAAGGGCTCGGAAAATACAGTTGCAAAGCCTCTCCCCCGTGGCCCTTGCTCCTTCCCCGCCACCTCTGTCTGCATAATTATCATCTGGTTCCACCCCTCCTTTCTTTTGCTTTAAAAATAATTATTGCAAACACAGAGACAGGACGTGTTTGGGGGAATTGTCACAATTGTGTACACACACCTATCTTTAGTACATCTTGACATTTTGCCGTTTGTTTATTTAGAGAAATAAAATATACCTGACTGGGTTGGGGTTTCCTCTGCCCCCTCCCAGATGTCATATCCCTCCTCCAGAGAACCACTCTCTTAGAGTTAATATCCTGAGATCCTTATTTAAAAAATTTTACTACATATTTGTGCATCCACACACAATATTTGGGGAAGTATTCGTAGGTTGAAAGACTGTACCCTGGGCAGCACCCAGCCTACACACCTTTCTGCAACTGGCCTTTGTTCTTCAGTTTCTGAGATTTGTTCATATGAATACACACAGCCCTGGTTCCTTTGTTTTAACTCCTGGGAGGTATTTTGTGGAATGGCTTTGATGCAACATCTTTCCATCCACTTTGCTGTGGCCCCATCTCTAGGTTGCTTTGTTTTTTTGTCTTATGGACAGCACTCCATCTCTCTTAGTTGAGAATTTCCTTGTTTCAAATGCCTGAGGCATGGGGTCTGATTCCTTGGGCCTGCAACCTTTAGCTTCTCTGCCCCTTCCACCCTCTCCTCTTGGGTCCAGCCTAGCATCTGGCCCCTGCCAGTCTCTCCCCAAGCTGCTGCTGACCTCCAGGCCTGCAGGCTCACCTTCTCATCCACTCTCCATTGTAGCGAGGAGTGGGGGTGTCTTTAAACTGCACAGCTGCGATCATTTGTCTGATGCTCTTGGTGCCTCCACATCCAGAGCTGGACAAGGGTGGGGACAGGGCTTCCTCACCCCCGGGTGCCCCTAGAGCACCTGGCTGGGAAGACACATTAAGTGGGAGGAAAATGTACCAGTCTCAGCAGCTGGCTTTGGAATTCTCCCAGGACAGGAGCTGTCTTGGTTGATGAAAATATGTGGCTCAGCCGGTTGGTGGAGGCGGCAGGAGTGAAAGAAGGGTGGAGAGCCTCAAAGGAGCTGAATGGTTTTGTGTTCAAAAGGAACAGGAAATGTTCAGGGAGGCAGCCCAGGGAGGAGTGGAGTGGCCCAAGTTTGAGCTTTGGAAGGAACTTTTGGGAACAGGAG